GTTTACAGATAAGGTAAAGTCAGCTGAAGTACAGTAAATTTGGCAATCACTTTGACGTGCACATGATACTTTTTCTTAAAGGTATGATTTTTTTCACTACGCTCTAAACAAGGCTACACAATAGATATTTTACAGGTTTTGCCAGGCACATTGTGCTTTCACCAAATAATGGTATTGTTTGAAACAGTTGACTATTTTGTTAAAAAATTTGAACTATGTTGTAAAAACAAACTTTTATAGTATGCACGGGATGTTTTAGCTTATGTCCTGTTGGCCTACATTTGTTCCTGGTAGTGAGGTGAAAAGAATCGTAACCAACTCGTCCGGAGGTGTTGAAGGTACTTGAATGAAATCCTTGCATCCAGTATAATGCTCGTACCATAAAACCTACCTCCCAACCTTGTAGCTTATGTAATATCAAAAAGTCTTTGTTGGACACACTCACAAATAGCTTGTTAAAATCCAGCTAGAACTGTAAAGTACTTGACGTTGGTGACATATTCAAATTAGTTTGCTTTGAGCTTCTTCTAGACCTCATTTTACACACAACCTTCGGCGTATGGACTAATTTATTAACTAAGACGCTAACAATTTCTATTTTCTAATACTTTACATTTGTAACACAGGCTGGATTGGATGTTTGACGACAATTTTTGGTCTCACGATTCAGACGAGTTTTCCTCGGAGAAAGATCTCTCGATTTGTTGGCTACATACTAACCAGCTGGTCCTTCTTCTCACTGCTACTGAATACAATTTTATCTGGCAATGTGTTTTGTGGGTGCGTACTGTTAACACTTTATTTACCTTATTTCTTTGCTATTTACCTTTTCTGTGAAAAAACTATTTACCCATGTCCAACTAACATGTCCACTCGAACAATACTCACAATATGGATAAAATGAGATTCCTTCATTTTCAATAATTATTATTTTTTTTTTATTTATCAATTTTTGGAAAAATATTTGTTTTTGTAATTATTTGTTGCTAGATGGTAGGCCCTTCACAACCTAAACACGTTGTTTGTTTAATACGTCGGAACGTCTTATCTTGTATGTTATTTTTATTCATCAATGTGATGCAACTAACTATATTATTCAGTTTGTTAAATATTTTTTTAAGTATAATAACGACCATAGTGATAGCAAAGTAATCATCACATTTGACAGAAACTAGTTTAGTTAACTACATTAAGCAATTTTAGCAGCTGGGTCATTTTTCTACATATTAATTAAAGCTTAAAATATCTTTGGTAGGCTACATTCAAATGTTCATGTTTTTAACGACCCTTTTTTCGACCTTAAAGTTAATTAAACCTACCATAACCTAACTTTCACCCTACCTTAAATACATCATACCTTTCAAAAAATATTTTTTCCCCAGTTGAAAATAAAATCTATATTTACATAAAATCTTATCCTTGACCATGGTACACATTTTAGATTTAGACAAAAATAAGGCCTAAATTAGAAAGTTCACAATCAATGATAAAAAAGAAACATTTTGAATTTAAGTCTTGTAGGCCTACGTCAATTAGTTAATTTTTCTACAAGGTTCAAAATAACCGAATGTTTGGTTTAGATTAACTCTGCCACAATATTCCGCTAGAGTAGACACCATTGAACAACTGGTCAGAGGACATTATTATTGGACAGTCCAGTATTACGCTCGCTTCAACAGTACTGATATGAAAAGGGACATTTTCAACTTTGAGGTTAGTTTTAACAAATCGTTAGTATAATAATGCCTCTTCTAATGAATGCAGGAATCCAGATGGTTAACCTTTGGCATATAAAGTATAATTTTCGTGAGAAGTGTTATTACATTGCAATGTTAAGTCCTAGAAATTAGGTCTAAAACAAATGTCTAACATCAACCTGTTATAAGAAGCGTTAATTGATTAACCAATATAAATTTTAATTTTACTACATAAAGCTACTCTAAAATTATTCTTAACTAAAATATCTTTTTGAGTAGCCCAACAAGGATAAAAGGATCTTACAAATAAAAAGTTACTTTCAAAAGGCCAATCAAGAGTTTAGTGTTGACAACATCTAACTTATTTTTACAGAACCCCTGGGTGAGAAGGTTCGAAAAGCGTTACAAATATTTGAGTAGTCAACAAGTGCGAGAAAAAGCATTCTATGACAAGAAAGTTACTTTTCTTGTCGAGTCGTTTGGAACCGATCTTGTCTTCTTAGATATTGGAGGGCTTCAAGGGCATGAGGCTCTTCACGACTTTAGGAAGATGAAGGAGGAGGTCACTTCTACGCACCTCACCTTCGGAATCGCTAAACACTCCCTACTTCTGGAGCCGATAACCTTAATGACGCTCAAACTTCAAGAGGTAAACAACTAATTAGTTAACTAAATCTCAAATTGTATAAAGCTAACATTGTGGTTTAAATGTTGATTTAGCAATAATTTGAGCACAAAGGATGTAGGCAATATTTCCAAACATTGTATTGTAGAATCTATGGAGGATGTATGCATTAAAAATGTTTTGCAAAGCTGATTTTTGAACATCAACAAAATAATAGTTATTTGTGCAACTAGTTAGAGAAGTGAGCAATTGACTCACTCGAGAGAAATCCTTACTCACAAGCCGTAGGCGAGTGAGGAATGGTTTCTCGAGTGAGGCAATTGTACTTTGAACTCGAGTTGCACATTATACTTTTCCTACAGTTACCATAAAACAAATAAATTGGTGAAGAAACATAACCTATTTTTACACAGAAGTGAACTTTTAATATAACATTTAATGTGAAGTGACAAATACAACAGTACAACAGCTGACCAGCTGATTTACAGCCAGTGCTGCCAACGTATTTCGCGTGCATACGACGTTGCCTGCATGTTACGCGCTCACTATTTTGTGCCTTCTCGTTGCAAATCTGGAGTGAGACAAAGTAATTAGAGTGAGATAATGTTAACATTGTCTCACTGATGAGCGAATTGGCCACTTTGCTTTCTCAAATCAGTGAGAGAACATGTACATTGTTAGGTAACTGTAGGAAAAATTAATTTGCCCACTAAAACTAATTGACAATTTAATAATAGTTACGTGGCCTATTTTGAATAATTTCCAGACGTTTATAATAGTTCTAGTTTAAAGATTGGGGTGACCAAACCTGGCTATCGACTTTCTTTAGTTAGTTGCACATAGATGATTAATTCATGTAAAAGTACATTATTTATTTAGGATTAAGTTATAAACAGTAGATAGAATAAAGTGGTCTTCACGATACATATTATAGCTGCCCTTTTTATTGTTTTAGAAATCAAATAACTAAAGTCAGAATAACCGATCACAGGAAAACATTTCTTCCACACAGTAAGAGAAACACATTTTCCATTAACTTCCCTTGACTTTTTGTTATTTTAGGTAACCTATTTTTTTGTTTATCAATAGTTTCAACTTAAAGGTTATTTTGGTTTCATGCTATTTTAATTACTGTTGTCTTAAAATCTACAATTGTATTCAGAAAATCTGTTTCATAAAACTATTGGCAAATTTTTGTCTGAATTTGATCTTAATCTTGGAATGAGATTTTTGTCGCCCTATACTCCATTACATTCCGTTGGCAAATTTGGGCCAGAGCAGACAATTACTGATGCCCAGCTTATCTTACAATTAATACAATTTTTTGGTATAGTTTTGGTTATAAGGGTGCAGATTTAAAGGGATTTTCATGTAGTCCCAAACTCAGCACAGCCTGAGCGGGTTGAATTTAATTTCTTTTCTCAGATGTTATAGATGGAATAGAGTTTCTACTACTGAAAGACCTTTCACACCAATTAAACTTCACCATGAAGTTTTCCCGTTACAAAGACGGGTTTAATTGTTTTAGAAATCAAATAACTAAAGTCAGGATAACCGATCACAGGAAAACATTTCTTCCACACAATAAGAGAAACACATTTTCCATTAACTTCCCTTGACTTTTTGTGATTTTAGGTAGGCTTATTTTTCCTGACTTTAGGCTGTTTTGCGAACACTTCCCTTTCCTCTCACCCCAAATCAATTCCTTAACTTTCCAGATCTGTAGAAACCTTGCAAAAATTTCTTTTGCACATATACAACTTTCATTAATTTATGTATTCCGTTTATCATCTCAAAACCTCTGAAGAAAGAAACTTTAACATAGTGAGATAAAATGTATATATATATAGCCTAAAACAACATGCATTAACACCATACTGCTCTGCCAGGCAGGTATGAACAAGTTGTGGAGGGATAGAGTTCTGCGTAGATGGCCAATATACAACACTCGACACCTTTTGGTTGAAACAGACATCACGTCGTTCAGCGAACCTCATGAGCTGGCTCTTAACAAACTCTACCCTGTCTTCTACCTGCTGCTGTTCGGACTATTGTTTGCTTTAGTAGTGTTTGCTTTGGAGGTCATATGGTGAAAATAGTTTAGACACACTTGATAGTGCAAAACACTTTTTGTGCATATTGCTTGCCCAATAGCTTCCTAATATTAGTCACAGTCACAACTTAGACATGTAAAAATCACCAATAAATCATTTAATTGAGCCTTCATAAATGTATAAGCTTACAGTACCTATTTAAATGTTCTGCCACTTGGGCAATTTACATAGAATTGCAAAGGACATTTTGAAGTCTAACAAATCAAAAAATATGTGAAGTACTTAAACTGTGAAATTGTCCAAACTTGTTATGCTACTGACAAAACGTAAAGACCAACCAACTTCAGCGAATCTTTTCTCACATCAGTTATTAGGTACCAAAAAGCGTGATCAATTAATCGTTCTATTCAAACGAATCTGTTATTTCACTGTTTGAGATAACAACTTGTGCAATACGGATTGGACTTAAAAAGATATAATGATACAAAAAATCTTTCTATTGCATTGTCATTAAATGACTCTTATCTTGTTTTTTTTTTTTCAATTGGCTAGTAAAAAGTAATAAGCCTATAGGCTACTTAATAAAGTTAACAATAGGTAAAACAAAAAATATAAAATCTTCAGTCAACACTTTATTGGAAAAAACATCACAAACATAGGCTACACAACGCAAACATGTTTAGCTTTAATTTATGCTTAAGTTAATGTTCAAAATTTAGATATTTTTTTCCGTTTCAAACGCCCTAATTCCCCTTGCTGTTCACTAGCTGAGCTCATAATTTCCTTCACTTTTCTCACCCTTTCCTGATCACTACAAGCCACCTCTTTGAGTTTGACGTTCGCCAAGAAAGCTCGATCCCGACGCAATTCTCTCACAGCACCCTTTAACTCCTTCCTGTACTGATGTATCAGTTTCTTATCTTGCCGCTCCTCTGCTGAAAATCCTCCCCACGATTTACCGATTGTAACAGAATTGAAATGTGGTTCATATTGACGTAAAGCTTTCGGTATTTTTTTATTTTTCACCAAGGAAGGAAGGCCCGCTGAACTAACTGATTTCAACAACGTTTGCAGTTCAAAAATGCTGTTGGTGAGTTTCAGTGAGAATGTGTTGGCAATCAAATGGTTCACTGAGTTTTGCACTTGTTCAAACATCAATTTTGATTCAGGGTATTTTTGGTAAACTTTAACAAACTCAGATAGTAAGATCACACTTAAATGTAACACATTTGCATCTACTTTCAAGCTGTCTTTTTTATCTTTTTCACCATCAAATTTTAACTTCAATTTACATTCTTCTTCAACTTCAAATTTCATATTACGCTCAACGTCACTATTTCTATCTTTTGAGCCCATCCTTTTCACACAGCAACTCAAGAATAAAATTGCTTCTGGATATAATTTTGACGACATTTTAGCATCCTGTAATAACAAGTAGCTGGAGAGAAGGCCTGACGAGATATTACACGACTGAGTAACTGTTCTACAAGCAAGACTCAATACAGGTTTGCTCACAAGTGCTAAAACATCTGGACATTGGGCTCCAACCGAAACAAGTATGTACCATGTTAAAAACTTTAGATAATCGGGCGAGTCAGCATCAACATGTTCCAGTTTTGATGCAATCATGTCAACTACAATTTTAAGGCATTGTTCACTGTTAAACCCTCTCAGAATATTAAACTGTGATGCCAACACTGGCAAAGATTTCCAGCTGATACCTCCATTAGAAACAAGTTCAACGATGAATGAAGCTAGAGCTAACATTTTTTTCTTGTCGCCCATTTGTACCAATCTTTTGAAAATTCCACTTTGTTGTTTAACTGATGTATCCTTAAGCAGATCTCTCAACGCACCAAAATTGTCTGGGAAATTCAAATCACGAGGTAATTCTAATTCTTCTTCATTATTTATGAAATATTTTTCTTCCACATTTCTCGCTGATACCAACAACTGAGATGAGCTATTTTCACAAATGGTTGAGATTGTCAAATCATTATCAACCGATTGCATCAACTCAGTGAGATCATCTGTTGCACAGTCATTATCTAAAGAATATTCTATTTCACTGGCATTCCCATTGTCCTCAATCAAGTTAACAGTACAGTTGGTAAGCCCATCGTCTAAATCATCTACACTCTTATAAAGGACATATTCATTCAGTTCACTTGGATTTTTAAAAGATTCTTCCTGGGGAATTTCCAGAGTATTTTCTTCATTTTGGAAAGATTTGTCTGCTTTACAGTTTGGCACAGCTTGTTGGTGTGGTTCAAGCTTTAATTGCCGCAACACAACATCATATTTGTCTTTTCTTTGTGTCTTGATGACACTTTCACTATCTTTAGCAAGATTCACAATCATTCCAAGACTGTCCCACTCTTTATTTAACTCTTCTGTAGCGATCATAGTATCTTCTTTACTCTGTTGCCTTTCCACTCTGCGCTTTCTTGATTCTCTAATCAATTCGTCGATCAATGATTCTCTGTCTTGATTAATTTTTCTAAATATTCCACCCCCAAAATGTGCTCCTTCCACAAATTTTCCCTCGAGGGTTCCATTATTGTTATTTCCTTCTTGGTCTTCATCATCATCACTCCTTGCATCCTCAAAGCGTTCTATTTCATTCAGTGTTTGCCCTCTGTGGGTTAATACTTCAGTATCGGATAAGTTAAACACCGCTTTCTTCTTGAACAAACGTTCTCTCACAACAGCAAAGCGAGCCATGATTCGATCATCATCAGTCATTCTCTCATTTCTCTCCCCTATTCTTCGATCGATAAACTTATTATTTTTCAACCCGATTTGGTATTCTTTAAGTAAAGTACTCTTACGTTTCGTCAAAGCTTTACTTTTTGAAATGCCTGGTAAACCTCGATCATGTTTCAACATGCGACCCAGTATGTGATGTTTAGAACGATTTGTATGTACTTCAAATGGATTCCACTTCTTTGACATTCTCTTATTGTTACGGATCAAAACTCTTTGTTTATTTGGTAGATTCATATTTACTCTGTGTAAACTTGAATCTGTTATGATGGTTAAGGTTTAGTTTTCTTTGAGAAATCTCACCAGAAACTTCGAAGGAACAAGCCAACTAGTTTCTAAGATTCTAATAATATACTATCATGGATCTGCAAATAAAATTAAATGATTAGATTTGATTCCAGTGACAAAAGCTAAGCTACAGGAAACGAGAAAACAAAGAGTGGAGCGATTTGATTGTCGTTGAGTAACCCTATTCTATTAGAAGACTGTATATTTAAAACGGAAGCTGATGAAGGCACGATGTCACACTATACACAACTAACGTAAACAATTTAACTTATCCTCGTTTAGGCCAACAATTTTTAACTGCCTCAGTTTTGAAACCTTAAAACACTATATGAGGGTCTTGACATATCGCTCTTAAAAAGAAGTCACTCTCAACTCAAGTCATAGAGTTTTATAATTTAATCCTACAATAGCCTAACAGCCATTCCAGAAATAATGAGCCTAGGTGTAAAAAATTAAAATCTCATCAAATAACATTTTTTTTACATTTAATGCTTAAAAATAACATAAAGAAACAAAATTCAAAAGAAAAGTAAAAAAATATATGTTTTTTTTAGTTTTTATGCACTACTGAAGTTAAGCCAGCTGTATTAATCATGATAGCCTTTAAATGTGATTAGGTTGGCACAACTGTAGCCACTTTATTTCCCTCCAAATCTCATCTCTTTTGAGGTTAATGTCATCATAACCTCAATAACTAGCAAAGACAACCTGCAGTTTACTAGTTTGAGAGTTCTTAAGTATTTAAAACATTCAACTCTTGGAAGTGAAGCTGGTGTCCCGTACGGAACCAGAAACATGGAAAAGTTAACTGTGTGAAGAAACTAACCAACACTGAATCTTCAAACTCTCCAAAAGTTAGGTAAGTTAAGCAACCTATATACTCATACACTTAATGTTTTTTCAAATACAGTATTTTTATATGAAACAATGGTTCCGTACGGGACAGTTCCGTACGGGACACTTGTTTGATTGTTGTGTAAGTCAAAGCTTACAATGCATGTTAAATGTTTTAGCCTAAAGTAAGCAATAGCCTAAGTTAATATAGGCCTAGACCTAATTTATACAAACCTAGGACCAAATAATAAACATTGTTTAATATTTTTTTCAGACATAAAATGGACAACAAAGAAAAAAAGAAAAGGTATTTTGAGAAGTTGAGGTCAGATCCCGAGCGACTAGCTGCACACCGAGAAAAGGAGAAAAAAAGAATTAAAGCTGTGAGAAACAAAGAGAAAGAGCTTCTTAAAGGTAGGCCAGACATTTTGGAAGATAAAAGAAAATTAGAAACTTTGAGGAAACAAAAGCAACGGGAGCGGAAAAGATTGGCTAAATTAGCAGAGAGTTCAAACTGTTCAAATGTAGTTCAAGAACTCGGTTCCTACAAAAGGCCACAGAGCTTAGGAAAGGCTGTGAATAGGATTAAAAAACTTTTACCAGATAGTCCCTCTAAAAAGCAAGCTGTGGTTAGAAAACTTGCTCTTGATTTTCCAAATCTAAATTTGAGCAAAACCCCTCGTAAATTTAAGCCTAAACTGTCCGAAGAAGAGAAAAAAATCGTCAGGGATTTTTTTAATAGAGACGATGTAAGCTACCAGGCTCCTGGAAAAAGGGATACCAAATCAATAAGGGATCCAGTTACAAACAAAAGAATAAATGTGCAAAAAAGGTTTCTTGTAATGTCTGTCAAAGAAGCCTACCAGCAGTTCATTACAGAAACAGGTATGCACAAAGTGTCTAAGACGACGTTTTATGAGCTCCGACCCAAGCATGTTCTTTTGGTTGGTGATACACCACATACAGTATGTGTGTGCAAGTATCATGGAAATTTCAATTATTTGCTAGAAGCTCTACATAGTAATAAAATACTAAACGAGGAACTAGTACCAAATGGTAAAGATCTGTTGAGAAAACTTGTATGCAGTATTGAGAAAGAAAACTGTATGTTGGGAACTTGTTCTCAGTGCAATGGTGTGAATGAACTTGAAAGTGTGTTGACTATAATTGACTTTGATCCAGATAAAAAAAATTTGCTGGAAACAATGGATAGATGTTGGAAAACAGGCCTAAACAAGTTGAACACAACGGTACAGTTAAAGATGTCATATGTGAAATAAGAAAACAGTTGCCTACATTTAAAGTCCATTGTTATGTTAAAAATGTGCAATCAGAAGAATTTGAATCAAGGAAAATAAACAAGGATCCAAAATCTGGAGTTCTGCAGATTGATTTTGCTGAAAACTTTTCTCTCATATCACAGGATGAGATACAATCTGCACATTGGTCTCATCAACAGGTAACTTTATTTACCGCTTGTGTTTGGACTGGTACCGCAACTACATCATACACCATAGTGAGTGATGATCTGTCTCATGGTAAACTGAGCATCAAAGTTTTTCTCTATAAAATAGTTGGAGACATTATTGAGAGATTTCCTGCTCTAGAAAAGCTGTCAATATTCTCAGATGGTCCCTCATCTCAATTTAAAAATAAATATACAGCTTCTCTCTTGTGTTCACTCCAAAATGACTACAAAATTGATTTTGACTGGTTGTTTTTTGCAACATCACATGGGAAAGGCTCTGTTGATGCTATAGGAGGAGCGATAAAACATCGAGTATGGATGAAAATTAGATCAAGAAAAAGAATGATATCCAATGCTGTTGAGTTTTATGAATGTGCCAAAGAGGAAATAAAGGGAACACATATTTTATTTCAATCTCAAGAAGAAATTCAACTTCATGCCCAGGAGATGGAAAAGAAATGGGCAGAAACAAAATCAATTCCTAACATTCGACAATGCCATTACCTTATGCCTTATTATGACTCTGCCAGCGTACTTGTAGCCCGGACGGCAAAATCTTCTATGAGCAAATTTGATATTTATAAATCCACAGAAGACTTCCCGAGCCAAATTTCCATAAGACAGCCCCGCCTTCGTTACGAGGATGTTTATTCAGAGGAATCTTCTGATAATGAGGACATTTGTACACGCAAACCAACTACACCCCCAAATAATGATAAAGAGGTGGCAGTAGGATCATGGGTTGGAGTCATATACGACAGCCAATGGTATCCAGGTAAAGCATATCTTTGTCTAAATTAACGTTATTTCCTAACAATTCTTGCTAAAAACAAGTTAAGTTGAAAATATAAAAAAAACTGTAGGTTTCAAACTTGCAAAATTATTTAATAAAATTTAATATTTTACAGGAATTGTGGAAGAGAGATTGGGAGAAGAAATAACTGTCTCTTTCATGACCAGAGTGGGTCAAAGATTTCTGTGGCCATCAGTACCTGACATCCAAAAAGTGGACCTTAAAAACATAATGTGCAGGATCGAGGAGCCACCGTACCCAGTGTCAAACCGCCATTTTAAAATCAACCAAATATGCACATATGATGAGATGTTTAATAAGTTAAATGTTTAGTCAGTCATATCTTTAATTCAACATTGTATTTATTTTGACATAGCCTACTTAACTAATGGTCAGATGTGTACTAACCATAGTTTAGAAAAAATTGTTGGTCAAACTACCTTCCTGCTATATTTTCCCAAAAATGTCAAGTAATTTAAGGACTAAACAATTATAATAGGTCCAATAAATGTATTTAACTTTCATTACAGTCCATTTTCTTTCCAAACATATTTATTAGGCGATTGTTTAAGATATTTTACACGCGTCCCATACGGAACTATTACGTGTCCCGTACGGAACCGTCTGTTTTAAATTATATATTTTAAATATAAATCAAAGTCTTAAACATGCTAACATTTCTGGAAAAAGATTAAACTAATGAATCTATGTGTATAATTACAGTGGTAAGGGATGGAGAACGTCACAGAGATTTAGATTTGAAGTTTGTGATGCAAATAGGTGTGCTAAAAGTTGTCCCGTACGGAACCACAAGTAAAACCATTATTAGGTCATTATTTGTCAAATTGGGCCTTTGAAATTTATGCAGTTGAATAATCTGTTCAACTTTTACCCTAATCTATATTTTTTATGACTTTAGGTCTCATAGTTGAGTAGTTTCAATAAGTTTTTCCTTACAAAACATAGTCAAAGTGTCCCGTACGGAACCTGGAATGGCTGCTAGGCTAAGTTACACAGAGCTCATTAATTAGAGGAAGACCTAGTGTTTTGTGCAAATAACAACCCAAACCTGAAATTGCAACATTCTAGGTAGGTTAAAATAGGCCTAAATAGATACCGGTAGGTAAGTAAACCCGACTACGTTAGGTCTTACCTACAAAGCCTCACAATTTGAAATTGATTGAAAGTTCAGTTTTCCAGTCATATGCATTACAGTGCTTTTAGTGTTCCATTGTGTTAGTTTTTTACGTTAAACCTTTTATAGATTGTAGTGTTTTGTGATTTGTTATTAATTGCATGTTGTATCATGACTTGACTGCTATACAGTGCATATTTTTTGACTACTAGGCCTACCCTCTGTAGTGTATTCCAACTTAGGTTGGGCGTTTGTGTATTGTTAATTGTAATGTGTTAGTTTACAAGTTAAGTTTTTTTCACCTAAAGACGGGATCAGATTCCAGATCCCGAAACGTTGTGTATTGTTTTTTTACATTCGTGATGGAAAATGTCCGCAATAAACTTTTGAACAACATATGCATTGTTGTTAAATCAATTTCAGCGTAACTTACACATGACTAGACTTAATTTTATTCATAATTCCATCCAGGATTGATTTTATGACAATATAAAAATAGGTTAACATTGTAGCCTATACCTTAAGTTGCGTCATCAATCCAAACTTAAAATGGTTTACAATACCTGCATACAGTAATCCTTTGTTGCAGGCCTCAATGTGTCAAGTAGGCCTAATCACTTCATTCGAGCCGTTAAAAAACAGAGTTTAAAAAATAAAACATACAAAACACGATAACACGGAACAGACAAACATTACAAAAAACAGGAAGGGACATTAACAATCGATCATTACCGGGAAAATATCGATACAGGCTAACGATTATTCCATTCAGGTAGTTAGGTTAGGTTTTAACCTACGGTAACTATCGATATATCAATTAATTCATTCAATATATCAAGTATGGTTGTAGGTTAGGTTTTAACCTAACTACAACCATACTTGATATATTGAATGAAATAATTGATATATCAATCGATATTTCATTCGGATGAGTATAGGACGTAAACTAAAGTGCAGTCACCCATAAGTTTAACCCTCCAAGTGTCCATAGTAATAGTATTAATGTCCGCCCATTTATTGCGCAATTGCAGGGTTTTATTTAATGTATCTTAGAAACATAAAAACAATGTAAAGTATACCCTTCTGTTTTAAAATATCATTTTGATTGGGAAATTATGGGCTTCAATGTATATAAAACATTACAAAAAATTTTTCAACAATTTTTGTGGGGTTAACGATTGTCAAACATTATAAAATAGGCTAAATTTAAAAAAATTATGTTTGCCCTCAATAAATTTTTATAATTTATAAGTCTACAAATATTTTAAAATAGCCACTTTGTTCTAAATTGTATAAGGATTACAAAAATATAGGCTAATAATATAGGGCTAAGGAAGTAAATTTGCAAATAAATAAGTTATGGGTGAAAAACAGATATCGTACATTTAGCGTTAGATAAGAATCCATAGCCTAACTATAGCTAGGAATCTGGCCGATAATTTACATCAATCACTACCTAAGTTACTTCTTCAGGATCATCAACCAGCCCTTCAAACTCACTTAAAAATCTTCTTATAATGCACTTCACGTATATCACTACTTTTTATTTTTAACACTAAAACAATGATAAACGTAGGTACATAATAAAACACATCAGTCATTGGTGCGAGGTTAACCAAGTTGTTTACAAATACGCACGTCAGATGTCTGCTACAATATTTTCGGAACTAAAATGAAAAGCGTCTAGAAACAGACATCAGGAGAAAGCTTAGAATCTGCCGAAAACAATGATACCAATCTCGATCCAGTTCAATCTAATTCAGTCAGTCCCAGAGCCTTCGCCGTAAACGATGTTTGTGTGTCGCAAAAGCGATGCATAACACCACGGCGGGTGTGTTTTGCGTCGATTACGCAACGCTTAACACTCAGAGGGTTAAACATTAGGATTGATGACGTAAATAAGGTAAGGTACCTATGTAATTGGATTTAGCCTAAACTGAAGTTAGGCCTAGTCTAATCCAAGCAATTATTGGGGAAGCCATTTACAAAGCTTTGGCATCCTACAGTTTACAATATCGCCATGACAATAACCAGCAACTGTCGTGACAAAATGTGGGATAAGTATTTGTAACATAATAAGCTACTAAGCATATTAACTTACTGAACATGGTAGCCTACCGGTATTTATAGTCTAAGAGGGTAACAAAACATTGGAGGCCTAGCTCAGATTGTTAGCATAGGCCTAGGCCTACCTATAGGTAGGTAGCCTAAACTTAGTAGGCTAGGCCTACTAGGCTATGCAGAAATTGCTGGTTCGAGACCTTACCTTTATCTCTAATTTTTAATTTGTGAACAAAAGGATACTTCTTACTTCAGGTGGAGGATAAATAATACCCACCACAGGCTGAGAAGATGGAGGGGCAGGTTCCTCTGGAGGATTCGGAAGAACTTCCAAAGGCGGCATAGCCTTTCAGTCGAATGCACTAAATATTTGAGAAGAAACGCACTTTTAATTTACTTCTAGTTCTAGACTGTAATAAATAAACAACCGTTATAGCTGAGTTTGTTCAACTACTTAACCTTAAACCATACTTTAAACGAAACGACTGAAAGGAGACAAGAAGAGCAAGAGAGACAGAGACACAGACTACCACAACACAACACAAACAGAACAGACAATTGGGGAATTGGAATTGGATTGGATGGGAACATGGGGATGGATGGACCATGGACGATGGACTCAGAAAGATGAAACATGGAAGAAAAAGAAAACAGTAGAATTTTAGAAAAAGTTAAGATGAAATCAAGTTTAACTTAATTGAACTCAACGTTGGTTATAGCCGTTGGTTATAGATTCGCTGCACTGCTGCAACCTTTCGGGTGAATTTATTATACCCATTTTACTCAGTTAAGGACTTTATGAATTATAAAACTAAAGCCGAATCTTTCATACTGTAAATCAAAAACTCTCAATCGTTATTCTTAATCTTTGTTATCTATAGATATGAACATGTTTAGTGATATTTTATTTTATTTAATGTAATTTGACAATGCCTATTCCTATGTACAACTTGGTCAATGGCAATAAACTTTCTTATTCTTATTCTTATAATGATGCTGGTAGTTCCCTAATTTGCCGCTTGGCACAACAACTCGTGGTGTCTTTTTGGGGTAATTTTTGCAGAGATCAGAATCAGAATCAGAATGTTTTTTGGGTAAAACACCCTAACCGGGTTGGCAACACTGGCACGCGGGATTTTAACCCAATAATGGGATTTATAGACCATGTCCGGGATTAAAACAGGTAACGGGATAAAATTAGTTTTTTCGACCCGTTTACCGGGATTTTTATTGGTCGTGTCGAAACGAAACAAAACAAACACTAAACACTAGTCTGTGGTCTGTCTATCGTCGTCAGTTCCACAGCTCCAGTTCCAGCTCCAGCGTTCCTGCAAGTTAGTTCAATTCAGTTGTCATTGTCGGTTGTATGTAAATAAAATTGTTTGTACTTGCCAATGATAACAGGCCTCTTGTTAAACTATAGTCAATATTTGAATAATGCTAGCTACAATATTTTCCTAATGTTGGGACCTATGATTTTTTTTTATCCAAGTACAGTAACTTAATCCAATTCATGTCTGAAGATTTTTCTTAGGCCTAGTTTACATTAAGTTTAGGCTTATGTGTGTCCTTAATAATTAACTTATGTGCTTGTTATTTGTGTAGACTCTACAACCCAAATATTGTCTGAAGTCATGAATGAGTAATTAAATTTGTAAGTTAGGGTACTCCTTCTTTAGCCTTGCCGAGTTTAAATGATGAAGTTTTGTAGGCTTAGCGTAAGCTTCAAAGCTTACTTTAGAGAAAGTAAATTTAAGCACAGAGCAGTATAAGGTAACTTAGGCCATGTTATATAACTTAGCAGATACACTAACTTAAGTGGTGGCTAGCACTAACTTAGTAGTGGTGTCTAGGACAAAGTCCAACATCGATCGCCCTCTTTTACTAGGCCTAGATACAACGTTCATGGCGGATAAAGCCGTCCTTGATCATTGGGCTACTAATAAATAGTCCTGGCTAATGAAACAGCCTGTCTTAGTCACTAACAAAGCTACACAAGGCATTTCACTATATTCTACACTCATCCTTCACTCACATTTGGGTTGAAATAACTTACTCACATTTGGGTTGAAATAACTTACTCACCTAGGTGACGTCCCCATCTCAAGTTTTAATAAAACCCTGCCCTGTCCGATAGGAATTTCCGCACAGTGCTCGCTGTTAGGGCTCTTTATTGCTCGTCACAAGTTATTTCCGGCTCAACATGCCAGAGCTAAAAGACGGTCGTCCCATAACTTAACTTTTAAGCAAGTTTCCTCTGTAACATAAGGAAGTAATTCTCTGGGCATTGAGTAACAGCAACTTAACACGTTCGCGGCGGCACGTCAAATGGCGGGCGTATCCCCAGTGCGACGCAGCCCTCAGCGCCGAACAAACCCGATTGCCGCGTGGGATTGGCTTTTCAATTTCGGTCTGACGAATAGCAAATAACGTGCGAGGATGTCCTGCTTTACAACGAGAGTCGACGTAGTTCGCTAAACACCCACAGATAGCAGCTCTGCTTGGAACGTAGCCGGTCCCATTGGAATTGTACTGCCAAATGGAGGGAAAAAGACGGGACAAAAAGTAGATTTTAAAATTGCCAAACGGGAATTTTACGGGGAAATTTACTACCAACCTACACCACAACAAAATACAGTATACTATTGAGCAGTGCTGTGTGAGGTTTCAAGTTTCTAGCTCTAATCCTGGCTTAAAAATAAAATCATTTCGTACCACATTGCAGCTTGGGAGCGATCGCACCCACCAGGATGGCATTAGGGTTCCGTATGGGAGCGATCGCTCCCATGCCGCCGCGAACGTGTTAACTTATTAGGTCATTTTATTTAGAGTTAGGGGCCTACATGCCATGAAACTTAAAAATCTTATTAAGGAATTAACCTTCATAGAGCTTTTTGGTGTCTTCGGTCTGTTGAGTTCGATGACGTAATATTATCAAGTTCCTGCTCCCCCCACTAGGGTGCAGGACTTGTGTCTCCTGCTACCTTCCTACCTCCACTCAGTCGGTTAGGACAAGTTACTACGGCTACAACCACCACAAGACCCGAGGGAGTAATATTGAGATTACAGATTTGTCTGCAATTGTGTACTTCGGTCCCCTACACCGAAGACACCTTAGGTGTGATTGGTCCAACAGACAGAAGGCACCTAAAATGAATAATTGTACTGTATATAATGTAATACTTTTATATAATGTAAAATTATATATATACTTTTATTTTGTTATTGTATACATCAATGAGGGCTACTTTAAATGTTACTAAGCAAATCAAAATACCACAGTACCCTAAAAACATTTTATTTTATATTACTTACATGTTTCGGACATTAATGCCATGATCACAGTATAGTATATAACCTATTAGTTTCTTTTATTTACAAACATTATTAGATATTTCTTATTAAAGAACAGGTGATAATTTTTATATTAAGGGAAGGAGGTGTTTTCTTTAAGATGTATATATATATTATATGTAATATTCAATGAAATTATACATCTTAAAGAAAACACCTCCTTCCCTTAATATAAAAATTATCACCTGTTCTTTAATAAGAAATATCTAATAATGTTTGTAAATAAAAGAAACTAATAGGTTATATACTATACTGTGATCATGGCATTAATGTCCGAAACATGTAAGTAATAAAAAATAAAATGTTTTTAGGGTACTGTGGTATTTTGATTTGCTTAGTAATATACTTTTATATAATGTAAAATTATATAATAGTAATAATTTTACATAGTTTATATCTTGTATTTCCATAGTTATACCAGTAGCCTACATCAAATACATTTTTTTTTTCTTAATACAAAAACAGTCTCACAGTCTGAAGACACCAAAGGTGTAGGCTAATCAAAGTCACCATTACTCTATGGGTAAAAAAAGGCATTATTTGAAGTCTCAGTCAAACGTTTAAAATAGACAGAATTCTGATGGTTTAGGCTATAGGCCTATGTTTTTTTGTATTAACTAGTCCATAATCTTTCATAATATATCAGTAAAGGCTTTAGTTGTTTAGTTGGAACGCAGATAGAGGCAAGAGAAGTTGTCATAAAAGGAGTCCAAGGACATTAGACAATAGTTTATTCTTCTTTCAGTCGTATACACAAGCCCAGTCACATATAATATGGCTTCATGGTTTGGCACCCAACATATTGAACCCACTTTTAGCAAATTTCCCATATAGGGAATAAGCTATTAGGCCCCTACCGTAGTACTCATGGTAAGACCTGGATCCGGGACCGATTTACTTTTTCGTTTTGAGGTCTCTAGAGGCCAAAAACACCAACTGTTTAAATTCATAAATATGTGTGTCTCTTACATCTTTTATATGTCCTCTTCATCACAGTCGTAGAGACTGGAGAATCGTCAATTTCTTATTTTTTCGCTTCTTTTCGTCAGCACGATAACTCGAAAAAAAATGATCCGATTTTGATGAAATTTGGTATAAACGTGTAAACCTACATTTATTAGAACGAGTTCACAATCCAGCATGATCGGACTTTGGGAACAGGGGTTTATAGGGGTAAAAATAGGTTTTTCTCATTTTTGACCCTTAAAACATAAAATTTAGCAATTTCTTTCCAAACCATTTTGTAGAGCTTTTTTATGAGCATATTTTGATTACACATTTGGAATATGAATATATTTCATACTAAGCTAGGCTATTAACATTTTACAAGAAAAAAAAACAACTTTTTTACCCTCCCTGTTTGCAGCAAACCTAGAGTAGCCTACTCGTTGAATTAATGCTATTTAAATAGGGAATAAATGTGACATTTTTTTAGACATTTTAGTGTAAATCCAATTAGGGAAAAAGAAATTCGCTTAGTCTGCAGGTTTGCTGCGGCGGGGGTATTTTACTATAATGTTCGCTGAATTAAAATGTATTTAACTACTAATAAATAGTCCTGGCTAATGAAACAGCCTGTCTTAGTCACTAACAAAGCTACACAAGGCATTTCACTATATTCTACACTCATCCTTCACTCACATTTGGGTTGAAATAACTTACTCACATTTGGGTTGAAATAACTTACTCACCTAGGTGACGTCCCCATCTCAAGTTTTAATAAAACCCTGCCCTGTCCGATAGGAATTTCCGCACAGTGCTCGCTGTTAGGGCTCTTTATTGCTCGTCACAAGTTATTTCCGGCTCAACATGCCAGAGCTAAAAGACGGTCGTCCCATAACTTAACTTTTAAGCAAGTTTCCTCTGTAACATAAGGAAGTAATTCTCTGGGCATTGAGTAACAGCAACTTAACACGTTCGCGGCGGCACGTCAAATGGCGGGCGTATCCCCAGTGCGACGCAGCCCTCAGCGCCGAACAAACCCGATTGCCGCGTGGGATTGGCTTTCCAATTTCGGTCTGACGAATAGCAAATAACGTGCGAGGATGTCCTGCTTTACAACGAGAGTCGACGTAGTTCGCTAAACACCCACAGATAGCAGCTCTGCTTGGAACGTAGCTGGTCCCATTGGAATTGTACTGCCAAATGGAGGGAAAAAGACGGGACAAAAAGTAGATTTTAAAATTGCCAAACGGGAATTTTACGGGGAAATTTACTACCAACCTACACCACAACAAAATACAGTATACTATTGAGCAGTGCTGTGTGAGGTTTCAAGTTTCTAGCTCTAATCCTGGCTTAAAAATAAAATCATTTCGTACCACATTGCAGCTTGGGAGCGATCGCACCCACCAGGATGGCATTAGGGTTCCGTATGGGAGCGATCGCTCCCATGCCGCCGCGAACGTGTTAACTTATTAGGTCATTTTATTTAGAGTTAGGGGCCTACATGCCATGAAACTTAAAAATCTTATTAAGGAATTAACCTTCATAGAGCTTTTTGGTGTCTTCGGTCTGTTGAGTTCGATGACGTAATATTATCAAGTTCCTGCTCCCCCCACTAGGGTGCAGGACTTGTGTCTCCTGCTACCTTCCTACCTCCACTCAGTCGGTTAGGACAAGTTACTACGGCTACAACCACCACAAGACCCGAGGGAGTAATATTGAGATTACAGATTTGTCTGCAATTGTGTACTTCGGTCCCCTACACCGAAGACACCTTAGGTGTGATTGGTCCAACAGACAGAAGGCACCTAAAATGAATAATTGTACTGTATATAATGTAATACTTTTATATAATGTAAAATTATATATATACTTTTATTTTGTTATTGTATACATCAATGAGGGCTACTTTAAATGTTACTAAGCAAATCAAAATACCACAGTACCCTAAAAACATTTTATTTTATATTACTTACATGTTTCGGACATTAATGCCATGATCACAGTATAGTATATAACCTATTAGTTTCTTTTATTTACAAACATTATTAGATATTTCTTATTAAAGAACAGGTGATAATTTTTATATTAAGGGAAGGAGGTGTTTTCTTTAAGATGTATATATATATTATATGTAATATTCAATGAAATTATACATCTTAAAGAAAACACCTCCTTCCCTTAATATAAAAATTATCACCTGTTCTTTAATAAGAAATATCTAATAATGTTTGTAAATAAAAGAAACTAATAGGTTATATACTATACTGTGATCATGGCATTAATGTCCGAAACATGTAAGTAATAAAAAATAAAATGTTTTTAGGGTACTGTGGTATTTTGATTTGCTTAGTAATATACTTTTATATAATGTAAAATTATATAATAGTAATAATTTTACATAGTTTATATCTTGTATTTCCATAGTTATACCAGTAGCCTACATCAAATACATTTTTTTTTTTCTTAATACAAAAACAGTCTCACAGTCTGAAGACACCAAAGGTGTAGGCTAATCAAAGTCACCATTACTCTATGGGTAAAAAAAGGCATTATTTGAAGTCTCAGTCAAACGTTTAAAATAGACAGAATTCTGATGGTTTAGGCTATAGGCCTATGTTTTTTTGTATTAACTAGTCCATAATCTTTCATAATATATCAGTAAAGGCTTTAGTTGTTTAGTTGGAACGCAGATAGAGGCAAGAGAAGTTGTCATAAAAGGAGTCCAAGGACATTAGACAATAGTTTATTCTTCTTTCAGTCGTTTACACAAGCCCAGTCACATATAATATGGCTTCATGGTTTGGCACCCAACATATTGAACCCACTTTTAGCAAATTTCCCATATAGGGAATAAGCTATTAGGCCCCTACCGTAGTACTCATGGTAAGACCTGGATCCGGGACCGATTTACTTTTTCGTTTTGAGGTCTCTAGAGGCCAAAAACACCAACTGTTTAAATTCATAAATATGTGTGTCTCTTACATCTTTTATATGTCCTCTTCATCACAGTCGTAGAGACTGGAGAATCGTCAATTTCTTATTTTTTCGCTTCTTTTCGTCAGCACGATAACTCGAAAAAAAATGATCCGATTTTGATGAAATTTGGTATAAACGTGTAAACCTACATTTATTAGAACGAGTTCACAATCCAGCATGATCGGACTTTGGGAACAGGGGTTTATAGGGGTAAAAATAGGTTTTTCTCATTTTTGACCCTTAAAACATAAAATTTAGCAATTTCTTTCCAAACCATTTTGTAGAGCTTTTTTATGAGCATATTTTGATTACACATTTGGAATATGAATATATTTCATACTAAGCTAGGCTATTAACATTTTACAAGAAAAAAAAACAACTTTTTTACCCTCCCTGTTTGCAGCAAACCTAGAGTAGCCTACTCGTTGAATTAATGCTATTTAAATAGGGAATAAATGTGACATTTTTTTAGACATTTTAGTGTAAATCCAATTAGGGAAAAAGAAATTCGCTTAGTCTGCAGGTTTGCTGCGGCGGGGGTATTTTACTATAACAGGGTGTCCACATTCTGGAAAGTCAGGGATAGTCAGGGAAAGTCATGGAAAAAAATTCTGGTCATTGAAAGTCATGGAAATAGGCAAAAAGTCATGGAATGTCATGGAAATTCCCAATGATGGATGGGTTTGACGAGACTTAATACTCTAGTTGGCTGCAACGCCGACTATTGTAGCTTTTTTCAGTATTTTTTATAAATTCACAACACTTGAACTTATTACAGTGTTTGTATTAGTTGATGAGAGTTTCGAGTTTGTAATAGTCACTACAATCTGTACCTACTTTATCTTATAATTTAATTTAATATTTTTAGGATATTGTTGCAACAGTAGTGTAGGTACAGTATATTAAAATGTTACAACTTCATTATTACAACTCAAATTGCAATACAAATATTGTTATAATGTTTTGATTTGTCTTAAGTTATGTTTTTTTTGTTAAGCTAATTTTTGTTAAACTGTAAACTCATAAAAAAATTAATAATAAAAATTATACAGTAAGGAAAAAGGGAAGTGGACAGTGAACTTGGCCAGCTATGGCGACGGAGTTTATTGGGTTTTCTTTTTTCCTTCCATATTTTGAATACCATATTTTTACAAAATGTATTACTCCATTGTTATCTGTTAATACATGTTTCAGTATTTTTCTGAAATAACTTGTCTAGGCAGTATTTTGTGTGTGTATGTTACATTATAATTTTTGAGTAAAGTTCGTGAGTCATGGAAATCAATGGTAAATGGTCATGGATAGTCATGGAAAGTCATGGAAATCAATGACAAATTTTCTGTGGACACCCTGTATAATGTTCGCTGAATTAAAATGTATTTAACATTTGTTTGAGTAGTCACTATTGCAACTTGCTGACTTGTATTGCTAAACTAAATTTTGTTAGTCTACTAAACAAATTGTTAGGACCTAAAAATGTCTTAAAAGCCCAAGGGGTTCCCAGTCAGAATATAGGTCGGTACTTACATATTATACCGACCACACCGATAAATCGATTTCCAAATAAGATTTTAATTAGTTTAAATTACAAAATCCTCCTAACCTCTCTTAACCACCCTTAGGTTAAGTTAGGTGCCTAATTAGTAGGTGTGGTTGTTATAATACGCAAGTACCAAGGGAGTCAACATAGTCCAGTTGCATGTTTGACTTCACCCTTAGTTGTATGTTAACTTAGTCATCTTGAATTATGATCATGTCATAATTGTATAAGTGTTTTTTAAACGTTAGTAAATAAATAACTTAACGTCTTATGTTTGTGATTTGGAAAAATTTCTTGGTTTTGCAATTTTGAGTTATATAAATCTGTGTTTTCAGACTTTTAATAGGCCCTAACTATGGGGAAAGTGACGAGGGTGATTGTATGTGGTATGAAGAGTGTTGGAAAAACAGCGATTTTGGAACAAGCGATCTACGGAAACTACTCAAAAGATTCAGTAAGTCTAGGCTTTGCCTATTTAGTTGTTCCTCTCAAATCCAAAAACTCCTATTGCAATTTGTATCTAGATTATAATTTTGACTTACTGGTAGAAACAAAGGTTTTAATGTTGAATTATCTCATCAGCAACAGTAATTTTGTGTGTGTGTACTGAAGTAACGCTTTTAGGGAAAGCGGTCCAAGCTCAAACCCGTCCCTCCTGCACCAAAGTCGGAACGCAAACCACTAGGCTAGCAACACAGAAATTATATGCTTAATGCTTCAGATTCAGATTGACCAAGTTATAGATTTGTTTCAGATTGTATATCTAAATTTTAAGTCGTCAAAACAAACAAGAGCACATACAAAGATGATGAAATAAGGCATTTAATTGAATTATTGTTGAACAAAATGAGAAAGTTCCTGATAAAATAACATATCAGCTTGACTGCTGTCTATTTCTATTTTAAATTCCAGTTTCTTCAAGCCACAATAGAGGATATCTACGTGGCGTGTGTGGAAACAGAGCGGGGGACAAAGGAGAAGGTCCGTTTCTACGACACTGCGGGACTAGAGAAAGTGTCTGATGCACGCCAAGCGTGTCAGTTGTGGCAAGCCGACGGCTATGTCATGGTGTACGACACGTCGCGACCAGAGACGCTTGACCTGCTAGTCCAACTCAAAAAGGAGATTGATAAGAATAAGGAGAAGAAAGAGGTATGTGGCTGTTGTTGTAAAAAGCTGTTATTTGGTTTACCCTTCCTGGAAGGATGGGCCATTAGGCCTAGATTCGGCAAAAATGTATAAATTTAAAAAAATTAATTTCTTACACTTTTTATGTATAATAATATATGACTTCTTAGCGGAGGACCCTGAAGAGGAACTGTATCACTTCTGTGTTAATTTAAACCTGCAAAGCATTTATGGAAAACAGCCGGTTTCAGTGTAGTAGGCTATGGCAAAAATATATGTCCGATGTATTAAGATTAGTACCGTAGTAGAGTAACACCACTTGCTATAAATATACGGTAAATGGAATTGCTTAATCAGAGTAACATGTTGTACAACAAAATTAGACTTATTTTCCGTTAATTTACCACCACTTAGGTAAAATGAAATAATATTTAAAAAATAAGTAATCTAATGACTTACTCAAGATATCATTTATCAGAAGATAAAGAACTCTAAAAAAATTTTGAAGCAATTTTTTTTCAGTGGCCTTCATGAATCTCATGAATGCTTGCTGAAATAATCCCTACAACTTAACTGTTTAGTTTTCAATTAGATTTTTCAGGCTCTAATTTAACAAGGCTTGTTCTTATTTTAGTACAAGACTATTCCTATTAATATTTTCTATCCACAAACCAAACAACAGGCCTACCAGAGTGTTTCATTCTGCTAAAATGTTCAGGTAGTTTTCGTAATCCTCGGCCACAACATCAAGACAGTCGAGTCGCCAGTCCCGTTGGAAAGTCCGGCGAGCAAAGCGTCTCATTGGTCGATCAGAGAGAAGATTCGGCACTTTGAGGTGAATGCTTTGGACAGAGCGACCTTGTTCGAACCGTTCATTCATCTGAGTTCCAAGTTGAATCAGCCGCCCAACAAGAGCGGGTTTCATCAACTCAGCATCACCCGCAAGTCCGTCAAGGCCTCGGATAGCTGAGGGCAGGCCAAGTTTTACATATCCAGCTGTGACGAGCACGACTGCTCACATACCACTTAACATGGACTACAGTGTAAAATTTCAAGGACAAAAACTAAGTATTACATTGACTGCCTTTGACTTGTGTCTGCAAGTAAGTCTAACATATGTTTGGAGACTTAACAATGAATGATTGAGCATTGACACAAGATATAGTTTCTTAAACTTGAAGGTAGGCTTCAAAAGTTAAAATAAACTGTCAAATTTGGTTCAGGAGATACCCACTTTGTTTAGCTGGTGAAAATATTGAATGAGGTTTCGGATGCTTTGAAGCAATCCATTTTTGAGACTAGGTTGAATTTAGCTAGCCCAGTAACTCAATTACTGCCACGAGTTTGTAACGTTGGCAGTTTTTTGGCCAGCTAAACAACAATGCTATCTCATAAAGACCAAGATTCGTAGATTCGCTCTTTTAAACTCGCTTACTAAACCGTAAGAAATGTGAATTTATGTAAATAAAATTGTTTAAAAACTTTACAAGCAATATTGGAGAGCGGTTGATTTTTTAAAGTAAAAAATTTACGTTTCATTAAGAAATGTTGCTAAATTATAAACAAGTACTTCTACATAAATAACTCTCATTTATAAACAGCTGATTTAGTTATCAATCGCTTTGAACTGCAATTGTCAAGATAGAACAAGTTTGTAGGTATAAATTAGTATATAAGTGGATGTTTTGTACTTTATTTATTCTTACATTTAAAATAAATCAATTTATTACTGTTATATTTTGTGAAATCATAGATACCCCATCTTCAGACTTTTTATGTTTCAATTCATATTTTATTTTGCAGCTTTCTTCACAGTTGTGTCCAAGATCTATTCCCGTAACAGGACTTTTTATCGCTATCTAATAAAATATAAACCTTTTTCACGATTGGCAAAACACCTCTTCAATCAAGGCAATTCAACAACTTTTCCAATGTACGGTACTTGATGTATTTGATTTATTAATGTAGTTGCTATAAATGAAAGTCTTCCATGTTTACTTTTATTTCAATAAATGAAAAAATGGAAAGCTGATAAATAAAATAATGCCTTGGAAAACAGACGGTATTCAAGGATAAGACCTCCGTACACTCTGCTTATAACTGGTCGACTTGAAATCTGGAGATGAAAAAGCTGGGGAGTTATGTTGGACTACACATATTTTACAGGAAGAATAGAACTTGATTTAGCGAATAAGATACTGAGACATTTGTCTGAAGGTATATCAGCTGGATCTTACAAGGTCTGATGGGTTATCAGGATGTTTGGCTTAGTGGAGGACCAAACCTAGTCAATTAGAATAGTGCCGGAATCAGTTCAAGCAAGTGGTCATTTCAATTAATATGTTAGTACTGACGAATAACAATTGGGCTTCTTTTACACGTAACTTCAGGCTAGACGTAGAGGATTGCAGAAAAAATCCAAGATCCAGGATTTGAACCCAGGCCCTCGGAGACCGAAGCCACGCTCTACCTGTAGACCAGCTTACCCTCCTACGACACTTGGGCATCAAACAATTACACTTTCTTAACCAAGACAAAGAAGCACAAGAAAAGGCTTAAGACAGATAAAAGATTGATTAATGGAGAGAAATTATGATGTGGTAATTTAAGAGGTGGAAATCAAAGATGAGTCATGATGAATCAAGTTTATTACAAGTAAAAACGTATTTTACAATCATGTAAAGGTTTGTTTGTTTATGTCTAAATATTTTTTTTAACATTTATTAAATTTATATACCTAAGCATTTAGGTATTTTTTTCCTTTTGAGTTGCAAAATACTTGCAGGCCAACTTGTAGAAAGGCATCTCAATACAAAGGTGTAGAGGCAGTGCGATCATCGTAGTTTGGATAAGGGCTGCCAACCAGTAGTACAACTGCAGCAACATATGTTATTTTGTTGTTGAACCTCAAGTAGTAGATATTTGAAAGCAATGCATTAAAACTTTTTTGGAGTTTGAGCTACGAGCGTGGATTTTATAAGGGAAAGAACCAGGACATAGAAGAGGTGGATAGGGACGCAAATGTTTTAGGACTGTTTAGTAGACTGAAATGGACTGGATACATGCTAAAATAGAAGGAGAATCAAACCTAACTAAAATCCTCAATTAAAGAACATCCGAATGATATAATTAAATAAAAGTGCCAGTCTTAATTTTTTTAATACTTAAGCCTACTTTAGACGAAAAAGAAGTTGGCTTAAGATTAAGGAAAAGGGAATGGTTTTGAACATGTATGGTTTCAGCCTGGAACTATTTTCTTGGGTTAGTTTGTTGTTAATAAATTCCTTCTCCAGTAAATCACTTGCTGTAATTTAAATTACAATATAAATGAAGGTGAAGACCTAATTTTTTTTAAGGTTTTCTCTAAATCTCAGGTGCCAAGACACTGTACACAGTTACTTTTAAACTATGGCACAGTTAAATTTATTCTCCCCCTAAAATTGGAAACAGTAAACAGTAAAAATAAAACAGTGAAAATCACTAATACAATTTTCAAAGACAACATAATGGTCATTTCTTGATCTTTGGGTCATTTAATTAAAGACTGGCTAAAACCAGCTGATTTTAGTAAGTAACAAGAACAAAGCTGAATTATACCAAGGCCCCACTAGAAAATCAGGCAATGCTGCAGGATCCATGACGTCACACTAGTGGATGGATTTCATTGCCATCACCATTTCCATTTGTTTTAGGTAAATAAACAAGCTGGCTGTTTGTAAGATTTTAATGTTAAGAGTTTAGTACAACTATCCACCGCTGTGACGTAGTGTTGCGCTGCCCATGCTGCAGCATGGCCTGTTTTTTCTAGTGGGGCCTTGATATACTCGTTCATCAACCATCATGGGTCCTCTAATCACATTAGCCATAAATTATCCACCATGGCACACGAGTACAAACCTAATAAGCTTGGAAACAAAAAGTTTGATTTAAAAATAAGCTAATACATTTGTTGAACACTGGAACTTACTGTGGTACTGATGTTGATATCCAAAGGCTTGGTCTGTTGACTGTGAAACGGGATGAAAATAAGCCCAAAATTTACGAGGTAAATGCCAAGTGAAAGTTTTGCCAAAGGTTGAAATCCTCGCCAACACAGAAAATCGTTCATCAGTCCTGAAAACCATATTATTAAGTCAGGCTGAACACAATCCTAAATGAGACAATAATTCGCTAATTGTTTTCTCGACTTTGTTGTCTCAATGTAGTTGCATGCATTGTAAATGTAGTAATAATCAGTTAAAACATGGTTTAGATCTAAAAAATGCTCAAATGCTGAAAAAAACTACACAACACAATTATTTGGTGATTGGATATGGGAACTGAGAAGCTCCAGCTTGGTGGAAGATTATAGGTGTGAAGGCCTGGAGGCATAAGAAAATATTCTGCTTGTTGGATTTAAACGAGGAGGAATCGAGGTGAGATGAAGGAATGGGACTAAGAGATAAAGTCATGGAGCTGGGAAAAAAATAAAATTTTGAGAAGTAAGGAATTAGATTTCTGGGAATATGGGAAGTAAAACGTATCATTTTGAAATTGCAAGTAGGTAGAGGAAAATACCTGAAGAATCAAAGAAAGTCATGAAGAGAATCAAGAAAAATAGGAAAATAATCAAAAGATTCAATTTTTAATTCTAGTTATGGAAGTGGTTTGTTAGTACTCCCCCCCCCCCCCCAGGAAGCCTTGAACAACAACTTGGAAGGTTATTTGGGAAAGCAGCCTGGGCTTTGACTCCACCTCCACAAGTTCTACATTTCCACCTCAAGTGCAACATTTCTAACCTTAAGTTATATTTCCCAACTCGAGTTTAAAGTTTCCTAGCACAAATTCTACCATCCCCACCTCAAGTCGTATGTTTCCCATCTCTAGTTCTAATTCTCTCCACTAATTCTTGACTTCTCACCACTAATTCTAAATTTCCCACTTGTAACATGTACCCTTGAAACTAAAAAAGCACAGAAACTCCTACACGGACCATGAGTATCTCTGATATCTAACCTCCGTATCCTTGTGTGCACACTAGGATGATCCATGCACCAACGGCCGCCACTTGAAGCTTGGTGAAGGCGTTGTGGTACACATCAAGCCACGGAGTGTACTGGTAGTTTGGAGTCATGATGATTTTGGAGGCGTAAACTGGAAGAATCATAAACACTATTGCCACAGTCCAGCCTGCCAATAGCTTTATCTGTCAGGAGAAAGATTTTGTAAAAAAGAAAACTGGGTAAAATTATTTTACAAGATATAAATAATTAAATATCTAGATTTGAGAAAGGATGGGCATAGTAGTGTGTAGCAAATTTTAACTGATTTGAAAGTATCTTATAGAAGATATATATTATTGATGTTAATTTGGCTTAGTATATTTGACTTATTGTAAATCTTGAACACACATGCCTCAAATGTAATATCCTTCTTCAGCTACTATGGTTGTATCTTGTTGCCAAGATGGGAACAAATGTTTTACATATTCCTTTTTTTTATATTGAGAATTCTTAAGCGAGGGTGTGTAGGCTGCAATTTTATTCTCAGTGTTGCTTGAAATGTTTTATATTTATTTTTTGATAAATCTTTCAATATCAAAGTCATTTGTTTTTTTTAGGAATATTGGTTCAATTCAGAAATTACACTATGGAAAATGGGTCCAGTAATGAGCTTTCTGAGGTTTTGTTTTATCTATGATTGTTTACCTCTAGATTTAAAGGGGCTAACCTTCACCATCCCACCATTGAGTAAATTTGAGCTAATCTAATGTTTTGTTGAACAAAACTTAAGGAGTGTTTTGAATTACTTGAGATTAATAATGGCAATTTATTTAGCTGCAACTTACTTTAGTGAGTTCAATTCTTTTTTTGGCTTGAGCTGCAGAGAACACTGCATATCCCAAGCCGAGTCCGAGCAGGTATGCTGGCAATCGTAGATGAGTTTGGAAATAGTGCTCTGACATCAACTCATTGTGGCGGTTGTATCTGTAAATATAAAATGTGTTTATAAATCCCACCACCTACACATATTCCAGATCATGTTTTGTAAAAACAACCCACTAATATCCATCATATCAATTGTGGCAAAAATATTTCACAACACTGCGGTAAAGCAAAATGCTAAATGAGTCTTGTATCATACATGTATTTCAACACGATAAAAAGAAAAAAAAACAATAGGAACACTTAACTTGCTAAGAATTGTGTGAAGAAAACCAACTGCCATGATTGTTTTGAAATTTATGTAATCTATTTTATGTTTAGATGATTAGCTTGAGTACTAAACGTAAACGTAATTTCTTTGATTTGTGGCAGCAGTGAATGAGGTCTCTAAAGTAATTTCATAGACTAAACTATTTTTGAACGAGGTATGTTTTGTATAAAATTAGAAGTTTTGAGATAATTACAAAAAGTAAATCTTGATAATCGATGGTAATATTTAATGTTTTAACTTTACCTGAAATATTAAAATAGGCTTTACCTTTGTCACTGCAGCTCAAATTCTTGTGGTGTAACTACGTTACGGCCGTTTCGGCATTACAATGCCATGGTCAGACTACAAAAACTCGGCTGAAGTAGCGTCGTTTAAGTTTAAACACGTAACACATAGGAACAATACTAAACATTTAAAATATTTACAAAAACCGATCAGGCCTGTCGTACTAACGGTTGAAATGTTCCCGTTCCGAGCAAAAAGCCGACTGGAAGATTTCTATGTCGAGCCCGGTGTGGTGGCGTTGTAATGCCGAAACGGCCGTAACGTAGTTACACCACAAGAATTTGAGCTGCAGTGACGAAGGTAAAGCCTATTTCAGTTATTATACAGCTCAGGGGCTAAAACATGGATTTTAATTTACCTGAAATGTTTACTTTTAATTAATCACAAAAATTTAGAATTTCTAAATCTGGACTTTGGATTTCTCTTAGACGTCTTAGCATTTAGAAAATGTTTACTATGACTGCTCCAAAGTTCAATAAACATGTGTAAAAATTTAGCCGAGGACATGGCAAAAAGTCTACTTACAGGCATGAATAACCGCCAGCGTCAACTTGTTTCACATAGGAAACTGTTGCATAAACTGCCAAACATACGGCACCCACAACCATCAGAAGTGTTTTCCCAAGTTGCGGCCTCTTATATAGTGGTACTAGGAACAACGGGGACAGAGCAAACATTTGGAAATCTGCAGCGAGATACCAGCTTTCTCCAACACACTGCAACAGACAAGGGGAATCTCTTAGCTGCACACTAAAATCAAGAATGCTTTATCCTTAACAAGTCAAGTGGAGGGGTCTACTTTGCAGATGGACAAACAAGCCCTACCAATGCAGGAGAAACATCTTATGTTGAGATCTGGACCTCCTACACCTTCCTGCACGGCTGATGAATCTGCAGAGAGTCACCCCAAGCTACCCAAATCTACTGAGACATCTGTTACAACATATCCAACAACCACCAAAGAGAGCCAAGCTGTTTCTACAGCCTCAAAGGACCCCAGCACTCAGCTTGACGTGGATAGTGTCACGTGCAGTTCAAAAAAGCAGTCTAGTGAAAGTGTAAATAGTTGCAGGAAAGAAATCACCATTCTTAGCAATAGTAATAGCAATAGTCCAAGCATTGGTAGGGATCTTTTTTTAGAAAAGTAAAAAATCCAACAAAAAATAATAACATAAATATTTTGTTTTTAAATATTCAGGGACTAAAAGATAAAGTCTTCCTGTTGGAAGGATTTTTAATTGGCCTAGATATTCACATAATTTGCCTGTCAGAACATTGCCTTAAGTCAAATGAAGTTGATTTTTCAAATCCAAGTGAATATACTTTAGGTAGCTCTTTTTGTAGAAGTGATTTTAAAAGAGGAGGCTCCTTAATATTCGTTAATAACTATTTTTTGTCATGTTTTACTGAATTGGATGTAACGTTTCTTTGTCAAGAATTACATTTTGAAATATCAGCTATTATTTCACTAAAATTAAAATTAATTGTACTCTCTGTATACCGATCCCCTGATGGTAGTCCAGCTATTTTTTTAGATAAGCTAGAGATTTTGTTTAACTTTCATTCTCAGTGGCTTGATTACACTGTTGTGATAGGTGGAGATTTTAACATTGAATTTGATGTCACTAAAGATAAACGTACTGTAAAAGAATTTTTAAATTTACTAAGACAATTCAACTTTTTCTGCCAGAATTTCAATCCTACTAGAGGTCCAAACTGTCTGGACAATGTATTTATTAACCGTACTAATAGGGAATCTGTCCATTTTTGTGCTATTGAACTATTTCCTTTTTCAGATCACGATAGCCTAAAATTTACCATAACTCTAGATATTAAGAAAAACCCAATTGCATCTAATGGTACCAAACCAAGTATGTTTAAAACAATTTTACCACAACGTAGGTTAAGTGATTTATTGGAAATGCTTTTTTGTACTGACTGGGAGCAGGTTATGTATGCTATAACTGACTCTATATCTTTGTTTTCATGTTTTTTCCAGAAAATTTGCAACTCAATCAATTTCTATTGTAAGAAAAAAATCATAAATAGTTCTGATAACAAAACGATTGGGTTACCAAAACAAAAATGGTACACAACCGAACTTGCAGGTCTTAAGCAAGAGATTTTAGTTATAAGTAAAGTCCTTAAAGAATCTTTTTCTTCTAATCCAAGAGTTTGTGAACAACTTAGAAATCTAAAAAAAATGTATAGACAGAAAATCATTAAGGCAAAACTAGACTTTAATCAAAGACAGATTGAAAATAGTAGTAACAAGTGTAAAGCTGCTTGGAATATCATAAAATCAAACACCCAAAACTTAAGAAATGAGCCTTCACCAAATATTACACCATCTCAATTTAATGCATATTTTGTTGAATCAGTTCAGACTATAAAACAGAACATAGGCAACCCAAATCTTTTCCCAAAGCATTTTGTCAATAATGCTCAGGTTGCTCCAGTAAAATTCAATTTCAAATTAGTAAACCAAAAATGTATCATTAATGCTATTAAAAAATTGAAAAACTCAAATTCATTGGACTGCTACAACTTGTCAAATAATATTCTCAAAAAAATAATCCCTGCTATCGTACACCCTTTAACTATAGTAATTAATAGTCTTTTATCTGATGGACATTTCCCAGAACAATTAAAACTATCCCGCATCTGTCCTATTTTCAAGAAAGGAGATAGAGACAAACCCGAAAGCTACAGGCCGATTTCAATAGTTCCGATTCTATCTAAGGTAATTGAAATAGTAGTTTTTGAACAAATTTATGAGTTTCTTGAGAACAATAACCTTTTTTCTACTTCACAATTTGGTTTTCGAAGTGGTAGATCAACTTTAGATGCCATTGATACCTTAGTTTGTGATGTCATTGAAGCCTTTGAGTCAAGGGCCTTTGCTTGGGCCACTCTGTGTGACCTGAGCAAGGCTTTTGACTGTGTGAATCACCAGGATCTTTTGATGAAACTTCAACACTATGGCTTTGGAGATACCATTCTTCAGTTTCTTAAATCTTATCTTAGTAATCGAAGACAGATTGTCTCTGTTAACGGTGAGATGTCAAATGAGATAATAGTGGATTGCGGAGTGCCTCAGGGGTCCGTACTTGGACCACTCATGTTCTTAATTTCTATTAATGATCTTCCAAGTAACATTTCAAAACCTACTAAATCCATTTTATATGCAGATGATACAACTTTCTTTTCAAAGAGCAGAACAATAATTGAATTAGAACAAATAACCCAAACTGCAATGAGTGATGCCTCAGCATGGTTTCAGTCAAATAATTTTCTTCTGAACAACAATAAAACTCAAAACATTCTTTTCAGTTTAAGACCCACGGATCACGTGTTTCATAATATACAACACAGTGTGAAATTCCTAGGTATGCACATTGATAACCAGCTCAGCTGGGAATCCCATGTAGATTATCTATCAACAAGATTATCTCGCGTTGTTTATCTAATTAGAAGACTGATCTCACTTGTTGACAGTAGCTATGTAAGAATGTCTTATTTCGCCTTTTTTCAAAGTATTTATCGCTATGGCTTGATATTTTGGGGAAGCAGTTCAGGAATTCAGGATATTTTACTGATTCAGAAAAATATTGTTAGAATTATATGTAATGAACATCCTGATACTCATTGTAAACCTCTTTTTATTAAACTTGAATTCCAAACAGCTATTAATTTGTACATATATGATATCATGGCTTACAGCCTTAAAAAATTGCCCTTTCAAACCTTATGTAATGATATCCATAGACACAATACGAGAAACAATTTAAATATTAAAAGAAGTTTTTTCAGATTAAATTTGACTCTAAAAAGCCACATAGTGATGTCACAGGTAATATATAACAAACTCAGTAAAATTGTTCAATCATATCCAACACACTCAATGTTTTTAAAACAATTTTATAATTGGCTTTTGAAAAATCCCTTTTATTCCCTCTCAGAGTTTTTAGAGAGGAAGAAAATTGTATTTTAGCTTGTAAGCTTTATATTTTATGACCTTATGACTAGTTATATTCTTGACTGTTGCTAATACATGTATAATGTCAATGGCAAATAAAGATTTCTATTCTATTCTATTCTATTCTATTCTACAGTAAACTTGGTCAGCTAAACAATTTTTAATTGCTATTTTGTGAGAAGTAAATTTTTGTATTGTTGGCCTTGAAAGTTAGCTAAGGTAGAACTTCATCAGATGATCGTCGAGTTAGCAGCTCAAATCTCCTTGATGTACAGGAAAAAATGTCTTTCACTCTGCAACGCAACCCCTCTTCCATTAGCTGATTGTATTGTGTACAAGTATAAAGACTATGTACCACCATTATTGACAAAACTGTTCACAGAAGGGAATCTTGGTTGGATTTGATTTTTCTGAGGTTTTTTACTTAACTTAATAGAGAAGAGCGTAGTTTAGACATAGCAGGTGTCCTTCAACATAGCGAAATAGTTGTTTGAATCTTGATTGCCTAAATTTTTTCAACTCTTTTTTTATGTTTTCCTGGGAGAACTGTACATTTCAAGGATAGTACTTTTCTCTTGATATTTCACAGTTTTTGGTATGGGCAAAGCGGAAGAAGATTTTAGAAAGTAGAGCTTAAATCTTACTATAGCATCTTCACTATACTCTGTATGAATGAACCTGTCTCTTGACCATGGGGACTTGTCTTGTCTACGTGGGGACTAGCCAATAGTTTAAGTCCTGGGCTAGTCCAGAGTATGAAGGGTCAGGAAACAGGTTCCACCATACAGACTATAGAGCCTATAGACTCTCATGAAACATATTTATAGGACTAAACTCATTAAAATGAGCACAAGCTGAAGATGACATCCATAACCATTCAATCTAGTAAAAATCCTGTCTTAATCACAGTAGAATCATTTAAGAGTGGAAAGTCGCACATCCGCATTAGAACACTTTCCCCAACATCGCTTTAGATAATTTGAACAGTCTTAAAAATTACCATTATGCATAATTTAATATACAAATTCAATAGGGAAAAAGTGGTGGGGGAGCTTACTATTCTCCCTACAACCCATCTTATTTGACACAATCCCTACAACCAAAGTAAGACTAAACTTTACTTTCATATTCAACTTACCGCAGCCACTGGGTAAATATAGTTGGAGATGTGTAATATCCCGGTGATCCAAGTAGTACGACAGCTCCAAGTTGAGAAGCCCATAAACCGACCCCACATCGGTCCACTGGAAGAGTGAATCAGCAACGTTGCAGTATACAGCATCAGCACAGCCAGAGTCGGGGTATATCTAGACGCATATTGCTGATATTTAGATTCAATTAACCAGCGTTAGATTCAATTAAGATTGATAAATTTGTACGTTTATGTTAGAGCCTGCACACTTTTGTTCTCTATGACTTGCACGTACGCATGGAAGTTTAGCTCACAAGAACATCTTATAACATTGAAAGGTGGTTGTGAATGAAAATTAGAAGACAAAGTTGTAATAAAAAGTTGTTGATGACTTTCACTTTGATTTGATTTACAGACATACATTCTAAAAACCCAGGGTGGAAACGCTCACCGTTTTCTAAAAACTAACACACAAGACTGAAATTTCAGGATTCTTGGAAAAACAGATTTGAAACCTCATTCACACGTAATTCCACTCCACTATACCACTGAAAGTATCCTATGGACTTTTTCCCATCACAAAACAACAATAAATTATGAACTAAAATTTTACTGATTCCAAAAGCTCATATTTATTTAATCCGGTGAAAGACTACCAAGGTGATCTTTCGAGTCTCTCATTGAAAGACTATGCCGGTGAAAGGGTCTTTGCCAAAGTCAAAGGCTATCCCTATTGGCCAGCTACGATTACTGATGTAGATTCATCGAAAAATCTTAGGAAATATAATGTTAAATTTTATGGTACAAATGAAATTGGTGTAGTCAAGGAAATTGATATATGTTCATTTAAGGAAAACAAGTCCCGCTATGGAATTATCAAAGAGAAAAATTCTAAATTTAATGTAGCACTGAAAGAAGCAGAAAGGAGTTTTGAAACAAGTGTCATTGAAAAAAATACTAGTGGCTTGTTGGTTACAAATATTTCCACAGATGTTATTGATAGTAACTCTGAGGTTCCGCATATGACTAGTACTCCTGTAAATAATGTTAAGTCGCTGAAAATGTCAAACTCTGAAGGAAGTTTCAACTTGCTTCAGAGCAATGTAAACAATGAAGTTGGGGAAGTAATGGAAAGTGATAAGCAACAGCTCACACCACCTGATAGAACAAAAACTACTCTAGAGATATTGGGTAATCAGTGGCTAACAGACGAGTCTATTAATTTTTATTACCAGTTACTGTCTGAAACAGTGATCAATAAATCACAGATATATTTGATGAATCCAATTATTGCACAGGCCGTTAAATGTCTCAATGATGTTGATCATATACTAAAAACAGCAGACTTAAATAGTAAAACACATGTTTTTATCCCAGTAAACGACTCACCAGCAGTTGATAGACCAGGGGGCTCTGGCTCACATTGGAGCCTACTCCTGTACGTCATAAGAAGTAAAGAGTTTTACTATTTTGATTCCTTTGGTCAGACTAATTATGAACATGCAGTGAAGATATGTTCAGCACTGCAAAAACACCTCCACGATGACACAGAGTGTAAAATCAAATCTGTTAAAGTCCCACAGCAAATCAATAATCATGACTGTGGTATCTACTTGCTTATTTTCACTGAGATTATCATTCAGTCTATTCAAAAAGAAGACAAGTCAACTGATCCCTTTCAGGATCTATTCCCTCCCATATTATTAAGTGATTTAATTCTAAAAAGGGCTCAACTAGCAATGCTGTATTTTAACCCAATGCTTAGTCTTAGTGTAAGCCTTGTGAGTGGGATGATGGTAAAGGTAAAAAAATCAGAAGATGAAATGTCACAGCTCAGAATTAATGCTCAAGATCCTGAACCTTCATGGACAATAAAGGAGTCAAGACGGAAAACTCAACATTCATCTCAAATTATTAAAGTAAACAGTAATAGAATTCCTACTTCTAATCAGTTTCAAGTTTTGGATGAACTGGATGCACCCAACTCCATTGAACAATCTACATTTGACAGCAAGAGAATGTCAAAAAACAAAACAAAATTTCATGTAAAAAAGAAGGAAAAAATTCTCAACAAACAAATTAGGTTGTCACTGTACTCAGATAGTCAGGGGAGAAATTTGCAGCATCACATAGAAACTGCCGGCCAGGGTAGAATTAAAGCAACTGGATTTGTCCACCCGAATGCTCGGCTACTAAACATTATTGACCAAGCCAAGCACTCGTCAGATGATGTTATTGTACTCATGGGGGGAACCAATGATTCTCTTTGCAATAGTTTTGAATTTGTTCATAGAGATTTGGAGAGAAGTATTGCAGAGCATAGTAAGAGCAAAAATAAAAATAAAACTGTTTTTATAACAACTTTCCCTCACAGATATGATGCAGATATTATGGATCCAGTCCACAATAAAATTGATCAGATTAACAGCCATATTGCTCAAATGACAAAAAGAATCGATAATGTTCATCTTCTTGATCTCAACATCCTGAAGCAGTTTCATTTTAGCCGGCATGGTTTACACTTAAATTTCAGAGGCAAAAAAAAGTTGGGCTTTGTAATAAGAGATGCTTTGGCCTGTATATTCTCTCCTGAATCAAACCATGAAGTTATAGGTGTGCAGGAGAAGGTAGCCAAGCGGTTTAACAACAATACCCCCTCTATAGCTGTGGTAGAAGCACATATGGCCGAGGTCATCACACGTTATCGGCATAATAAATCTGTGGGCTTTGCCCATAGTATTTCTGCAGACTTGCATGACTCAGGCAACATGACGGCTGGAGTAGCTGTTGTGTTCAGAACTTTTTTTGGGAGACCTAAACCATCCCAGTGTCTTACCCGTCACTTAGCTCTGCAAAATAACCACAATGGCGCAGCTGTATACAGCCTCATCACCAAGGCACAGTATTTTGGTAAACCCTACAAGACTGACTACAATACCGCGTTTCGAGATCTGACAACAAGTTTTAAGAGGAAGAAGCTGATGCATTCATGATAAAATAGACCTGGACCACTTCACAGACAATATAATTATGTTCCAGAAGATTACCAAAGCTAAGGTTACTATTGTGTCACATTGCTAAAGTTCTTCCCAAATACTAAAGAATAGGATGTCACATGAAGATTTCATAGGTAGGATAAGAAACCTCCTCCATCAAAAACTAAATCAGTCTCCGGCACCACAATCACAACTAGACTCCGTAGCCACGGATCCAGCTTCAACAACTGTCCCAAGTCCAACTCCTGAGAATATCGTCCACACAACTCCAGCAACAACTGCAGCAAAAGGAACAGATGGCCAACGTTCTGACCCGATGAAAAGCCAGTGTGAAGAAGTTTTAGTGGTGCCCGGTGACCTCACATATAGTGGGGCGCTAAAGCAGAGTTGTGATGTTAGTGCTGTGAGTGTTGGATTAAATGTAGGCCTACAAAATAGTTTAAGTTTCACTCAGTCACCTAAATCAACTTTAAACTCACGGGTCCAAAAGTCTCCTCCAATAAAATAATAGCCAAGCAAAATGTAACTATAATTTTCCACCAGAATATACAGCATCTAGCCTCAAGAATTAACTCCCTTCAGGCAACTTTAAATGAAATAGAACCTCACATAGTAATTTTATCAGAACATGATATGAAAGACGAGGAAATTAAAAGATTAAATATCGATTATTATAACACAAAATCTCATTTTTCAAGGGGGAAAAAGCCTAAGGGCGGGGTCGTTATTCTAGCAAAAGAGGGGTTTGAGTTGCGGAAGGTGACTGTGCCAGATTCTTTATCTAATTTATTGCTAGAAGAAATGCAGTTTGAATTTTGTGCTTGTACTTGGAAGGTTAATAAACAAAAAATAAAATTATCATCATAGGTCTTTACAGATCACCTAATTCTGATGCAGCTATTTTTACAGATAGATTAGGCGTTTTACTTGATTACTTCAGCAATAAATGTGATAAATTAATTGTTGCTGGTGATTTAAATATTGATGTTTTGAAAAATGACAGTAAACATAGATTATTAAAAGAAACACTTAAAAGACATAATATGAGGTACCTCGTTGATTTCCCAACCAGAGTAATGGAAAGTTCAAAAACATGTATTGATAACTTTTTAGTAAAAAATATAAAAACCTCCAGTATAAAGGTAGAAGGTCTAATAACATTTCTGTCTGATCATGATGGGCAATTATTAAAACTTAATTTCAACCACTCTATAAAAAACACCAATCAATCCATCAAACAAGAAATGCGCAAATTTTCTCCTGAAAATATAACTCTTTTCTCAAACTTACTTTCAAAGGAAACATGGACTGATGTTTATGATGCTAATGTTGAATCAAAATACAATGCTTTTTACAGCATACTAAATTATTATTTTAATCTAGCTTTCCCTAAATTGTTAATCACAAAAAAGAAAAAACAAAGGAATTGGGTAACTTCAGAATTGGAAGATAAACGTAGGTACATCATAAATTTATCAAAAGAATACCGTAGAAAAACAAACAAAAATTTAAAATTGCTTTTGGATCAGGAAAAGAAAAAATATAAATGTCAGCTTCGGCAAGCTAAAAATAAATATTTCAACGAAAAAATTTCTAAAGCTACTAATATTCAAAAAACAGTTTGGAATATTATAAACTCTGAAGTTGGGGAAAACAAGAGGAAGACTTTCAATAACATAACTTTAAAAGATGATTCTGGAATTGTTTCAGATCCAAACAAAATTGCTGAAATATTTAATCACCATTTTGCCAACACTGTTAGAGACTTAAGTAGTAAGAACAGTCCTGTTAATGTAAATTTTAATGATAATTTTTGTGATACAACTAGTATGTGTATAAAGCCAAAATTTGAACTTAATCCAATTGATGATAGGGAGGTGGAAAAAATCATAAATTCTTTGAAAAATAAATACTCTAGTGGGTATGATGAAATCCCTATAACAGTAATTAAGGCTGTAAAAGGGAACATTAGTAAAATTCTATGCCACTTAATAAATTCCTCTTTTGTGTCTGGAATTTTTCCAAGGAAATTAAAACAAGCTAAAATAATACCTTTACATAAGAAAAATAACTTGACAAATGTATCTAACTATCGACCAATATCTGTCAGGGTGTCTACCAACAGGGAAATCCGGGAAAACCGGGAATTGTACTTAATTTTTTACTGGCCATGAAATGTACGGGAATTGTCCTTAAATGCCAGACTATGTCCTTAAATTTTTAATGGGCCATAATTTTATTGATCGCTAGTTGGTTAGGAGCACATAAAAGGTTTATCAGATGTTTGTTTACATTTTCATTATTTATTACTAGAGTAATTATGCAATAAAAATCCCATTAACAATCTCAAACCCATTAATATTTTATCACGACAATCAAGTGTCAAGTCAAGTACTTCCAAGAACTGTTGACTCAGTTAGCTAGCTCATAAAAGTTGTATCACTTTTATTCCTTTACAACTTCTTTTTTTATTACTAGGGCTTATTATGAGATTATATTATGAGGAATTATTATGAGATCCCAAACCTATTTTATCGTGAAAATAATAGCTTTATAATGGCTGTTAAATTTCACTTCTTACTTGTACTTGGCTTGAAGATTCATTTTGCCCGGCCATTGCCTAGTGCCATAAAACTGTTTATAGTTTCATATTAAACATGTAAATAATCTATAGTCTTATTTTGTAAGTTAACCCCTTTTTTATGGATATTTTATCTTTCAATTGACAAAACCACAAGCATTGTTATTTGCATTAATGTTTTATCACTATGTAGGCCTGCTTGGTTTCAAATTATGTCATTGCATTTTCTGTATCTTTGCCTTATATTGTTGGCTATTCAGGTTTCAATGTTTTTTGTTTCCCATATATTTATTTATTGAGCTGTATGCTTTAAGCAATCTAAATCTTAAGAACTAGAATGATGATAGTGACTTTGCTGCTATTATAACCTCATTGTTTGTTACCCAGTTTATTTAGGCCCTCCTAAATAATTAGGCCTAGGCCTGTGTATTTTGATTCTTGAAAGAGCTGTAAAATATATTAAGAAAATGTAATTGAGCCTAGATAAACAACTAATGATTGCTATGTGTCGATATTAGCGAATTTCCCTATAGGGAAGTAGCTATTACGGTAAGACCTAGAGCCGGGACCGATTTACTTTTTCATTTTGATGTCCCCAGAGGCCAAAATCACTATTCGTTCAAACTTTTATATATGTATATATATATACGTCCGTGAACGCGATAACTTGAGTAATTTTTTTCCGATTTTGATGAAATTTGGTTTAAAGGTGTAAAGCGGGGTAAACTTGAATGAGTTCGCGAACCAGCACGATCGGACCATGGGAACGGGGCTTTACGGGGGGTGTTATGGGGTAAAAATTGGTTTTTCTCACTTTTGACCCTCAAAACACAAATTTTCCCAATTTCTCTTTAGACCTTTTTAAAGAGCTTAAAAAAACAAATAATTTAGTATATAAAAGTATTTTTGTTCGATTATTAGTAACGGAGAAAATTAAAAAAATTGTAAATTTAAAATTCCCATGTTATTCTTACGGAGAATATTGTCAAATGTTGTAGTTTGCTTGTTTATGAATATATTTTGATCAAACTTGGCAAATTTATTTATTTTGTACTAAGCTATCAATATTTTACTCAAAAACACACTTTATTAGTTTCCTTGTAGCAGCAAACCTAGGTACTTGTTAAACCTAATGTTATTAAAATATATTTAACTGAAAATCAATTCATACAAATGGAAATTCGCTTAGTCGGCAGGTTTGCTGCGGCAGGGGTATTAACTTTGCAAATGAAAATACAATAATCTTACTCTGTGCTTATTGCTTATTGGTAGCCGCTTACCATACCTTGATTTTGTACTAAGAACTGAGCAACAATATGCATTAAAGATTTTTTTTCAAAAGTAGTCGAGAGCCTAACGTTGTGCCAGGGCGAATCGTGCCAAATTAATCCGCCTGGATCGGATAAGCTATGTTATGAAGTTAACGTGACCGATGGAGATATTTGTCGCTATCGCAGGAGACAATGATTGCGTTTCTCTGTTACACTATAAAAGTTTTACCTAAAGTATAGGTAGGCCTATGCTTGTTTACTTTCAATAAATTTCTATTTTGAAATTTTTAACTCTAAGGCTATCTATTATTATTTACTCTTCTCTCTGGTACAACTACAGATAATAACAAGATTAATACAGTTTGACAAATCAGGAAAATTATTCGGTAGGCCTAGTGACACCGACAAAGGTTACGTCAAAGTGTCCTTAAATGTACGGGAATTGTCCATGAATTTTTTATCCAGAATGTAGTAGACACCCTGTCTGTGCTCCCTGCTATCTCTAAGATATATGAAAAAGCAGTATACATTCAATTTTCCAAATTTTTAGAACAATTTAATCTTTTAGATGATAACCAGCATGGATTTCGGAATGGAAGATCGGTTGTGAGTGCTGCTGTATCTTTTATTGAAACTGTAATTGAGTCGGTTGACAAGGGAAAATGTACAACTGGTATTTTTATGGACCTATCTATGGCATTCGATAGTGTTAGGCATTCTACTCTACTTGAAAAACTTCAAAGACTAGGAGTAGGAAAACGAACTCTTAATTGGTTTACGTCATATCTCACTGAAAGATCTCAATACGTAGAAATAACTCACTTGACAAATTACAATAGAATTATTAAATCATGCTCAACTTATAAGCCAATAGTTTTCGGAGTGCCACAAGGCTCAATATTAGGGCCCCTGCTTTTTTTGTCTATCTATGTGGAATGAAAGATTCTTTAATATATAATAAAAATTCAACACTATGTCTGTTTGCTGATGACTCGAATTTGGTGATATCATCCAACTCAATAGAGCAAACAGAAATGTTCGCTTATGTAGAATTGGAGAGTATTGGAAATTTTCTTAATAGCCACAACTTGATGATGAATTTACAAAAAACTAAATTTATAAATTTTAAAACAAAACAAAATAGACAGAAGGAGCCAATAACAATAAGCTATAACTTACAAAATATTGATGAAGAAATTAGTACAAATTTTTTGGGTTAAACACTAGATCAGCACTTGAATTGGGATAAACATGTCCACAAAATTTTAAGTAAAATTAATTCCGGAATTCATGCTTTATCAAGTATGTCTTTTTACTGTGACTTAAAAACTTTAAAAAATATATATTTTGCACATGTGCATTCACATATCACGTTTGGCATAGCACTCTATGGCTCAACAAAAATATGTAATTTAGATAGCATTTTAAAGGAGCAAAAAATGGCGGTTAGAATCATGCTTAAGCTGCAGCATGATGAGTCAGCTAAAGAGCATTTTAAGGACCTAAAAATCTTTACTGTTTACGGGCAGTATATATATGAATCAATAATGATTGCAAAAAAACAAGAAGAATATTCGGAACCAAAAGAAAAATCTCATTCTTATAATTTAAGAAATAAGAACGAAAATGTACAACCACATAGGACTAAATTTTTTGAAAAGAAACCATCCTATGCAGGTAATAGATTTTTTAAATTTATTCCAAAAAATATTAAAAAAGAAACAGATCCAAATAAATTTAAAAAAATATTGAAAGAGTTTTTAATAAATTTAGCAATTTATTCATTTGACGATTTTTTCACCTCCCTTAGTCGCTATGATACATTATCTTACTAGATTTGTAAAATGTATTTGTTGTTTTTATAACCATTCCTCATGTTTTGCTGTTTTTTATCCTGTTGAACTATTTTGACACTATTTTTATTGTAATTATTTTGACACTATTTATTGTACAATGTACATAAAAATGAATAAAGATATTTAAAAAAAAAAAGGTTAGTTTTATCTATTAGTTTTATCTTGGAGAATACTAAAAACGACCTTCCAAACTTATTCGGTAGTTTAATTGATTAGCTATGTTAACAACCAGATTTAAGTACACATGGTTAAATTATGATCGTTTAATGAAGAGGCAATAGCTTTTCTACTTTTTATAAACCTGCAAAGATCAAGGCTGGCTGTTAAACTATCAAAACTTACTCAAAATTATTTTGAAATATAGAGCTTATTTAAAAAGTTTGTGATAAGTTTATTTTGGAAAATGATTTAGCCGTTTGGCAATATTATGAAGAAACAAAATCAAAATTATTTTGGTAGCCTTGAGCAATCTGCCTCGGTATTTTAGAGTAGAGCATTTATCTTTGATGCAAAATCCATGTTCAAAATCATACAGAAAATGCACATACACAGTATGTAATAATCCATTTTACCTGAAATATCTTCTGCCAATTGATGACAGAAAATTGAGTTGTCTTCCTTTTGATCTTTCTTGAAGGAAGCTGTGAGCTCTAACGATTCCTCCCATCAAGAAGAAAACATCGACAGCTCGGAACAGCAAACCCTCCAAAACAGCAACGTAGTAAGAATTCATCAACTGAAAGGAGGATATTGTTTTTTATAAGAGTACGGAACTCAGTAAATGATCGATGAGATTATTTATATGGATTTATGACTTTTATATGTTACAGTAGAGCCATATCTTTCGGTTACAACAGAATGAATTTTTCAAAGTACTGCAAGTCCTTTGGCTATCCAAAGTGAACCGTTTCTTATACTTTTCGGTCTCATCTTATCCCTTTGGCAAATCAACTTCTGAAGAACCAAAGAGTTTGTGGGTCAGTCGGCAGTGAGACAAAGAAACCAAATGTGATATTTTGTCAATAGACAAATGTCTAAATACCTCCTATTGTTTCATTACCTTTATAGTTGAGCTCTTTGCTGTATTTATGGTCACTATCGATACACCTGTAGAATGAACTAGAATGATTGCAGCAGTTAACAGCACTCGCAAGCCGTGCAGACAAGGAATATCGTCTGCATTGCTGTCCTTCAAGATTACCAACTGTCTCCAGCTGCGCTGCAAAGAGAAAGCTTCCACTAAGTCTGAAAATATAACAGATAGCATTGAATGGTTTGACGTCTACAAACGTGCATGGCCAATGGAAGCACCAGAATACCAAAGTATTTCTGCTACCAGCCATCAATTGCCTCCATTTGTGATGGAAACATAAAACTACCTATTTTGAAAACACGACATATGGCAGACTGATTAAGGTTTAATATTTGCAATCACTTTGTAACCAATTGACACAGAAATACTGTGTAATATCAGAAACTCTAATATCTCAATGGAAACAAACTATGCCCTGGATGAAGAGAAACTTCGTGATTGTTTCTTTAAGTATTTACAAAATAATTTTGAAAATCCGTAAATCAGTCTTTTTTACAGGTGGTTTTAGCTTCTAAATAATATTTAAACATTAATTTATTCCCATCCATGGCAAGCTCTGATATATTAAGAGCACAAAAAGCACACAATCATTGGAAACAAATCAGTTTTAGAGTGTTGAGAGCTTGAGCCGTAGAGGCATGTTTAGCCGCCATTTTAAACCATACTGGATTGACCGGGTAGAACACTCTTAATTAATTACAATAACTAGTTAATCGCACCTGATTTTTTCTCAGAAGACAGCAAGTCAACAACTGAGCTCCAGACAACAAGTGCGAGGATGCCAATGAAGAATATTCTGCAAAGCAAAATTATGTTTGGCTTTTTATGATACTGCATTTAGAACTTAAATTTAAAATAGTTTAGAATAGTATAATTAAGTTTATTATTTTTTTTAATGAACTTTTTTTAAATAGCGCTTACAATTTCTTGTATGATAGGAGTAATTGAATCCAGACAGTAAAAAATACAACACTGTTCCATGTTTCATTTTTTTCATTTTATTTTTTTCCACATGCTCTTAAACATTTGAGAAAACTTCTTAATTTCTCTACTTGGTTGAATGATATCTCTACTTACACAGCTATATAATCCGTCAGCCTAAAAGGTAAGGGTTGGTTTGTAGAACAGCTGGTCTCATAGAGGACAGAAGATGCGTTAATTGGTGCCAGGACATGGTCCATATGGACTTTGACATCTTGAGCCGAACAGCTGGAGGGAACACACACTGAGAACATCAAGTCGTTGAAAAGACCCACGCTTTTCACCTCATCGAGGTAATCTGGTGGGATGACAGACATCTGGAACGTAAATCAAGAAAGGAGATCACAAATATGATATTAGCTGGAAAAAGAAGTGAGATAATCTTGATACTAGAATGACAATTGGATGGTAGCTTTGTAAACAATGTCTGAAAAAGTTATGTATGACACAATTGCTTGTGTGATGATTCTTGTTTAGTGGGTATCGTATGATGAAAAGAGTACCTAATGTGTTATTTGCTAGTATCAGTGCAGACTCTCAAGGCGGAGTAAGATGTTGAAACATTTTATTGTTTTATTTATCATCAATATTTGTTTGATGACCCCTGTCTCCCTGCAAATTTGTGTGAAAAATTTCACTGACAATGAAAGGCCCAAGGTGTAAAATAAACACAGAGGATGGCTTATAAATAAAGGGTAAAAATAGGCTTACGTACATCATAGTTTATTTTCTCATGCAGTTCTGGAGGAAGTATTCCTCTTGTTTCCACTAGGCAATGTTGTCCGGTAAACTTATGTTTTGGTTCGATGGTCTCAATACACTCATTGTAGTTACCGAGATCTATCAACAGACCATCTAGCAATCCACTTTGAAGTTTGCTAGATGCATCAAACACTGGAATAAAAAACCGTTTATGAATCAGGATTGTGTGTAAAAATTTTGATGTTCTAATTTAAAAAATGTTTAATGTGTTAATGCTTAGATTGTCACTGATTTTGTCACAAACATGGAGGGTTTTAGCGGATTTGGCTAGAATTGCAGTTTATAATCACTATTTCACCAAGGTTGCAAGAGATTATAAGGTAATCACAGGTGATAATTATGATTTTGCAATAATCAGATCTCAGTAGAGGCTCTCATGGATTTTGCCTGATTGGGAAGGTAACCAGGATGTAACTGCCATCAAAAACGGGGGAAAAAATATTGGGTATCTCAATATATTGGAGATACCTGTAATGCAATTGTAGGAAACATATCATTTGATGGTGGAATGGCCTCTGGATCGTCTGAATTAACTATATAGTGGTTTAAAAAGGGTGATTACTATGGTTACCGTCGTCTGGTCGACCAATATTAAATGTTTCGTGTTCCGTGTGTTATGTGTTTTGTTCTCTATTTATTATTAAACTTTTGACGAACTCCACTGCGAGGAATATGAAGACTACTTGACATTCTTCTGACCTGATGATGTGCTCCATTCGTAGCATGAAACAGCTGTAGTCTACTAACTACAAAGGATCGTTTTGACAGTAACAAGGTAATTTAAACCACTATATAGTTATATCATTTGACTTGTTGTTTCGGAGTCAAATCGTCTTTTACATTGTTCATTTTGAGAATGAACCATAAAATATCGAAACTCAGAGTATACTCAATATTGCAGAACTTGCCTCTACCCGAAATTTCACTACCAACAGGCATCTACTTTTTACAATCCCCAAAACCAAAACATACTCACTACGGAGGGCCCAAGTCTCTCCCTCGACGATGGAGTCGACCACCAATTGACTGTCCTGTCTACATCGCTCGGTCTCCGCATGGACAGGGACTCTTTGTCGCGCAACATCTTTAAAATAATCATCAAAACTTGCCCCTGGTAGAGGAAACGCCAGGTTTCGCAAAGCTGTTGCTCGTTGTCGTAACTGTGGCTCAAGTCGGTGAACTAGTTCTGAAACTTTGGTGAAATCTTTACATTAAATAGTTGTGAGGGCAATGTTTCTGTTACAAAACCTTAATACCATTTAGTAAAAAAAATAATTGCTTAAAAAGTTACATATATTCTTTTAGTAAAAACTAGATGTGTGTTGGTGGCTTAGTCAGTAGCACCACAGATTTTGGGCCCAAAGCAGCAATGTCGTAGGTTCGAATCCTGGTACAGTACCTACAACTACTATTTTATCATTCATTACACCCTAGACCTAAGTTTACTTTTATGAAAATATTAAATAATTTCATTCAGAAAACTTTAAAAAAAGTATCTTGTGCAAAAATAGTTTATTCATATTAATTTAAAGGTTTTTTTTTCAATTTAAAGAAAATTAAATTACTTTTTAAGAGGAAATGCTAATATTTTTCATGTTGTGAACTACCCATCTTAGCTCTACAGTGTCATCTTTCAAGTAATTTCTAATTTCACAATGAATCACAGTCATGTTCAGTTTGACATGACTTAAAAGTTGGCATACTTAAGAAAATGGTATTTTAGAACAGAAAATTATTGGAAAACAAAATTAACTCAATTCTTTTTGTATAAAAACTAGCTTGAGTTAACATTGACGTGGAAATGCAATGTAAAACCCACACAAGTGTATCTATAGTCAAGATTTTACTTACCACTCTCTCTTCTTGTTTCAGTTATCCGTACCAAATTCAACTATAAACAACAAACCAATTATTAGGGCTGAATGTTTATCACAACGTTTTAAACATTCCATAATAAACTTATGAGAAGTAGACACTAGTGAATTACGATTTTTTTATGTAATTTTTTAACCATTTTGATACAATTTGGCAAAATAAATTCAGGACAGACTTGAAAATGAATTGGGTACGCTCGGCAAGATTTGCTCTGCCTCAACTGTGCTAAATAAATAAATAAACTTCACCATAGACTCTCCCATATAACTCTCTAACCTTCTTTTGTCATTAATTCTTTAGGATTTTTTTAATTTTTTTTTATTAATAATGTTGAGACTGTTTTGTTTTACTGGAATCGTATGTTTTTGTTCCTTTGTATTTTAAAGGATATTTTGATTTGATTTGATCTTTGAAATTTCAATCAGTAATACTGAAAAGATTTTACAAGCATTTATTTATTTTTAATGCTGATATATTTGTTAGAGTGGAATTAACTTCCAACTTTTAAACAAAAGAATATAATATTTACTAATAATACACATTTTTGTGAATAATTGTTATTACAGAAAATCCCAGAAATTAAATATGTTCAGTCAAAATATGTAAACAACTCTTGGGCACTTCTGATTGTTAAAGCTTCAATTATCAAAGTACTATTAATTTAAATTTGAAATCCATTTAAAAATACTCACCGTGAAAATTAACGTAAACAATACGAGCACTCTTTGAAAGAACATGGTTCCAAATGAGCCTGATTCTGCATCCATTGATACTGATTAGCATTGATAGCCACTTATGGTAAATCAATTCACACTTAAGGTATTGTAATAAGGTAACCAATTAATTGATATTGTCATACAAAGGAATGACAAACTCTTAGATGACTAAATCTACATCAGCGTTTATGTACACTGTTACTTGTTACATTCGTAGTTTGCATTCAAAACTACTTTCACAGGCCTCTTCTAGTCAATGTTCTGGAGAAAATGTAGGTTTAAGTATTTATTTTGGTTACCAACTGTCTTTGAATAGATTTAGCAACATTATATAAGTAAGGAACAAAAATAAGTAAGGAGATAATAAATGTTTTTATAATCATTTAGCACTCTCAAATTCGTAATATTATTTTTATACTTAGGACTTTTTCCATTAGAAATGTATTGGATTTTCGGATTTAGCATGAAAAACACTGTAAGCAGATACATAACAATTACATTTTCAATCGGTGAAACAATATTCAGCTTTTGCCGATTAAATGTTGTGGCTAAATAAAACCCAAAATGTGTCAACAGAAACTGTATTTATTTACAAATATACTTATTTTTTTCCAAAAACAATATCAATTTACCTTAACCTATAAAGCTTTTGAACAATTAATTATTCATTGGTAACACCTTAGCAAATGTATTGTAACAATACAAGAATGTTATAATAACAAATGTATGAAGCTGATTTGCTGTACTTCCACTATGACTAGCATAAATACATAAATTTATATTTTAAGCTCAAAGATTCATAAAAATATGTGAGATTTATAGATTTTACCCACACTAAAACATTTACATAATAGGCTATTCCAAACAAAATATTTTATTTAAAAATCAAAACTTAACAAATTTTTACAACGCATACTATCTAAGCCATATAACCAAATGTTTATATTTTATAATTCAACAATTTCTGCTTTTAAATATTGAACAACTAAAAAATTTGTTTACCATCAATGTACATGTTTTGGAAACTAAACTTTGTAAAATAAAAAACATACAAACGTTTAATTTTCATTACCTTTTCTAATATGTACAAATATAATAATACAACGAGCATATTATTACAAAACTAAAAGAGCAACATTGATTTAAACATATTTTATGTAATACAAGCATCTTTCAAAATATTAAAGAAAAAAATTGAAAATCAAACAAGAAATTTTAAAATAAGAGTTATTTAATGGAAATCTTTGTTTTTTATGTAAACACTTGTGAAAATACCTAAAAAACATGTTTAAGGAATTCTTTGATAAATGAACATAATTTCAACCAGGTTATAAAATAAACTTTGAATGTGGTTTTAAATGCACAGAACCTACCTCTGAATTACAAAATGAAATAGAAAATAAGGTGGCTTGATAATTTGTAACTATTTCTGTTCAAGAAAGGTTTTAGCTTCTAATCCCACGTAATGTTACTTCCTTAAAGCCAGCTTTTCTTCAATTTGTATCCTTCCACACCACCTTATTGTCATCTCGTTTTGTTGCTAAGCTACCCTCATAGAACCATGTTGATCCGATCAGTTTGTGATAGTTCCATAACCTGAGACGATTGCTTCTAAAACTACGAGTTGCGCTATGGCTGAACACAATGTTTCCGTCTAAAAATTACCTGAAAATATAGAATAATTAGTAAGTAGTAACGCACAGTAGTAATCATGGATTTAAAATTATTACCAATGGATTTATCATCCTCATGGGTCTGCTGAAGACAGTTTTAACCTTATTGTCTTACAAATTTCGGTGGCATTGCTGTATTGTATACATTTAATCTTGTTCACTAATCTTATAATTAACAACCAAACAGTCGTGTTGTATCTGTAAAATTCTGGTGTTCCTTGATATTATAAGAGAGCAAAGTGGACACTGTGAACAAAACTCTCATTAGGCCTGTTGTTACGTACAGTGCAGAAACCTGGTCCCTTTCTGCATTGAACACAAAGGCCATTAGGGTTGAATTTTGTTTGTAAAAGCGTTGGTGGATGAGTATATTTTATACAACAGATGTAAAGATCAAAATGTTTCTATTTCAGGTCCTCTCCCCGTTGCAAAGCACGGGTACAAAAGCTAGTTTGTGAATAACTCACAAACAAACCATGTATTTCTAATAGGATGAGAAGTCTGCTTGAAGCAACAGAAATAAATGTTATACCAGAATTCAAAACAAAGAAAAGAAGACAATATACACATTTTCATTTCTGTCGATTTTTGTCTCCAGATCACAAATTTAAATGAATACTAGAGGTTAAGATCGGTCAGTGTGATCAACCGATGAGCGGCGACAGGTTTCAACCCAGCTATGGGGTCATCTTCAGGCGATAAAAGAAAATAAATTCACTCCGAAGAAGTCGTCAGAAAGCCTATGATGAATCTCGGAGTGAATTTATTTTATTTTATCACCTGAAGATGACCCCATGGCTAGGTTGAAACCGGTTGCCACTCATCGGCGATGTTGATCACACTGACGGATTAAAGGTATTAAAAAAAATAATTACGGAAAGTAAATAAAAGAAACGTCTTATAACACTTAAAACATATATTTACGGTTATACTGTTATTCACAAGACGGTAAACATACAAAAAAGATGGTAAGTGGTGATCGATTTCGATTGGACACTCCAATCATCATCAGACCCAATAGGCGAATGAAATCAATCAACACTTACCATCTTTTTTGTATATTTACCGTCTTGTGAGGAACAGTATAAGCGTAAATATATGTTTTTAGTGGTATAAGACGTTTCTTTTATTTACTTTCCGTAAAACGAACAGAAGTTTTAGGTTGATTATGTTCTAACCTTACTTATCCTAACATAACCTACACAGGATATAATTTTAAGGATAATCAAAACATCTCATCCTGAAAGACATTGTGATGGTCTTATATAAGATAAGGTCCTTATTTTGTATGCAAATGAAAAATAGTTAAATGAACCCCTTTACAGAATTAGTATGGAGAATTTTATATTTGAAAAATAATAAATAATACATGCTATAGTTAACAAAAACTGAATGATTCGCCTATTGGGTCTGATGATGATTGGAGTGTCCAATCGAAATCGTTCACCCCTTACCATCTTTTTTGTATATTTACCGTCTTGTGAATAACAGTATAAGCGTAAATATATGTTTTAAGTGTTATAAGACGTTTCTTTTATTTACTTTTCGTAAATGCAATAACATGTAAAATGCTGATCAAGAAGTTATTTAAAAAATAATTGTAAAAAACGTTATGTGACAATAAAGATGACTTTGACTTTGACTCTAACCTCTAGTATTAACACACATTTTCTATGCTTTATAAACTGAGGCATATTTACGTTTTTCAAAGAACATTTTATGCTGCTATCAAGACGGATAAGAAATCCCATTAATAAATAAACCATGAGTAGTAAGTGCTATCTAGTGGTAAAATAGTTTAGGATAGTGGTTGTGCAACCAATATGTTGGTTACGAGATCTAAAAAATGTAAATAAAAAATAGGGTTTTACCTAATTGGCCATCTGCTGCACAGCGACTTGTCTGCGAGTCTGGGACGGCAACAGGAGAGACGCAGGATTCTGTAGGTAAGCCCGCAGTACAGCCATGAACGCAGCTACCTCATCTGGCTCGACTGACCGTGAGTCGTACGACAACGTTGACGTCATCAGAGTCACTGGGCGGGCGTTGCCATCTACAACAAGTAATTTCACGTAGTACACAATATGATAATGTTGACACCCAACCACTGAGGCAATGGTAATGCAGTAGAGTGACAGCTTTACACATAAACATCTACAATAAAAAAAGAGACTTATAAGTCTGGTTCTTTGGGAGATAACTGTGTCTTATAACTCGTTTAAATACTTGAAGACGTTTTCGACATCCACCTTGCATCAATCCGTGAAAGTAAGCTAATAAGTTCAACACAAACTGGAGTAGTCATCTTCTGAATATTAAGATTAAACTTTTAAATGGTACAACTATCACTACAGGCAAGTACTCACCAAACACCGCTCGGCCCCCACCAACAGCCAAGATGGCGCACTGCGGAGGATTTATAATGGCGCTGAACTCGGAAATGCCGAACATGCCAAGGTTGGATATCCTGCAGAAACGAAAGAGTCAATGAGTTTTGAAAAGAAAACAAGCAAAAAACAGTTTTGTAACTTAACTTAAAATATAATAATAAAACTATTTGCAAAAACATTGCTGGTTCCTAAATTTTTACTCAAAATGAACTATTTTTTCAACCTTTATCACTGAAACTTGCTATACCGCAACACCTTGGGAACGAGATAGATAATTTGTTTAGTTTAGGAAACATATCTTTATCTCTGTAACGTTGAGTACCACAGCTTACAAGATATCAGATGGGGATTCTTTTCCAATTATTTAGAAAGCTAAATTTTAACTCTTGAAACTTTGGGTACCACAACCTTCCAGATACAATATGTGGATTGGATATATTCTTTAATTTAGGAAGTACAGTTTTTTCTCAATAACGTTCTACATACAACGCTTCTATTATTTAGGAAACAGCCTTAGTCTCTGAGTATGTTCATTATTCTCAAGCATTTTGGTGAATCAATCGTAGTTTGATCTGCGGAGACGTTTACCAATAACAGGACATTTATAACAGAATCTATCACTATAAAGTAGTCATGAAAATAAACCGTTTGGATTTTTTAGCAGCTGACATAGATAGGAGGTCATAAGTATAATAGTTCAGCTTAAAATGATTTTTTATTAAGCTCCAGCCTGAGACCATATGTATTTATAAGATTTCTTTTCCAACATAATTTCTCAAACACACCTTTATTTACGTACGATGCAGTTTTAAAACTTACGACAGTAAACACTTTGAATATGAACACTTACGTGAATGAACCACCTTGGAACTCGTGCAGTTGGAGTTTTCCCTCCCTGGCGCGAGTGGCCAAGTCCCTCACGTCAGCTGAGATCTGATCAACGGACTTTGTGTCTGCGTCTTTCACAATCGGAGTTATGAGACCCGCGTCCGTCGCCACGGCCACGGAGATGTCCACAGTGGCTTGGGGAATGATCTAAGTGAAGATACACAACAATATTCAGCAACTAAATGATATAGACTCTAGACAAGAGTTGATGTAAACGATTAGCAATTTATTTGATCACTCAATAACTTCCAGGTAAAAAGTAACATCACTCTACCTCTAGAAGATAATTGATGTTATTGCAATAGTTTTATACCTTTTTATTGCTAAATGTTACAAGACAATTGTGATTTATTGCAAGGTAGCTCATCTGGTAATACGAGGTTAGTTGGAAAAAGTTTCATGCTTTTGATCATAGACAATAGAGTAGAGTAAATATATACTGTCAAAGAAAGGTTTTGCGATCTGCCGCTAGAGCGTTATCGCCGTTCGATATCGGTAATCGGTATTCTATTCGGTTTCATCGTAGACTACTCGCCAGCTGTTACCAGCACTACCACTACTGCAAACGAAATGCTTACTATATCGCTATTATCGTCTTCTGCAATCGCGTCAAAATCATGAACATCCTCCGCGGCTGTGTAGACATCATCATTGAATGCCGTGGTCCCGAAATCTCATCGTCGTCCACGATTGCGGCAAAATCGTGAACATCTTCAGTGGCCGTGTAGACATTATCGTCTTTGTCTTGCGCGATCGTAGAAAAGACGTGATCATTTTTCCCGCGGTCACAAAAACGTCGTCTAGCACGGTCGCGGTTTAAGAACATCTCCCGCAGTCGTGTAGACAATAGACATCATCATCGTCTTGCGCCGTCACGGAAACGTGATTGTTGTCTAGCGCGATCGCGGCAAAATCATTAAATTTCCCGACTTTGATATCAAAATAAAGCCTAATCCCAACTTTTTAAGACCATTTTGAAATTCAATACTAATACCTGACTTTCCCGTTTTTCCCGACTACTAGACACTCTGGTTAATTAGATTTTGACCTTGCAAAATGAAACAAAACCACTTCCTAAAATTATGGATTAATAAAGAAAAACTTTGAATCATTGTAACTAAACTACAAAAGTATAACAAATATATGTTTAAAAAAATACAATAAATGATGACATTTAAACTAATTTATTGCTTAATATTAAATAAGTCAGTAAACTCCAATTCCGAAGAATTCCTCCAAAGTTGGCAACACTACTCCCAACTAACAAGTTGTTATGGAAACGGTCGCTAGCGCTTGATGCTGCAGCGGTGTGCGCCGTAACTACACATTACCCCTAGCGGTCTGCGCCGGAATATACGCTAACCGCAGCACAGCTGACAGTCTATATTTATTTCCTTTTGTCTATGTTTTGATGGTTCAAAACTGGATCTGACTGTAGTTTATACTCAATGACTGTTTTTAGGGATTCCTACATGAGCACTCAACAAAAATAACAAAATCCAAATACAAGCTTCAGAAATTAAACTCTTGAAAAGACTTTGTGTTCAGACAAGACAGGGCAAGAAACAAAGACCGCAGAAACTGTTTGGGTGTGACAGAAATATAAAACATAAAGGCAATAGAGTCGTACAATCACTTATATGAAGAGTTACTAAAATCTAGACTGAGAGAGAAATTGTTGAAGAAGAGTTGGAAGACCACAAAGTGGCAAAAAAAATCAAAGAGAACCTAATGTTGTAAGTAACACACATTTCAAGTGGAAAATAAGGGATTAAACTTAAAGAGATTTACTTATATTTTTTTTTTACTTAGAGGGATTGAAAATATTAATCACTACACTTAAAAAACGATTTGTTAAATAAAATTGACTATCCAAAGTAGAACAAAATCTTAAACAATAAATTTCAAAACAACAAAATGTTAAGTTGCCCACCTGATCATTGATGTAGAGAGTGTTCATGTACGGACACTGCCGCAGTGACAACGCCACCGCCTTGATGACAAAGTCGTTCAGCGACACTTTCACACCAACCTGCGCCAGCTGTTTGCGGAGACTCAGTAACGAGCCTATCTCCGCCTCTACTTGGCTGTACGCATGTGGAATTTCCGTCTGCGGAAATACAAATTAGTTATAATTTTTTTTTTCATTTGTGTGTATCTTTTAAATGTTTACAATCTTTGAAAAAGTGTTTTATTCCCTACAATCTATCTAAAACCACAGAGAGCTTAGTTCATTTTAAACTTGGTTTTTTCGTAGGGATGGACGAGATTGGATTTTTAGTTCGAGACGAGACGAGACGAGATTTTTTATTTCTCATAAAATTTCGAGACGAGATCGAGACGGGATTTCCCTTCTCATACACAACGGGAAATGCACGTTCAAAATTTTTACCTGATTTTGTAACATTGTTAGATGACTGTACAAAACTATTTTTGACTATACAAAAATAATGATAATAGGCAAGAATATTTACAATCTTTTATTAAAAAGCATCAGCATAACATTTTTTTATTAATCACGCCTAACTTATTAAAAATGCCTACGATTAGGAAACATAGTGATATCAGTTAGGATAGAGTTCAACTTATCCTAAAATAAAATAAATCATAAAATAAAAGCAATACCCGGTATTAATTTTTATAAAATAGTTACTTGTTTTGACTTTTTATAGTAATAAAACATTTCTTACACTGCTTACACTTAACAAAACTTCTCAAATGTTATTAAAGTAATATTATTCAAATAATTAAAGTAATATTTACATTTAAAAAAGAATTAATTAAATAAGAACGCCTTCGCAAAGGAAACGCAACTACAACATGCTCCTGTATTGCGGGTATTACATTGACTTTATGCAGGAGTTTTTAATTTTTTTATTTTTTATTCTCGTCTCGAATTTCCCAAAATTTCGAGACTTGGCCATCCCTAGTTTTTTGCCTGCCTTCATCAATGAAGTAAGCTGGTTCAATCCCAAGAAGAGGGTAAATTATCCTCCCAGATACTATTTACCATTGGGCTACCGGTATAAATTGTAAGGTGCTAGCTAACAAGCTTTACAGTAGGTAGTAACAAGTCCTGGGGAGCGAGCTGAGTGGTTAGAGCATGGTTCTTCGGTACCTGAGGTCCCGGGTTCAAATTCCGCAAAATCACCGATGGATTTTATCTAAGTTATAATGCCGCAACCCCTAGGTCTAGTCTAGCCTTAAGTAATATGAAAAACAATCCCAGACTCGTGCCCAGCGTCCAAGGACAAAAAATAGACCAGGGTTTGGACCATTTTCTTACCAACATGAAAAATGCTAATGGTGAGAAACACCGGCGGAGAGCAAGACCAAGATGGGTTTAATTGTGAGAAGAATTATGAGAATAATGAGAAGAATGTTAAAAGTAGGGGAGGGGTGTGTATTTTTGCAAAAAATAATATCACTTTTAAAGAAAGGAAAGATATTGATTCTATGGCAATTGAAGAAGCTTTTGAATGCACTGCTATTGAAACAATGAGTAATGAAAAGTCAACCAAAACAATATACATTGTAATTTACAGGACTCCGAATGACCAAAACCTAAAGATTTTTTTCTCAAGCTTTGAAAAACTATTACAGCACCTTGAGGCAGAACAACATTTGTGTCCAATATACATAAGTGGGGATTTTAATATAGACATGCAAATTGATGATGAAAAATGTGTTAGGTTTAAAACTTTGTTTCAGTCTTTTGGGTACAATGCCATGATCAAGGAGTATACTCGAAAAACACCAACTACAGCCACTTGTATTGATAATGTAATTTCAAATGTAAATAGTATTGATAAGGTTTGTGAAGTAGTGGACTTTGGGATATCTGACCACTTAGGTCAGGTAATTTGTCAAAGAAATGAAATAAGGCCTAACCAATGTAAAAAATACTTGTCGAAGCGGGTCATAAAGAAGGAAAACGTTCTTGGTATGTTAAACGGTCTGATTGAAGAGAACTGGACTAATTGCATGTCAAACCTTAGTTCTAATGGTAGTTTCAATAATTTCTTTGGAATATTCTATGATTCTTTTTTGAATAATTGCCCAATTAAACAGAAATCTCTGTCAACAAATGGGAGAAATAATCAATGGGTAACAAAAGGTATTAGAATATCCAGTAAAAGAAAATGGGAGCTTTATAAAATTTCTAGAAATAATACAAATCCTGTTTTCTTAGAATACTTTAAAAATTACAAGAAGGTTTTTAAGAAAGTAATTTGGGCAGCCAAAATGAGGTACAACTTAAATTTGTTAGAGAATAGTGATAATGTAGGTAAAACAACATGGAGCATTGTAAAGAGAGAAATCGGTACAAATTGTAAAACAGAACCTTGTCTAGGAATCAAAATTAATGGGGAGGTTATTGACGATCCTATAAAAGTAGCTGATTGCATGAACCATCACTTCATTGGTGTAGCAAATAAGTTTCAGTCCCAGGTTTCGGTGGCAGATTCAATAGCCAAAGCAAAAATGGCAACTCTAAATGTCCCACATGCATTTGAATTTAAGATTGTCTCTGAATCCGATGTTATCTCCTGCATCAATCGATTAAAGAATAAAAGTTCAACTGGCTGGGATGAAATTCCTACAAATGTAATAAAATCATTGGCTTCTTCAATTATAAAACCACTCACTCATTCTATCAACATTTCACTGCTGACAGGAGTCTTCCCCGACAAATTGAAGTATGCTCAAATTATACCTATATTTAAAAAGGGGGACTCGGAAGAAATTTCAAACTACCGACCAGTGGCTCTCTTACCTGTGTTTTCAAAAATATTTGAAGAGGTTGTTCTCTCACAAATTGTTCCATTTCTTGAATCAAACAATTTATTGAACAAGAATCAATTTGGTTTTCGGAGGGAGAGAAGCACGTCTGATGCAATAGTCAATCTAGTTTCTGAGGCAGTGGAGGCCTTGGACGGATCACAGAGAACCTTTGGTGTTTTCTGTGATTTGTCTAAGGCCTTTGATTGTGTCAGGCATGACATTCTCTTGGAGAAATTGAGATTGTATGGGATATCTGGATCATCTTTTTCATGGTTTTCTAGTTACATCACTAACAGATATCAGCAGGTTGTCATCAAAGATAAATCCGGTGTCAAACATTTTTCTGAATGGAGCTCAGTAACCCATGGTGTTCCGCAGGGATCTAAATTGGGGCCTCTTCTGTTCATCCTCTACATCAATGACTTGTCTTTTTCAATTTCTTCCAAAATTATTCAATTCGCTGATGACACAACAATGCTAGTAAGAGCACCTTCTATTTTTTCTGCAACTAACATTGCATCCCGAGATTTAGATTCCATGATAACTTGGTTTGCACAAAACGGACTACATCTAAACTGTTCCAAAACTCATCTTCTTCATTTCCATAATCCACAACTGAAGGCAGGTGAGATAACAATCAAACTAAAATCAGGTGATTCCATAAAATCTTCTGCAAATACTAAATTCCTGGGCGTAAACATAAATGAAAATCTAAAATGGTCTGATCATCAAATACAAATTAGCTTGTCTCTAGCAAAAGCACTGTTTGGTCTAAGGGTGGTTTATAAGTCTTCGGGTTTGCATGCAGCTCTTGCTGTGTATCATTCTTATTTTATGTCTAGGTCTTCCTATGGTATTATCTCATGGGGCAGCTCCCCCATTACCAAGAATATTTTTATCTTACAAAAAATTGCCGTTAGAATTTTAGCTGATACCAGACCACGTTCCTCTTGCCGCCCCCTTTTTATTCAGATGAAACTCTTGACAATTTATGCAGTTTATATTTTTCAACTGTGCATCTTTGTAAAAAGAAATTATAAGGAATTTATGTTGAAAAATTACACTCATCAATATAACACCCGACACAGGAATGATCTTCAATATCCTGTGCATAGAACAGCTCTGTATGAAGGATCGCCATGGTACATGGGTAGGAAAATTTACAATAACTCCCAGATCAAATTAAAACTGAAGAAAATATGTCATCCTTTAAAAGAAAACTAAAATCTTATCTCATTCTCTTGTGTCCTTATTCCCTAGATGATTTTATAAAAACTTAGCTTTAGGTTTTATGGATTGATAAAAACAAAGAATTTAGCATAAGGTATTATTAGATTGTAAAGTGGTATTGACATGTCATATGTTTATATGTGAAAATCACAATCTTGTAAACTTATGTGACAAATAAACATTTCATTTCATTTCATTTCATTTCAATTTTTAAAAATTCCTAGAGAAATTGAGTTGATGGTGATAGAGGGAAGGAGACCTGGAAGAAAAGATGGATATCTGAGGCAAAGAGGAATGTACAGAAGAGAGGAATGAATTTCAGAAAGTGGAGGAAAAGAAACTTAGGAGCGATATAAGATTTAAAGGACTAGTCAATATGCAGACCCTGTAATTTCTGGAACATAAGAAAAAGTATGTAACAAATTTGTGTAACCAAAAGCACTAGTATACCTTGGACATAGTGAGTCGCTTAGCAATTGTCTTGCGCATGCTGGAGAGCTCGTGGTCAGTGTAGCCAGAGCGGGGCTTCGATGGAGCTGGTGCCGCCATTGCGGGGCTAGCGGTAGTCACAGGCCCCGTAGTAGCTTGCTGTCCGGGGGGTGGTACTGTAACGAGGGGAGAATATTGTTCAGGGTGTTAATTTCATCTCGATTAGCATTAGTAAAAAGTATGAGTTTTACAGAAAGTTAATAAGTCAAACGTACTTTGATATTTTTTTTTTTTTTTTTTTAAAGAGGTTGGCGGCCTCTTTTAACCTTGCATTTGCCCGTCCACATAGACTAAGCGCCCGTGCGTGGATCGTTTACAGCAAAGCAAGGAGTGAGCCGGTACAGTACAAAGGTGAACTGTACTGATAAAATGTTATCGGCAGTGACCAGGATCCGAACCCACGACACTACTGCCTTGGGCCCGAAGTCCGTGACGCTACCGACTGAGCCACCGACTCACTAGCTCCAGTGTTTAACTATGTGGGACATATTTCAAAATGTATATAACAAAATTTCCGCTTACCATTTATATCTCCAATTTGTATTACCTAAAAAAAGGTGTCAAAAGTATGCCGGTTCTTTAGAGTAAAGAATATTTCTAACAGCAACAATTATGTTTTCTTCACTCTGTGTCTGAAAATACAGTACGGTAGCTCATTTCTGTACAGCTGAGATTTGATTTTAGCCTCACCAAATCATTACTGTTCAGTCCAAAACAATGTTTCTCCAAACCCGAATAAACACCCTTTACCCTTTTTGCTCAAGACATAAGATTTCATAGGTCTCTTAATATATGTACATGTATTGACAGGTCAAATTTGTTCAAGGTATTGAGTTGTTGTTCAAGGCTGTTTGTACTTTTTTGTTACAACAAATATTGTTCACACAGCTCAGTTAAAACTTGAAACAAACTAAAAAAACATTGTGTACATGAGGATGTAAAGAATTGTTCACTACTCATTAAGAAAGACCCATTTCAGGCTCTATAGTTGTTAGCCTAAACACTATCAAGACGTGAAATGGGTCACTTTCGGGACTAGCGGTGAAGTATACTGTACTTAAATGTACAAGACTTTTGTACAACAAAAGTTTTCCCAGGGACCTGAAAGATTGAATTTGATTTTTTACACTGTTGGTAGTTAACAGTGTTAAACAGGCTACACTAAAAAAAGATTCCGGACAGCTTGTAGTAAAGCTAATTAATGACATCGCATACATGAATATTCCACTAGTTATTGGCAATTCAACATATCTGAATAAACAGTTCTAGGACTAACCAGGCAGAGGAGGTTTGGGCTGAAGCTTGTTGTCGGAGATGTACTTGAGGACGTCTCCCTTGAGTAGTTTCTTGTTGCGGCCAGACGGAGTGATCTGATTGGCTGACAGCTGGTACTGGGACAACAGTCTGTGTACTGCCGGGCCGTAGTTGCTGCAACACAACAAACATGTGTTACTCGACAAATAGAATAACTTACAGCAAACCCTCTCTTTTTAACATTATTTGAATACAATGTCGTCATCAATACACAAAAAAAATATCAAGGATGATCACGGATATGTTTAGAACATGAAAGACAATAACACGGCCAGCCATAACACGTAATCAGACGACGCAACCTGTTTTCAGTATCTGTTTGCTTTATGTTTTTGTATGTGCATGATGATGATGATGATAAATCATTCTGGACTGGGACGGGTGGCGTCGTCCTGTAATCCAGCTACTAGGAGGTCACGAATTGTGGATAATTATAGGGATGCACTGTGGATGCGATGCTACCTGGTGTGGATTAACGTCCGCACTAGTGAGTACTACGACTATCCGCAGTACTATCCTAATAATTAGACCAATTCGTTAATTACGAGGAAAAAATGTGGTTCGGATTCCACAATAAACTGTAGGTCCCTTAGTTGCCATTAGCTGTATGGGCTATTAATTAACAGCTGTGTCTAAGGAACATGTTGGCCTTAGTCACTAACAAGACTACAAGATCGCGCCACTCATCCTACACTCATCCTTCACTCATATTTGGGTTAAAATACGCACATAGTGGCGTCCCCATCTTAAATAATTGATAATTGATAATAATATTAAGAAGACAGGTGTTAAAAAACAGGTGTGTTGCCTGAGACTACAATAAGATTGACAACATTAATGTGCGTTACCTATTTATTACTGTACATATCATAAATTAATCATGGAGGAAATTGGGACGAAACCATATTTGGATTATTTAACATTCGGATAATTGGGATTTTTACTGAAATTTGGAAGTTATGTGAAAGGAAATAGGGTGAGTCAAGCACAGCGTTTACCATCGCAATGGCAAAATGCTTCTGCAAAAGTTTGTAATTGAAAAATTCATGGTTTTGTCGCAGATGGTGGAAGATGATAATTTTCCATGACGATGAAGATGTAGACGCGACCTCAGATTTTCAGGATTTTGACGCAAACACAGCTTCTGCCATCTTTAAATCAATTTGTAATACTGTAGTTTTAGGTTTTTAAAATTCTTTCTGTAACGATTCGGATTCTTGGAGTTTGGATTTTCGGACTTAGGAGTTTTACTGTATGTAAATTAATCAATATTCCCTAACACGTTAAAAAAACAAAACCTTTTCCTTTGACATTGTTAAATGACTAAAGACCAATGTTGACTGTGGCAATACTCACTGGGGCTCATGGCTGACAGCAGGTGAGGCGGGGCCAGCTGGGGCAGTCGGAGCCTGTGTGGCGGGGACTGGTGGGGCCGCACCAGCTGTAGGTATCGCTACGTCCTTCCAGTCCTCTCCCTCCCCTACAGTCAAAGCTATCAGGGTGCCGACCTTGATTGGGTCTTTGCTGCCCTCCGGTACCTAGAAGAGACACTTGATCTTACACTTGATGACTTTGCATGATGTGAAAGTGCAAGTGATCTACAAGTCACTGATCATTAGTTTTGAAATCATTAGTGATTGAAAGTCACTTGTAGGTTATTAGTCACTATTCACAAGTTGATAGTAATAAGTCACTTGTCATCATTACTCATCAAAGATAACTATTCAAATTTACACACATCTTACATTCATGTTTAACTTAAAATAGGACAGAAGTAACAAACCACAAATCATTAGTAGATAAATAAAAAAAATAAGACGCCATTAAAGTGAATCATCATACAGAATTCATGATCATTGGTGCATATCAGTTAGTCATAGTCAACATCATAGTGTAGTCATAGTCAACATCATAGTGTAGTCATAGTAATTTGTCAAAAGCCAAGGTCATTTATCAGCTACTAGGGTTATGTTTTTAGGAAAAAGCATTTAGCTTGGATTAAATAAATAAATAGGATGGAGAGGACACAGCTAACTCACCTGATGAAAGGTTGCAGACTCGTCAATTAACTGTGTCCTCTTCATCCTATATGTTTATTTTATCAGCTACTAGGTCATCTACTGTTCAAAAGCTAGCAAAATTGTAATTCAGTTAGTAGGATTATTAGATCATTGGCTCTTGAATACTGATACAATTGTTTTCTCATTTTGAAGATCTACCAGAAAAACTCATAATTAGTTTGATCAGCTGTTGTACCATACGATAATCTTTTGAATCACTATTTCACCGTTTAAGTCAATGCTGTTCCACACTAGCCAGTAAAGTAAAAGTTACTAAGCGACCAATGTGACCGCCGAAAAACCACTTTCCAATGTGATCGCTATCTTAGTCTTCATGAACATTTAACATGAGAAGGAACATTGAGGAATAAAAAAATTTTGGACAACTATTAGTGCCTCAAGTTAAGCACTGCACTGAAATATACGGACTGCAGTTTGGTTGGAAGGAGCATTGAGCTTTGAACTTTATCACCTTTCTAGTTTGATCACCAGACTAGAGTTACCCACCATTACAAACATTTTTGAGATGGAACAGCACCCTTAAGTAAGCAAGTTAAGGCACATCTGTCATGGCAGTAGTATTTACATAGTAGTGTCCACGTCCAGGTTAAACGACACTAGCTATAACAATTTGAATTTTGAAAACTGTGTTTTTAGATTGGAAATCCTCCCAGGAAACACAATGTACGATTGAAATAATTCATTATTCTTCAATAAGGACAATATGTCAAGCGTTCAAAGATCAAAATCACCTGTGTAGAATCACGAATCATTAGAATCTTAAAATATTTTCTTGTTAGGAACCAAGAACCTTCAGATTTTTAACCGAAGAAGCTAACCACTTAGCTACCGAACAATACGACATGAACATCCTAAACCAAACGTGTATTTACAACATACCAATATCTTCGCCAGTATTCCCTCCTCCTCTGTCTCAAAGGACATGACAGCTTTGTCCGTTTGTATCTCACAAAGGATATCTCCAGGAGCTAAAGCATCTCCTTCTTTCTTCATCCACTGTACAATGACTCCTTCAGTCATGGTGGGTGATAAAGACGGCATCTTGACCTCTTGTCCTGAAACTGAAAAATAACACATGAGTCTATGGGCAAACATGTACAAGATAGTGTTTCATTTTTAATTTCTTTATGTCTAAATTTTTTTTAAACATTGCAAAAAGATAATACTTCTAGAAAATCAATTTGATTCACTAAAAATGTTGAGTTTAGTTCTTTGAATTGTATTATTCTTCATTATATTAACATACAATAAATATTAAACACAAAATATTTAACCACTCACCGCTGCCCCCCGTGAAAGTTGGCTGGGCCTGGACGGGGGTTGCTGCTGGAGAAGCCCCCGCCGCCCCCGGCACTTCTACATCCTTCCAGTCCTCTCCCTCCCCTACTGTCAGAGCTATCAGGGTGCCGACCTTCACGTCCTTTGTTCCTGCAGACACCTGCCAAAAGAAGAGACACAATTTGTTACTAAAAAAACTTGTTTAAATCTTTTCTAGTCAAGCTTTCAATTCATACACAGGTTCCTGCAATATTTTTGGATTGACGACATGAACATCCTAAACTAAACTTTTGTTTACAACATACCAATATCTTGGCCAGTATTCCCTCCTCCTCAGTTTCAAAGGACATGACAGCCTTGTCTGTTTGTATCTCACACAGGACGTCCCCAGGAGCTATAGCATCTCCTTCCTTCTTCAGCCACTGTACAATGGTTCCCTCCGTCATGGTGGGTGATAAAGACGGCATCTTGACCTCTTGTCCTGGAACTTAAGATTGAAATTGGTATGAGAAACCTGTACATCTGAGGCTAGGTTGGTGGTAGGATGGTCAACAAATCTAAGGCAGTGATGTTCCAGGTACACATCCTGATGTTACAGCTAACATTTATCAGTGAAGTTTGTTCTTTTACCGCTGTAGTATCAGCTTTCTATTGCTTCGCTTGATATGTTCAACACACAAGCCAGAGGCTTATGCGACAGCAAATGCAAGGATAAAAGAGACCATCAACTTTAAAAAATTCATTTTCTAACAATTTTTACAACAGTGAAAGTTAAATTAAATAGTTACTAATCACATTAAATAGGTTACAGTTCCGGTACCTCAATTGTTTTACAAATCCGAGCACTGGGTTTAATTATTTGATCAATGATAGTTACCACTGCCCCCCGTAGCTGCTGCTGAAGCCCCGCCTGATGGGGGAGAGGGAGCCGCTCCACTACCTCCGCCTGGTAAATCTACTGTCTTCCAGTCCTCTCCCTCTCCCACAGTTAGAGCTATCAGGGTGCCGACCTTCACATCTGGTGAGTTTTCTGGCACCTGTAACACCAAACTTAAATATAGGCCTACAACTCAATTAGCACATAGGTTGTCAGATTTGAATCCCATTTACTCAGATTTTATTTTTTTTTAAGTTGTTTGAGTTTCATTTTGGTGTAACCTTAAATCACTTTTACATTTAAATAACAGGTTAGGCCTACACTTCCATTCTTTCAAGTAATTCAAGTAAACATTTAACACAGGAACATAGAGGGATGAAAAAAAAACGATAACTACTGGTGCCTCAAGTACGCACTGCACTGAAATGTACAGACTGCAGGTTGGTTGAAAGGACTGTTGACCTTTGTATTTTGTTTTTAGTTTGTTCTAAAGCATCAGACTAGGTTTACGCACCCTAAAAAACATTTTTGAGATGGAACCAGCACCCTTTAGATTGCTAGGCAAGCAAGCTAACCTCTCGGCTATTAAACAATATAAATAATTTAAACTAGTGTATTAATCACATACCAATATCTTGGCCAGTATTCCTTCTTCTTCCGTTTCAAACGACATGACAGCTTTGTCCGTTTGTATCTCACACAGGACGTCTCCAGGGGCTATAGCGTCTCCCTCCTTCTTCATCCATTTGATGATCTTTCCTTCCGTCATGGTTGGCGACAGTGACGGCATCTTCACCTCCTGTCCCTCCACTGCAGCCAACCAAACAGTTTAATTGATTACCAATCAGAAACCAGCTGATTATACAAAATTATAGTACATAGAATGCCTTCTATACATATTAGACCTGTCTGAGACAGGACTCAAACCATTGATTATGGTCGAACTATCTATCATGTTACTGTTAGCTGGAGAGACATTGCGTTAGATTGTTAAGCCGTTAATCAGATCTTGCAGTGTATCATACTAACAATGTTAAACCCAAAGTCTTAGAATGGTAGTCTAAAACTGGTCTCACGGTCCTTTGAGGTTTAACGCTTTGAAAACCAAGAGAGATAATGTATCAGCCATCAATAGCAACATTGCCAAAATATTATTACAACTTCCTACGTGTATGTCTGGACAAAAACGGTTGAAAGCTGACCTACTGAAGCCTGAAAGGAAGGAACAACAAATGAATCAACTTTAGAACTATTATGTTATTGTGACTAGGGTTTTTAGTGTTGTTTATTGGGTAGACCACAAGGTCTGTTCAACTGCCGAGTGGTCTAAAGCCCTGTCCACCCTAAGCTACATTGTCTATTTGACCCTGTCTCAGCCAAGTCTGGTGTGTAACCACAGAGCTGGGTAGGATCCATAGAAAATACACACTTTGGGTAGACACAATAGGTGAATCCTTTATCAGTTAAGTTACGTCACAAATCAGAAATAGGTGTGTCCACTGCAGACTCGTTTTAAGTAATTTTACATATTGTTGTCCATAAGATGAGGGATAGTTAATTATATGCTACAAAAAGAAAGTTAATGAATGTAAAAACCCATGGGGCTTAGAAAATAATAGCCTATAGTTTTGCATTAAAAACCTTATATTTTTTTTAATCAATTAAATTTAATTTTACTGTACAGTACAAAGAACTTATGAAATTATTCAATATAACACCACAAGATGATATAAATATCCAGACAGATAGCATTCAAATGTGCTCTGGCTAGTGATAACTCAAAGATGCTGGCACAGTTGAAGGTCAATCAGATAAGAAACATCCAACAATCAATAAGCTTCTGAATTTGGAAAGTGTTCAAGGTCGCTGAAAACAATTTCATGGACATTTTAAAATTAATAGTTTTAATGATAAATAAAACTTCTATCTAGTGATTTTAAGATAAAATTATTCCTGATGAATAATTTAAATACGGTAAAAAAATAATAATTTAAGACCGAATTGTGTAGGCTAAACACTTATTATTATGATTTTCTAAAATAGTAACAATTAAGCTACCTACACAGTTAATATTTATATTTTGGCTTTCCAGATTCCAAATTAGCTGGAAAATCATTTTAAAAGCCATCTTTTAGGGATGTTTTGAGTCCTTTTTTTCTAAATTGATTTAACTGATAAAGCATTATCTTGAACCTATTTTACTAACCAAAGTATTGACAGATTTCTACGCACGTCTTAACAAAATGCTCTCCTCATTCTTAGGTTAAAAAAATACTAAATAAAATTATGTAATAAATTAAACTAGAGGGTCCAGATTATCAAGGGCCAAATTACCCCTATGAGGTTTTTTTTTTGTATATACTTGATTGTAGTTTGGAATTAGACCTTCATATTTTATATTTCAGTGGTTTATGGAGTACCGTACCCTGGTTTGATGAAGTATTGAGAATATTCATACATCAAAGTAGGCTATTAGAATTTAAAACATATAAGAATTAGATGCACCTACAAAAATAACTGCTACTAGGTGAACCCGTGCGAATTCGCACAAGTACCTAATAAATTAGGATTATTAACAAAGTTGTTAGAAGTTGCCATTAGCTTTGGTTAGCATTCTTTCTTGAACAGTGGTTTCGACGTCGTAGATATAAATTCGGGCATATTAATTGTATCGACGTTGGGCTTGAGCTCGATTGTTGGCTATATGCATTCTAAGTTCTTTTTGCTGTTCAGTAGAAGTATTTAAACGAACGGAGCTCATCATGCTGAAAACTTGCGCGTATGGATTAATATCAACCAAATGTTGAGTCAAAATGTGCATGAGCTCAGTGCTGCAAGAGCCATTAGCTTTGGTTAGCATTCTTTTTTGAACAGTGGTTTCGACGTCGTAGATATAAATTCGGGCATATTAATTGTATCGACGTTGGGATTGAGCTCGATTGTTGGCTATATGCATTCTAAGTTCTTTTTGCTGTTCAGTAGAAGTATTTAAACGAACGGAGCTCATCATGCTGAAAACTTGCGCGTATGGATTAATATCAACCAAATGTTGAGTCAAAATGTGCATGAGCTCAGTGCTGCAAGAGCCATTAGCTTTGGTTAGCATTCTTTCTTGAACAGTGGTTTCGACGTCGTAGATATAAATTCGGGCATGTGTGGGATGCTGCCCTTCTGACGGTGGTAAGGTGCCAATTGAGTGATAAATTGTGTCGTGCACTTTAAACATGAAAGGCCCTCCAAAGTTATGTTCTTCAATTTTAGATCAAGTGCTGACCATTGCGAGCGCAGAGTTGTACGGTCTAATGTTCTCTTTGTAGTTTCTGCTCAAATGATTTGCTCCATTTAGGCTCTGGATAGCTCTCTCGGTATGGTGGTAGATTCACTTTTCCTTTAAGGCAGCAGGATGAAAATCCTTTGCCTGGTCCTCTTTGTTCTTCTTTAAAATGTAGCACACCACATTTTAATGCCATCTCGCCAAGTGAATGCTGCTGAGTTCTTGTATTTGTCAGTGTAATTTTTTAAGTACATGTTGCCACTAACTGTTCCAGCTCCTTGTCTGGGCTCCTTACATTTTGCATTGCTTGCCGTATGTTGACTCGCCGTGTCCGGCCAGCAATATTTCTTTGTCGTCGGGTCCTTGGCATGTTTAAATGAAAATCAAATATCAAACTTTTCTCCCGTCGTGTCCTATAGGTAACATTTCCTTGCCAGGTTTCTAATTATTTTTAAAAACATGCAAACTGTTTACATTTCAAAACCAAACAAAACAGCTGGAATTTATTTTTTTAACTAATTTATTTACATCTGTTTTAGAATATAATAGCATTCAAATCAATCACAATGTTATCCTTATAGAAGGAACTTTGAGGGCAGCCCACTCCCTTAAAAAGATATATTTAGAAAATCTAAAGCCAGTTTGCACATCTACACACCTAGACGGACATTTTGGTATATGATATGTGGGGTTAAATCTTAAAACAAAAAAGCCTTATTGTTCACAAAGTTTCATGTCGCGTATTAAATATATAGAAGATAGATGGAGCATTTTTATAGCAGGAATTTTTAGACTAAAAAGCCTTAGAATAGGTTCTTTTTAAAAAAGAGGAATCACAAAACATAATGTATAACTTTGGCTAAATATTTTCTATTATATTGTTTTCTATTACGTATAGAACACCCCTTACATTGTTTTCTGTAGATATCTTTTTTGATCTAGATTCAGTTTGATGTAGGCCTAATATAAAGTTAAGAAGTGTTTAGTAATTAATATAGCCTAATAGCAGGGATGTCCAAAATTTGGAGTCTTAACTAAGCAGGTTTGCTTGAGTTTAAAACCAGCGCTGTGCTATTTACTTTCCCGCTACTGCACTATTACTCTACCGTACCCTTTATGTGACCATTCAATAATTCCATCATAATTTAGTGTAGCCACAATAAATATGTGAGCGAAAAATCAATGGCTCCTACAAGTATGCAGTATGAATCACATTCTGTGATTAACTTAGATTTCTATGGCAGACTCCCATTGACAGTTGAAGTGAAACGTGAGGGGGGATGCTAAGAAACAGATTATAGTCATACAACGGTGACACACTAGAGTGGGTAAGTTATATTAAACTGAAGAGATGGAGAGTTTGAAAGTATTTCCAAGACATTTCCACCTTCACATCCTAGGACGCTGAGGTTCTGGTCCGGAACTGTTTGAAACATTACTTCAGGCTAGTCTTAGAGGACCACGCAGTGGCGGCGATAGCGGGCCCGCAGTGCAGAGGGGCCCGTGAGCCTTGACCGGGATTTTTTGGGAAATTTCACTGGGACACGGGCCCATTATTGTGCGATAGACTCAGCCACACCCCCAGCCCTATCATAACACTATTTATATGAGAATTACCATATGTTTTTTTATGACAAAAATTTGTTATAACCTAAAAGCAATAGGCCAAGTAGTTTAAAACAGCTAAACTAAGATTAGGCCAACGCTTTTACCGCGATTGCATATATCGACGAGAAAATTAGCCCACGGGTGAGGATGACGATGTCTCTCAGGAGATGTTCAATATTTTGCCACGATTGCGGAAGACGATAATGACGTTTATCTTTCCGCGAGAGATATATCTAGAATTTTGCCGCTATTGTGGAAAAAAGTAATTCCCCGTCACCACGGGTCACGGGAGGTATTTATTTATTTATTTATTTATTTATTTACGGCAAAATCGCCATTTGTACAATCAATTACATGCAATAACAATTTGTGGATCAATAAATACTTTTAACATGCTATAAGATTTACATCTTGCTATTTGGTTGATGCTTTATGAGTACATGCTAACACCACTAACACTAATGATTCGCAACTGAGTAATGAAAAATGAAAAACAAATATATATTCTATGAACATACTACATCGGCAAATAAGAGAGAGAAAAAAAAAACATGCAATGGTCTTAAAATTGAACTAACATTAACAGCCTGCTTCACTAAATAAGGATTGAAAAGGAAAATATAAAAATTTGAATATTTGACAGTGCAATAAAATATAAAAACTCAACAATAACAAGTATGAACAATGAGAGTGTGACAATGATTGATTGTGACTTAAGTGCTAATGGTGAATGTAACAACATTGGTAGGAACATGAACAGAGATGAAAGGTTATCAAAAATGAATTGAAAGTTTAACAGTGCAAATATAAATTATTAAAGAAAACTTAACAATAACAAGAAGGCAAAAAAAAAGGTGATCGTTTGACAATGATTGGACTACAATAAAAAGATGGCTTATATAATGAAACTAGGAGAACATGCGGTAATGGAGGAAAACAAGTGGTTGAAGAGCACGACACTAACCCCAATACTCTGCTTTCACCCCCCTCACACACAACACAGCGCAGAAACAAGACGGGGAAAAGGGAGCTATCTTCAATTGGAGAAGATCCTCTTCAGTGCAGAATCACTGTCATTAAAGAAGTCATAATCGTGATGCTGAGTAAGAGTATTCCCCTGACGATGAAGTCTTGGAACAGGACTGTGAAATCCGTAGCTGGTTGAACACTGATGTCGGTGGAACAACTCCTGGGTCCGAGTAGCCGTGGGGATTCGAAACGTGATAAGATCAAGTAACTCAGGACAGTCGATCATATTGGTGACAAGTCTTTTCAGGAAGAGGGCATCGATCATCTTTCTTCTTTCTTCTTGAGGTGTCAGCTTCAGGTAGTTTGCTACATCATCGATAGGGACGGTAGAATAGTTGAATCCCAATTTAACACCAATTATTTTAATGAACCTTCTTTGTATTTTTTCGAGTCTATCTTTGTGTCCACGCTAGCATATTCCAACACAGGTCGTACAAGTGAGGTGTACAAAATCCTAAGAGCTTCGGTGTTGATACCATCTCTGGACGCACAGATGATGAAACCCAAAAGCTTTGATGATCTAGTGCAAACTGAGTCTATGTGCAGATCTGGACTGAGGTTGGATGTCAAAATCACTCCAAGATCCTTTATTGTTACTTTTCTCTCTAGTATAGTGTCGTGTAGCATGTAATTCCAGAGGATTGGTTTTATGCCCCTTGAGAAAGTAATAGTAGCACATTTTCTTTCATTCATAGTCATTGCATTATGTTTGCACCACATCTCAATATCGTGTAAACTGCGTTGAAGGTTTTCACAATCGTGTTCATCTCGTATCACAGAATAGACCTTAATGTCGTCAGCAAATAGTAGGCATTCAACATCTATTAATTTAACAAGGTCATTGATAAAGATGTTGAATAAAAAAGGTCCCAGATGGGATCCTTGCGGTACACCTGAACTTGCTAAAAAGGGTCTAGAGAGTGATCCTCTGAATTTCACTACGAGAGTACGGTCGGAGATGTAGGAATGAAACCAGTTGAGAAGATTGCCATGTATACCACAATTGTTGAGTTTATGCAATAGGAGCTCGTGATTAACACTGTCGAAGGCTTTTTTGAAGTCAATATAAATGCTGTCAACCTGATATTTTTGGGCAAAAGACTTCGTGATAAAGTTTTCGTATAACACAAGATTGGTGACCGTGGATTTTCCGGCGAGAAAGCCATGCTGTTCCTTTGTGAATACATTTTTGAAGGGAAATGCGAGCTGATCAAGAACAAGACTCTCAAACACTTTACTCAAAGTTGGTTGAATCACAATTGGCCTGTAGTTCTGAACATTGGACTTGCTGTCAGATTTATAAACAGGTATGACATAGGCTAGCTAGTCTTAAGAACGTCAGGGAAAATTCCCTTTTCTAAAAGTTTGTTAAAGAGAACCGTGAACTGAGGAGCGAGAATAGAGTGACAATATTTTAGTACATTTGGAGGGATTCCGTCGGGTCCTGCTCCCTTATAAGGATCCAAGGTGGCCATCTTGCGCTCCACATCTTCACACCTCAACTTACAGGCTCTATTTACAGGCTGATATGCCATGACTTCCATTGCTATTATAGGTGACTAGCTGTTCCAAGTCGATGCTTTGATCCGTAAAAACCGAGGCAAAGAAGTCAGCAAAAAGGTTGCACACGTCTACAGGCAGGGATTTCTTCTGGTCACCAAGTTGAAAAGTTTCGTTAGTATGCAAGGCTTGTTTACGCTCATTGACAAAGCTCCAAAAGGATTTCAAGTTGTTAGGAATAGTAGCATTCACACGGTTGAGGTATGTCTGATAGCATTGTGAAGCCGTGGTACTGCACAAGGTGCGAGCTCGACGGAATTCATCATAACTCTCCTGTCGTAAAGTTGATTTATAAACTTTATGGAGCCGCTTTTTCTCAATGACTAACCTTTTCAGTCTAGGTGAGAACCAGATGGGAAATTTGGAAGCCTTTACTTTGGTATTAGGGGTTGGGCCATTAACGCGGGAGACGATGATGTTGTTATCCAATTATGTCATAGGTTTGGTTGGAATCACGGTAGACTATGATAATAAATGATTCTTCCAAGACTACGGGAAGTATTCACGATTTTTCCGCGATCATGGAAGACGATTATGACGCCTTGGTGCCTCAGGAGATGCCGTGCCAAGCTTAAGTGCAAGTTTATGCGGTAAATAGGTACATGTGATAATGTTTTAAAGATTATTGGGAGGGGGGCCCAGCGAACAAACTTGTGGGGGGGCCCGCGGGCTCTTATCGCCGCCACTGGGACCACGGCATTATCAACAAGATAAAATCTATTGGTAATTGGCGGGATTTGAGCCCGGGACCAGCGGCGGATTATGACCTCAGCGGCCCATAGGCACATGTAAACTCACCCCACCCCCCCAAAAAAAACCCACAAATAGCCTACAAAAAAGTTAGGATTTTACAAATTAAACTCAGTTAATACGCTTTACACCTGGGGGTTTTTACACTTTGTATTTAGCCTACATATTAATTAGTACAGTAATGACCTTAGCATTCGTTAAATGTTGATAAATAATTTGATATTTCTTTACAAAACTAAATTTTTTGCTTTTAATGCAGAAAACTCATCCATAATATCATCGAAATTTTTATGTTTGCAGCCCGCTGAGACCTGCGGCCCCTAGGCAGTTGCCTGATTCTGCCTAATGGGTAATCCGCCACTGCTCGGGATCTCGGGCTTCAAAGCCCTGTGCTCTGCAAGCTATTGGACCAGCTCGCTCCTCGCCACTCACTGTTACTACTTACTAATAAGTCTTAAGCATTAAAAAAGGTTGCAAGAAGTAAGCATTTAAGCCAGTTATAAACATGCTCAATTGATATTTCTCGTATTTTCTGTAGCGGGACGGTCCAAACCTAGTCATGTTTTACTAGCCTACTGAATCTCCTCTCAACCTGATACAAGTTCCAGTAACTTAATTGGTAGCCAAATGATAATTCGGTGGGTTAGGTAGGCTAGGTCAAACATGGATCCTTTCAATGAATAAAGGAGTAGCCTAACCTTCAATTTGAAAATGAGCACAAAAACCTAGTCTATCTGACACCTCTTACTCTTCTTATAGGCTTAACTAGTACCCTCGACTAAGCTAGTAGTACATAACCTATGGTTCAACAACAGGTTAACTAATACTTACCATTCAATATTGCTGATACATGAAAACATCGCAAACGTTGTCTATCAAATTGAGCTCTAATGGACTTTCTCACCAAAGGTTTAATACATGATTTTCCGATAAAACTTAACTTACTCCTCACTACAGAAGCCATGCCTACATAACACAACCCCTCAAGGCCGACCAAAGTCAAAAGAGATAAATAATAAAATCTTGAATCTAGCAGACGTCAAAACACAAGGTAAACTTTCTGTAGTTTAATTTCCATTGGCCAATTCATTCATTCAACCCAACACATTTTAACCAATCACACAAAAAGTCACATGTGTTTGCTAGTCAGCTGTTTGCTTTTTAACATTGACAACACATCTGGATTTTTTTCAAGCACCATTAAAACCACCAAGATTTAATACGTATACGTAAAAGATTATTTGTATCACTATATTATAAATGGTAAACCTTAATTTTTGCTGTCTAAAGCCCCCCACACACTACCAGACCAGACCTCCAGACCAGACCGTCTGGCTGCAACCAAACCGTCTTGGACGGCTCTACACACTCCCAGACCAGACGGTCTAACATTCGTAATTGAGAGACCGTGGTGAGAACCCCAACAAATGGAAGAAGACTGTCACGATGGTCGGCCGTCTGACAGACAGCGCTACACACTCACAGACCAGACAAAAATAGTGGTGGGGGAACCTCAGACCGTCTGTGGTCTGAGGGTTCAACCATCAGACACGCAGACAGTCTGGTCCGAGAAAATCGGTCTGCAGACAGTCCCACACACGATAAGACAAGTGCCAGACGCCAGACCAGACGGTCTGGTCTGGAGGTCTGGTCTGGTAGTGTGTGGGGGGCTTAAGCTACTACTAGTGTTTTCTATTTTATGCAATAGTTGTTATTAATTTGATTGCACATTATGGTTAAGTCATTAAAAAAACTAAATAGCACAGAATATAAGTCATAACAGACGTTATTTGAATTTTGTTTAAAAATGTCAATTCTGTATCAAGTACAGTATGACACAGTTACAAATCACAAATATTGTTATTTATATAAAACCTTTTTTGGCAGATAAATAATCCAAACCTATCTCACGCTCTTAATTATTGTTATTGTGATGTGTTTTATTTGTATTTCTATCTTAGAAATTAGAACTTGCATAAAGGATCTGAATAAGGAATTGTTTTTAGGATCTGTTGGAATATTAATATGCAAGGGTTAAGGGGTTAAATATTACTTGCGAGTAAAACTTAGGTAGCTCTCATCGTGCATAGTTCCACACAACCGGTACACTAATAATTAAGACAAAATTAGAACAGGCACTGTGCAAAAAGAAATCATGAATAGGCACTGTGGGACTATGCACTCTGAGACCCATTTAAATCTTAATCTATGATCAAAATTACTGTTTGGTTTGTTTGTCTGTGGTTATGGCAGTCAGCTGTAAGAGGGATCTTTTCTCTGTAGTTATTTTTATGCTTCACTAACTATTTAATAATAGAACTGTCAAATATTTTTTATTTTAATGCTGACAGTCATACATAAACAATGCCATTTATTATGATGATGTAAATCTTTAAAAGTAACTTAATTGTATGAATTTTGTTCGTTTACGTCTTCGCTCTTATTTCATCAGTTAGATTGTGTCGTATTTAATCTGTAAATATACCTATTCTAGTAACATCTTATAACCCTTAATTTTTAGGCTAATCTTTACTAGTATGATAACTTGATCAATTGTACAAGTTAATTTAACTATAAATTCCAACAAACCATATCTCTGTACAAAAATAAAGCATGGCTTGTTTTCTTTTTAATAAGGATCGTGTTTATATACACATACCGGATGTTTGTGATGTAGATAAAGTTACTTTTTACAACATTGTTGTAAAGGTTGGTGATTTCTCCTGGAAAGTAAAGCATCGCTACAATGACTTTGTTACATTACATGACAAATTAGTTGTGGATCATTGTGTTTCAAAAGATATTTTGCCTTCGAAAAAACTCATAGGTAAAAGGGATCCAGTTTTTATTCAAAAAAGGCGACTTGGATTGGAAACGTATTTGTCAAATGTTGTAAATTTTCTCAAAGAAACAATGCCTCGAGAGTTAGCAATGTTCTTGGATTTTCACAAGTATGACATATTGTTCCTGCTTCAAGAGATGTCATCAACATTTTTGAGGGATGGGGATGCAATTCTATCAAAAGAGAAAAGTTTCAAGTTTAATCCATTGCAGGTATGTTACCTAATATTTTTTTCTGCAAAACTTTGATACCCAACACTATCCAATTGTTGAACACTAAAAGTACCGTATCGATTCTATCAACAATATGATGGGGTTGTGTATCAAAGTTCTGCTTATTTTCCCAATGATTTGATAGTTACAGAAGACTCCCTCTTATCCGGACTCCTCGGGACCGAGGCCAGTCCGGATAACGGGTTTTCCAGTTAAACCGACGTCCCCAAAGACTCGTTAAAACGGTTTGTTTAAATGCATACTGTATACAGTAGTTGACTTAAATTTAGGAGAGCATTGTATTTAAACGTGTGATCACTGGTCTCAAATCTTTCAACACTCGTTTCAGTACCATCCACTTCCTGCCGATCTAGTCCGGTTAAACCGATGTGCTAATAAAAATTGTCTAGTTAAAGAGATGTCATTTCCGTCGAGTGTAGTGTGGTTAAACCAATGTCCGGTTAAAAGGTGTCCGGATAAGCAGGAGTCTACTGTAATTGCAATCAAACATATCTTTCACTAAGTTATCACATTATTCTGTTTTGCACATTCAGCTTAGTTGTAAGATAGACCTACGTAAAAACAATACTTAATATAAGGTTAAAATACCTGGTTGTCGCCTTTTAGTCCAAGTTGTCTTACTGGATTGTACGCATTTCTGAGTAAATCCCATCGTCAGATCCATGGTACCACGAAAACTACAAGTCCCTCTTCTTGATTTGCCTCAAGAAGTGCGTCAAAAGTTCAAAAACGAGAGACAAAACCATAAAAAACAATAGTCGACTATTACATTTAACGTGGTTTGTCTTTTTCGACGTGTGCACAGGCAGGGTGATATGGAGGGCCATTGGATGTGTGTCGAGACTCGACTGAAAACGGGAGTTGGTCGTGATTTGCCTTTGTTCTGATGACGTGGCGAATGCAGCATTGTTTGGGCTATTGTCTAATTTTATATTGAGAGAGATTTTATGAAGAGAATATTGGACTGTAGGGTGATTTTGTCATGTAGCAGGTTGTTTGTATCAATTTTTCTGGCTCTATAAATTTCAAATTGTTCCAATGCTGTCATTGATAAGCCTTTTTGGCCAATATGTAATAAAGGCTACACATTTTCTTTTACACCTGTATAACTGTGGTTACTAGTTACTAAATGGTCGGCAAAATTTCATTTTAGATTTAATGCTTTTCTTGGGAAGGTGCTCATTAAATCGTTTGATGAAGGGCCTGCCGGTTTGTCCAATATAAAATTTATCACAGTCTCGTCACACCTACTTTATGTAAGTTATACGTGCTACACCTAACCCGATGAATGCAAATTTATGGATGTAAGTTATTATTAGAGATCACACTATATATTTAATTTATTGACATTAGCTATTTGAATTGGTTGAGTGACTGCCAAGGGCAATATTTATATCTTTTTAGCTACCTAATAGAATAAAAGATTTGTGTTTTAGACCCAATTTAGTCCTACAGTTTATAACTAGACTTTATTTAAACTTGAATTTAAACAAATTTAACTTAATTTAAATGTGAAAAATAATTTATACCTTACATACTGTAACTTATAACCGTAAAGGAACCTTTGCAGTAGTTCAGCTTTATTTTTTGTTCAAAAACAACATAGCTTAGAACCAGTGTTAAAACTTAATTTTCAAAATAAATATAAAAAGCCCATTAAGGGCTTACATCAGATCATGTTCTCTTACCATTGCTTAACAACTATAAATTTGTTAACAGCTCCATGCAATTAGTGAGCGGTTGAAACAGCCGTGTCCACCTATTGAAATCTTCGACAAATCATACGACTTCAGCCACGTTCTGGATTTCTGCTGCCAGTTGCTGAAAGTAGAAGTCGAGGGTTCTTGGGATCCGATTGAGTCGAGCGACATTATTCCCAACAAATGCGCTTTTGAATTATCAGCTTTCAAAAATGTCCAAGAACTGCTACTGAACAAGGTGTGTGTTGGACGGATTTATGACACTGGGACAATGAGGCATACTCTTCGGAAGTTGACGGTAACTGAATGCAGTTTACAGTCACCAGCAGATATTCTATTGTGCGATGTTGTGCATAAAGAGTGCGTTACTGAGGTGCCTGAAGAAAAAAAGTGGCTTCAACTCGCAGAGGTAGATCTCAGCCAGAATCATATCAAAAGTTTTGGTAAGCATAATTCCTGTATTTCTTTCATAGGTACAATATAACATAATGAAGAGTTGGCTGCTGAAAATATTAAAGATAACTGAAGTTAATTGTTGTTGGGGATAAATTTGTCAGGATTTAAATTTAATTTTGTGAATAAACTACACTGAAACTAGAGAGCTCTTAACATTAGGCCTAAATCAGGCTAGGCCTACCTAATTTAATTCTTAAACAACTATAAAGACACCACAAATATCCTATTACGTTACTGTAAGGTTGTTCTCATGCTTGGACTACGAATTTGAACTCGGCCTCTCCATCTTCCCCTAATCCTCCAGTTTCTCTTAACTCAACATTTGTTATTTTACTTCTTCTCTTCTCCACATTCCTCGTTTTTCATCAATCCTCCTCAAGGTCTCAGTTTCCTTCCCTCTATCACCATCAATTATATTTTCCTAGCAATTCTTGCATTTTAAACATATCCTAACCGTCTTTATCTTGTTTTTTTTTACTCCTTCTTATTGTGAGCTGCCTTCAAATGACATTTTTTATCCCTCTATTCATAACCAAATCATACATCAAGATAAAAAATTCACATTATGAAAATACATTTTTTATATCACCTTTTTCCTCAGGTAACACACTATTATTGATGCCCGTATTGACGAAGCTAAAAGCGAATGAAAATCCAATCACCCAGGTTGACGATTTGACAAACCTGCAAGAACTGAGTCACCTATATTTGTCTGCTAATCGGATCAACGAAGCTGACGATTTTCATCTCCGACTCAAAAACATCGTTTTCCTCGACCTTTCGCAGAACCTTATCTCCTCGCTCCGAGGCTTTTCTTCGCTCTACTCTCTCGAAGGACTCGACCTCGGATCGAACATCATTGTTGACGTCAGTGAAGTTCAGCACGTTCGGACGCTGGACAAACTCAACTATCTAGTTTTAACAGGAAATCCTGTGGCTACCGTGGTGGATTACAGGATAAAGGTATGTTTGAATGGTTTTGTCTGTTTAGTATAACCTGTACGTTCGTAAAGTATTAAGACCTTCTGTGTTGTTGATATTTTTCATAAGAATTAAAAAGTGGAATCGGAATTTGGTTCTAACTTCTGGTAGTACAGAATCAGCTAGAACGTGTCTCAAACGGTGATCAATATTTTACCAGTACAATGTCACACTATTTCCTGAAGACCAGGATTTGACTGTTAGACTTTGAGTTATAATAAACATTGCCTTATTGGTATCAATCTGAAAATTTGTGTTTATTATTAATTAGTGTTCAAATAACAATGATAAAGAAGTAAAATAAAAAATAAATAAATAAAATTAAACAGTCTTATATACAAACCTCATTGTAAGAAATCATAATTGAAATTTTGTACAGATGGTAATATGAAATGTGTTGCTAAAATTTGAAAGAGGCTGAGTCACTCATATTTACATAACGATTAAACGGTACAGTCTGTGTAGAAAATTGATAAGGCAGACTGTGGAAACTAAACAAACATAATTTATTCCTTGCCCTAAACTGAATAAAACTAAATAAAACAGTGGTAATAATAATATGTTTCAATGTATGGGCACCAGCATAAAAAAGGCATAAAAAAGTAAATTAAAAACCATCTACTCTTAAAGACAGCTCAATGCATCCAAATTAACCTCTTTATCCTATGTACAATCAAAATTACAGGATTCAATGTCATATGCAAATAGAAAAGATTGTTAGACAACTCAAAAGGAACCTTAATAATTAACTTCTCTAAAAAAAAAACACCAGTTTGTTCAACATATTTACCTCAGCAGCCTTTTTTAAATTGTTTTCAGTATCCTAGCCACCATCCTGGAATTAATTGTTGTATACACTTACTTTAGAGGCTTCAATTACGCGGCCAAAAGTCATCCGTTATCGGCAGGATTTTAACCCGAGCACCTGAGGACCAAAGACCGAAGCTCTACCACTAGACCATCTGACTCCCTCAATTGGCATGTTGGTAAAATTGTTATTATGTCACCAGTTTGTTTCTACAAATGGGAGCTGAAATTTCCACCGAGTGTTATTAAAACTACTTAATTAATAGCCAAATGTAGGTCTTATGGTGATACCCGCTTCCTTGAATGAATCTTATCCATCCAACAACGCGGTCATCACCAGAATACTTATATTTGTGGAAGTGTATCATATAGATTACTTAATACATTTTCTATGATTTCAAAATGTTTGCTGTATTTATGTTCACATGTTATATAAAAATCAAACATTTCAACCTCTTCATGGGTACAATATAGAATTGTTCAACAGGTGCTGGAACAGTTTGGCAGGCGAGCCGCAAGTTTGTGTTTGGACAACGAGAGGCCGTCCCAGAAAGAGCTAGACACAGTTGCTGTCGTGTTGGCGTTACGAGTAGTCAAAGAGGGCAAAGCACCCGTCTTCTCACGCACCGTTGAACCTACATTCCCCAATACACTACAGTAGCGCCACCTTAAACTGATAGTTATCCCGTCGGAGGTAGCGTCTGTGAGAATTAGTTTTTCTGTAGTGGTGGACAGGCTACTGTGGACCAAAGTATTGGGTTCGAGTTCTAAGCCAGGAATCGTCTACCAGTGCGACCGGTCCTTTATTATTGCTGCTCAACAGAGTTCGTATTAAAGGGGGCAAGCATCGGGGGACGATAGCCAGCTTACCTTGAGTCTGCGTTAGCCTGTCTACGACTCTAATCATTGTTGTACCTAAGAGGGTATAAAAAAAAACACAAGTGTATAATTTGTAAAGTATTGAAAAATATTGTTCCAGAAATTGAATGTTGCACAGATTTATTGTTACTGCTTTTGAAATTGAAGCCTGAAAATTTACTCGATGGATAAATTACAGTTTACTGTCAAAATTGATTTGTTGAAACATGCAAATACCTACTTGTATATACATATTACATATTGTGGTTCTTAAATTCAGTCATATCATTGGCTAGTGTAAAGGCAATAGAAAATGGCAACGCTCTGTCACAAGTCAGTTATGATTTATTTATTTACCAGTATTTACCACGAATACTAGAAAAATACCGGTATGGATCATAAACATAAACAAATGACGTTGGCCCGAATCCTATACTAATAGCAATAGCATTGAACATATGTTTTGGCAGTTTTTTATTTTTGGCCCAAAAACGTCATTTGTTTATATATGATCCATACCGGTATTTTACTAGTAATCGTGGTATTTACTGTTGAATTATTACAATTAAATTTTGTATCCAACTTTGTGTGCTCCGGTGTAATCAATATGAATGATTTTTATTTTTGGTGTAAACTTTTTTTGGACTTCAAAATTTGCATAGTTTGTAATATTTTAGTTGTAATGTTATTTTTTGTTTTGTTTTTATCTCATGTATCTATTTGTGCATTACTAACTTATGTGATATAAACCTGTAAATAGGTCACATATTCTGTGATACATGTATTATATGAACTCTAGTATTATCATGGTAAAAGACATCTTTGGAAGAATATTTTAAAACCCTCTTCTGTTGAACTAACATTGTATCTTTTAATTTTTCATTGATATTTGGAAAATTATCAATACTGCCCCTGGGTCAAGGCATAGCAGCAATACAACAGTTCAGTTTTAAAAGGCTCTTTTGATTTCTTACACCGGTGGGAATTCAATTATAGCATATAATCAACATCTAAGGTGCTAAAGAATTTAAATTTCATGATTTTGCAAGAACTCATTCATATAGAATAATCACTAATCAACGAACGTTTGCTGCACATAAAACGTTACAACCACGATAATAGAGCTGCATTGCAGCTTTAAAAACATGTTTGACCAATGTCAGTTAAAAATTTGTTTTGTTAAGTTGACAGATATTAAATAGGCCTAGGCCAACAAAAAGTGTTAGAATATAACATTTTCTGGTAGGCCTACTTTAGTAAAAAATCAACCAATGTGCCTTTCATATGTATGTATGACCATTGACAAAAAGAATTAAACAAAGACTGTCAGCCGTGCTGCAGTTACCATAGGTTCTGGCCCACACCGATGGGAGCGCCGTGTAGTTATGGGGTATGCGCTACGTGACTACACGGTGCTCCCAGCAGTATGCGCCAGAACGTATGGTAACGGTAACCATGGGACCGCAGCACAGCTGACAGTATATATTTTATTCATTTTGTCTATGGTAAGACTGGTGTTCTAAACATTTTATAGAACACAATTTAGATGTTATATTTTTAATTTGATTTTTCACTCATGAAAGCAATAACTTACTGTTTCCATAATGTTATGACAATTGTTAAGTTTTATTCTATTTCACATTTTTTTCAATTTGGATACATTGATGGGTCAGGTGAGGTATTCTAGTTTTAAAATGTATTTTCTGGTGCTTAATTTGCTAGCAGTTATTTGATTATTTTTCTTTATACCATTTTAAGCACCAACTACAGTTAACTTATAATTAAAGAATAACACTTGTGAATTGCTGCAATTAAATCAAAATGTTGTTATATTGATAAAGTGTTTATTCCATTATTTTACATATTTTTTTAGGTCTAGCAGTAATTATACTTAAGACATTCTACAACGTTAACTTAAGTCTTTGCATATTGTTGGGCTAAACTTAAAAAATGTCAAAGTACAAAGAATCAAATTAATATAAACCTAAACAATAAAAAACATCTTGTTAATAGTAAAGTCAATGGAAAACTAAAATAAACACTAACAAAATCGGTTTACTTCACCGAGGCAAAAGAAATAGGTAGGTAGTTGAGAAAATAATAGCCCTATATACCGGTAAGTCATTAAACTAGGCCTAGCACTTAACTTATGTTCATTTCAAGAAGTCGTTTGAAACTATTTTGCAGTTTATGCTCGTTCCTAACATTCCCTTTTGTGGGCCATTCTGCTTTTCAGCGCCATCAATCACTGAAACAAACACCAAAATTAAATCATGAACTATAAGCGAAGCCCAGGGCCGCATTTAGCCAAACGGCGCCCCTAGGCCCACAAAACAGTTGCGCCCTCCCGGCCGTAATATTGGTCAGGAAACGTAAATAATGTCACGATCATTGTCATTGAGTAGCATATACAAGTATAATCCGTTGATACTTTCAATAAATCAACTCCTTTAAAATGTATATATGCCCCTATAATACTATACCTCTAATGAGATTAACTGAACAATGATAAATACCTGCTTCCCTCAGAAGATCCCAATCTTGTAAAATGTAGGAGTGGAACATTTACAATACCGTACTATATTGTATTGTAAAAAATATAGGCCTATATGTACCGGTATCCACCAGTTTTAAGTAAATAATAATTGTTATGGTCAAAATTTTATTTGGATGGTGTGAAATAACTTGAAAAGTATGAGTTTTTAGTCTTTTTTATTTAACATAAACAACACAAAATACGTTTATGATGAACAACATTCAAAATCAGAAATAATTCCATCACGATACATAATACCGGTGTGCAAATATAATTGATGAAAAAATTACACCTATTCATTATCTCTAAGTGAAATACCGGCATAATTCGACATTTTTTACTACTTAACTAAACATAAACAGAACAACACAACAGGTTAAGTAAACAGGAGAGAATAACGTAGCTGACTTTTGGCAGTCGCTGCAGGGATGTCGTTGGGACAACAGCAAAACGAAATATCACACGAGTAAAAGCAGGTTATTCCCAACACGGCAGTACCAAACAAGGCAGCCCTTATTTCTTCTTCATCTATTTGCTTACTAAACGCGGCAAATTCAAACTACACTCGGTCTCGGACGGGCCCGCGCGTCAGTGGGCTGGTAGCAGGGCTACCCAGGGCTAGAGATATACAAGGGCTGGCTCACTCCTTTGATGTTTGCGGTTGCCGCCTGATCCTACTTCCCCTCCCCCGCCACTCCTCAGTGACGTAACGGAGATACATCGGCGCGAGGCGCGACGGTAGCCTAGCACGGCAGTGCATGTCGCCCGGCATCTACGCGCATATTAATAATTGTGTTTATAATAATGTAGTTTTATAGTGTGATTTTAAAGTGGGTTTCGTTAACCCTCCAACTTGCAATGGGCGAACTATGTAGTGGCAAAGCATTTTTGGCGATTTTGCAGTCGAAAATTCATATAAACTAAACCAACAGATCAAACCTATGAACCTTATTTATTATTTCCAACTTGAAGTGTTCGTGATGAAATGAAGAATTTGAAAATGGCAACAGCATAAATATTAAAAATATTGTAGGGAATATTGTCAGTAGGTAGAAAAATTGCTAAAAGATATACAAATTGTTAGGAGTTTATTTCCCTACATGGAAATGTAAAAAGATTCCAATTACCACTTAAACAAAGTTATGGCCCAAAAACAATGAAATGACAAGTTTCACGATTTTGCACAAGAAATTTCAAATAAAAACTAAATAAATGTATTATCAAGAGATAAAGTAAAAGTAAACATTTTTAGGCAATAATATTGGAGATCAAATGAAGTAAGAATTGTTTATGTATACTGATCATTTCAATAGATGTTTATGACTTTTAATAAATGTTTATATTTGTCTAGAAAAACATTTTGTTTTTCACACGTATATATTATTTTTAAAATCCCGCAAACCAACTATATAAAATGAAAGTAAACTTATTCCCCTACATGAATATACATAGTTATAAAGGCAAATATGCAAAAATAAATATTTTATAGTTTTATCTATAAAATGCTGCTGTGCCTTTTTCATTTGGCGATTAAATCGTTTCTTAATTATGACGAAATGTTTCAAAAACGGGCTAAAAGTAATGTCCCAGACCTCAAATTAAGTAAGTCTATCCACATAAAACAGTTTATAAACTAAATAAGTACAATTTTTACAACTAATAAATACGATTGAAATGATAAAGTCAAACCCGCGATATTCGTTGTTGGTAAACAGTCAATGAAGTTCACAAAAACTGGCTAAAAAATAATGTCTTAAGTTTATAAAAGTAATGTCACATTACAGTCGAGGCACAATAAATAATATCGCAACCAAACATTTACAACGTATAATCACGATGTAAACTGATAAAGTAAAATCACACCAAAACTCGACTTGTTAGTTATTGGTCAACAGAGAATGAGGTTAGTTAGTCAGGCAACTTAATGTCTTTTTGCAACATATGTTATTTTAATTTATTGAAATATGTAGGGCCTATGATAAAATGTAATTGATTAATTTAAATTATTTTCCTTCCTGTAAAAGTTACAAATACTAAGTATAGGTAATGTATTTTTATACAACCTCAATGTATTTTATATAACCTCAATGAATCCTAAAAGGTATGAATAAGTAATAAATAAATACAATTAATAATCCATACATTAAGATACATTCGAGCAATTCGAACACAGATCAATAACTACAGTAATCTTAGGCCGGGGCCACACGTGGCGGATCGTCCGCGCGGCTTATGATCGTACGATCCCGTACGATGTCCCGGCCACACGGAGCGGATGAACCGCTTCCGGTTGAGGTTTCCCAGCAGCCTACGTACTGAGATTCTAACATGGTTTAATTCACTCGTTCTCGTTGTAGTCATGGAAGAAACACGTATGTTAGTTTGTGCATTAGAAGCGTGTGGTGAGCTAGAGGAGGCAAACCGAAATCATTGGGTCCATCATTTCATAACCGATAAACCATTTGTGTTCCAAACCTTTAACGAGCACATGCGGAGTCTTTTTTTGTTACTATCGCATGTAGATGGCATTGTTTGACGAGCTACTTCAATTGCTTTGACCGCATATAACTAAGGAAGATATACTCATGAGAAATGTACATCATGAGAAATCCCACATTGTCCTTAACAAAATCTATTGATTTGTCTGTATCGAACATTTTACACCTTTAAACCAAAACGCACAAGCACAAACTAAAAAAAAAACAATTACAAATGCTTGAAAATGAGCTCCAACCGCGCGGACAATCCGTATCGTGTGGCCACTCTCATAAGACTACATGTGTCATCCCCTCCAACGCGGCTTATGATCGCGCGGACAATCCGCGACATGGCGCGGACAATCCGCTCAGGCGGCTTAGGATCGCCCCGTGTGGCCACTCTCATTTGATTCAATGTGTTGTCGGATCACGCGGATCATCCGCGTGGTCCGTCCGCGCGGATGATCTGCGTCGTGTGGCCCTGGCCTTAGGCATCGCTTTACATTCCACACCCATCCTTAAATATCTACTTAAGTTAATTTTTTACTTATTTAAATTGATGTTATACGTAAATCCTATTTGAAAATCAATTACTTTTATAAAATACATTAATACCTAATAAAAAATGTCCAACATAGAGCTTAATAAACGCTAAATGTGCGGTAATACCAACGCTCACACAGGCAAAGATATACGGTGCCGGGAGCCCGAGGTATCGCCGTGACGTCACAGCGGCGGAGTGGTGGGGAGCCACCTGGCATCACTTTCTGAGCTCGCGTGGCCTAGCCCTTGTATATCTCTAGCCCTGAGGGCTACCGGTCTGACGCGTGGGGGCGTTCATGGGATTCATTTAAGAAGTTGAATATTTTGCGCCCCCTAAAATTTGGCGCCCTAGGCCTGGCCTAGTGGGCCTAATAGGAAATGCGGTACTGGCGAAGCCTTGATTAGGCCTATTAGTGTATTAACTAATTAATTAATTAGCCTACCGGTATCAGTAGGTAAACCTGTAGGTGGTAAGATGAGTACAGTATATGATATTCTATACTACTAAAACCATTGATAATGGTAAAATTTGTGTTAAGATAAATTTGTTGATAGCAAATTTAAACTGTGTAAGTATATTTGACACAATACATCTAGCCAAAAAATCATCCCCGACCCCACTATCAGACATACACACCTACAACACCCGATACAAACACAACAGCTAACACAAAGCAACAGACTACAAAAAACAAGCAATACCCCAATCGATACAGGCACATATTTTACCAGAACATAAAAATCAATAACCACAATTAACAGCTTCACAAAACAAGTCAAAGAATACCTAATAGACAGGCTATTACAAAACCACAGATTACCGGTACCGTACATTGAATAGCACACATTCCAACACCTCAAATGAGCAACCTCTTCAGGACCCCTTCAAGAAGGGAAGAAATCGGACTATTCCCCAATCCAAAGATTGTGGCAAGGACTACGTGGTAAATAGTAAAGAATCATATTATTTTCTTTTCATTTGAAAGTGCTTCATCTATAGTTTTCTTATACAATAACCCAATGCCCAATTCACCCTAAACGCACTTCCTGAAGTGTGAAACTATGTAAAAAGTTTATAAAATTAGGTTTTGGACTTTATTTAGGGGCGGTAAAGTCATTTAACCCATGATAGGCCTATATTACCGAAAGTGCAAAACCTCAAAATATAATTTTTTTTTCACAATTCCATACTTTGGGGTCCGCAGCGCATCGACTCTTATCTCAGCTTGGGCAGAACAGCGCCGCGAGAAGTGCTTGCAGACGTCATGGCAACTGCCTTTGTAAACTACCCATAAGTCCATCTATTTCAGAAGTTGACTAGGCTTGACAGTCTCATTTGCTTGTAGTGTACCACGCTCTGTTCCATTTATAGTATTTTAAACTATAGTATTTTTACTCTGGGGCCATGCACCAACATGTCAAGAAATTCTCGAATTGCAAAAAAGCAGTACCGGTAGGTGGCCTATTAATTTGTACTTCTAGTTAGTGAGTCGGTAGCGTCGCGGAATTCGGGCCCAAGGCAGCGATGTTGTGGGTTCGGATCCTGGTCACTGCCACTAAAATTTATCAGTACAGATCATGTGTTCTGTACCGGCTCACTTAGGGCTTTGCTGTAAATGTTCCACGCACGGGCAGTTCGTCAATGTGGACGGGCAAATGCAAAGTAAAGAGGCCGCCAACCTCTTTAAAAAAAAAAGAATGAAATGATCGTTGCAAACCTCTGTTTTTCCGCACCATTATTATGTCAGCCGACCATGTGAAGGCAAATCTACATAAATTTCTTTCAAGAAATAGCCTACTGTTTATAGCCATAGTAAAAGACATCGCTCTGACCTGGACATACCTCTCTGCAGGCTGTCAAAAACCAAAAACTCATTCCCAACGCTTGCCCTGAAGATATATATAAGTTACCTGCCTAATTCAATAAAAAATCAAGGAAAAAACAGCTTTCGTACTGTCCTGAAAAACTTGTTGAGAGAGAAACCATACTACAGCCTGCAAGACTATTTTAATGAGACACTATACCGGTGATAACTTAAGCCTGCGGCAAATCGTCCACCACCAAAGTACGTAACAAAGTTTTCAAATTCCAATCTGTGGAAGCTCTAACTTACTTAGTGTGAAGAGTAAAATTGACTCAATATAACCGGCTCTGCTTGTCTCGGTCAAGGAGGAGGTTTCTTTCTGGGTTCTGGAAATTAGATATTACCGGTAGGCATATATATTTAATTCACCTGGAGTTATTTTAGTTTTGACTCTGGCGTGAGAAAGTAGTAGCTTAAACGATAGTTCGAATATACCTCAGAAACGTGTTTAAGAGAAATTAAACTAATAGCGACCTACATTTAATTGGCTCTGGTAAAAATTAAAAAATATAATTGATACAGTTCAAGTTATATTAACTTAAACTTACCAATAGGTTAAGCACTGGCCAAATAACATTAGGGCCTAGTTAAGGGGACGAAAGGGCCTCCTGTTTCACAGTGGTCTCGTAGACATTTTCAACTTTTTTCTCGTAGACATTTGCAGTTTTAGCATCATGGATTAGGGCAATGGTTTCTCCTCGTAGCAATATTCTTCCTATCTTGTACCTATTCCCAAGCCTAATGTTAATTTCTTCAGCTTCATACAAGACAAGGTTCATGAATTCATCGAACCCTACTATGATACCTTCAAAATGCTTGTTCTTCACTTCTTGTATCCAGATATGTACTCGCGCACGACTTTGAAAATATTTGAATATTACATTGACTGGTGATACCATAACCTTTACAATTTTTGGATTAGAATTACTGGAATGAGCCATTTTTTGAAAGGTGCTATCCAATATCGTCCAACTTTTGACAAAATTGTATTTTATTTAATTTTTTCCCTCGACTCTCTCCAGTGATCGTTTGCTGTGAAGTAATTAATTGTCAAATCAAGTCCTCCTGATTTTCCTAAACCTAAACCAAATATCAATATCTATCTCTTTAAAATTCAAATTTCTGGGATAAAATTATTGAATCGAGGAGAGGAGACCGACAATCCGACAATGCTGGCTCGCTGGCTGGAGCTGACACTCGACGTTCTGTACCCACGAGCACCTCAGCTTCCACAAGCACAGAAGGCCTTGGAACAGTTCCTGGGATAACAGCTATTTGTGTAATAGCTTCACTGTATATCTTTATTGGACCTGTTTAGATAGTTGTTTCTTTCAACAGTTACAGTTGCGAACTCTGCATTCGCATTGTGATTTGGTGTTTATTCTTTACTGTTTGTTTACTTTTGACTTGAGCTGTTTGAAAAGGTGTTTTATGATTATGAAAATTAAAGTGTTGTAAGTGTGCTGAAGCTGATTATTTGTTATTAGGTACGGTATTGACAATTAAATATTTTAGTGCATAAGTTATGATGTTTTAAGTTCACTTAACCTATATTTTTCGGATTCCTCAAGAAAGAGTGATTATTAGGTTAGGTTAGGTGTTTGTGTGTGAATTTGTTAGATTGCAGTTTTGGTAGTGGTAGGTCTAAGTTAACCTCTAAGGTAAACTTAGGACTACTCTTAAAAATAGATAAGTTATTAATTTAACTTTTTTAAAGGCAATAACTTAGACCTAAACTCCACTGAAAGGCCCAACTAACAATCAAAATAAACCTAGACCTTTGACTATTAATACATCCAATAGTCAATGCCTAGACCTACCACTACTAAAACTCCAATCTAACAAATTCATACACAAACACAACTCAACCTAACCAACAATCCTTTCTTGAGGAATCCGAAAAATATAGGTTAAGTGAACGTTTAAAACTTAACAAATAATTCATGCACGCAAAATATTTAATTGTCAATACCGTACCTAATAACAAATAATCGGCTTCAGCACACTCACAAAACTTTAATTTTCATAATCATAAACATAAAACACCTTTTCAAGCAGCTCAAGTCAAAAATAAACAAACGAAACAGTAAAGAATAAACACCTTAAAATCACAATGCACAGTTCGCGACTGCAACTGTTGAAACAACTATCTAAACAGGTCCAATAAAGATATGCAGTGAAGCTATTAAACAAATAGCTGTTATCCCAGGAGCTGTTCCAAGGCCTTATGTGCATGTGGAAGCTAAGGTGCTCGTGGGTACAGAACGTCGAGTGGAGCTGACATGTGTTCGTAGTTTAAAGAAACAAGAGGGAAAAAAAAGGCAATGGCTAAAGTTTAGCAAGACTCGAGGAAAAGGTCGACATAAATTCTGTGCCGTCATAGGTTTAAATATTTACTATGACTTACGAGAAATGCACACAGAATTTTATCATATTTTAAAATCTTATATCTGTTTCGAAGCTTTTATCTTATAAAACCGCTTTAAATCTTGACATGGAATTAATTTCCCCATACAGGTATGTGCGTGGCAATGAGTTTAAGCATAGATTAAACATGGGTTTAAGTTTAAGCATAGATAAACTATAGATTAATCATACTCATGTTTAATCTATGATAAAACATAGTTCCTTAGAAGATTGAGAAAGGGTTATAAGGATGGGAATCCTTATGGAACAGCTGAAGTTACAATTTGTTTCTATTATTTTTTGGGTTAATTTCTCATTATTTGTGTCTCACTGTTTGGTTATATAGCTAGTGGACGAGTTATTGTTTATGATTAGATAGTTTTATTTGGTTAAACGAGGTTTTAAATGACTGAAATTACAAGAAACAAATTATAAACAAAACACGACATCTACAGAAAACCGGACAGAACTAACAATAAAATTGGCTTCAGCTGTTCCATAGGGATGGGAAATCTTAAGGGACTATGTTATATCTAAGGGAGTATGTTTTATCTATGGTATAAGCATAGATAAAACCCATGGTGGAAGGAAAAAACATATTTGTGCTATTCCCGTCATATTCTAACGTCACTTGGATTGCAAAAAAGAAAATCACCTGATTGGAACTGTCAAATTAGCGGTGGGGCACACGGAAGATTTCTCAGGTGCCGTTTGACGTCACTAACTGCTGCGTCTGAAGAAACAGACAGTTTTATAATTTTCTATTATTAAATTAAACTGTCATAACCTAACCAAACTAACCAAACGTGCTGATAATGGAAAAATCGAATAAAGGTTTACTAATCTAAAAAATAATTTTGTTCATAAAATAAAATTATAATTGCCTAAAATTAAATTTTATAATTTTTTTAATTATAAATTTAAACTGTCATAACCTAACCAAACCAACCAAACTTGCTGATATTGCAAAATTGTTGATAAAAAGTTAGTGCCGCCGGGACATTCGGATATCAGTCCGCATCGCTAACCACTACACCACCGAGGCCGCTGGCTCATATCCGTATCGTTGCGGTATTGGTGTTCCCTCAAAGTGACGTCAGCAGTTAGTGACGTCAAACGGCAACTGAGAAATCTTCCGTGTGCCGTTTCGTCAAATTAGTATTATTTGTTTTGATTTGGTTGTTATTGTTTTTTATAAAAACACACATTATGAAAACAATAACAACCAGATCAAAACAAATACATATACTAATTTTACAGTTATAATCAGGTGATCGCTTGTTTGCAATCCAAGTGACGTCACAATATGACGGGAGCACACCTATGTTTTTTCCTTCCAAAACCACGACCGCTTTTTACCCTGGCCGCGGCCTGGTAGAATTGGCAACGTCGCAAGTGGTTTTGTCTAGTGCCAGACGTCCTCTATAAGATAACATGGCAGACAGGTGACACCAGGTCATTAATTCATGTATTATTCATTAAAATTAAAATTTATGAACATACATTTTTAGGGAAGATTGGCAATAAAACATATAGAATTGAAAAAAAAAACAATATTGAAATTTAAAGTTAATTTTTGTACTTTTAAAGTGGAGTCAATATTTTCATAGTCCAGTAACCAAGCTTTCGTAAATACACAAATGCCATTAGCATAGATTAAACGGAGTATGTTTAATCTATGCCATTAGCTGCTGCCAAACTAAACAGCTGTCACAACACCACTTGCGACGTTGCCAATTCGAAGGCCGCGGCCTGGAGTTAAAGGCAAGTTTATTTATTAATTTAAGATTATAACTATCTTACCAGTCATTTTTGAAATGGTCTTTGGCAGTTGGAATGGAAATAAAATAAAAACGCCAAGGCATTTGAAATATCATAGACTAACCAACACAAGGGAGTATGTTTTATCTATGGTAATATCATAGATGAATGTGAAGAAATAAATCCGGACGAGCCCCCTTTCTTAAGGACAGCGGAGGCGAACACCCACAAGTAACAAGTAAGTAACAAGTAGAATTAAATAAATTTCAAGTAAATATATTTCGCAGCCGCTGGCCTTGACTAAAGTTAGCACTGAAACTAGCAGCTAACTTATCACCAATAATCTGTGAGTACGTGATCGTTATAATCCATTCCATTTCCATTTATCTCTAAGTAATGGATCATACACTTAGCAGTGTTTCCACACGACCAAGACAAAAATCCCGCTAACCAGGTCTAGAAGTATTATTTTATCCCGCAACCTGTTTTAATCCCTGACATAGTCTAAAAATCCCGTGTATCAGAAACGCCAGTGTTGCCAATTCAGTTTGGGTGTTTTATCCCTGGTCTTATCATTGTCTTACCCACTGTCCCTGCAAAAAAACACCACGACAGAAACCACGGGCTTTCCCTAAAAGCGGAAAACCATTAGACTACTATCAGCATTAATAAATTCGCCCTAAAAAATAAAAATAAGTTTACAATAATTTACCTTGGACATCTGTACTAGGGGATGACGTACACTATGCAGAAATCCCGCCTACCACGTTAAGAAAATCTCGCTTTACCTTAATGAAAAATCCCGTCTTATCCCGCATTCCATTTTAATCCCACGCATTGTCTAAAAATCCCTTTTCGGAATAAAAATCCCCCGTATTGAAACACTGATTCGTTAAATCCGTTAAATCGGTATCAGTCTATTGGATTGAATCCGATCCGCGGAGTGGAGTGAGTGGGAAAACACAATCAGCTGTTTCGTTAAAGCCCCCCACACACTACCAGACCAGACCTCCAGTCTCCAGACCAGACCGTCTGGTCTGGCGTCTGGGGGGACGCGGAAAGGTCGCCCCCGGAAACATCACCCCCCTACGTCATAATGACGTCAGAGACCGGGGGGTGATGTTTCCGGCCGCGGACACTCAATTTCAGTTGCAGCATGCACTCGTCGATATGACGAGTTATTTTTGAGTTTGCGTATTAATTAGATAAATTATATTCACTTATCATATACAATTACCAGATTTTCTAATTACAATTGATGTTAACCGGATACGCTAACCCCGATCGTTTTCAAAATGCACACCCCGGAAAGGTCCCCCCCTGCCATGATCTCCCCCGGTATACCTGCTGTAGGGCTTGGGCTCGTGACTCGAGCCAGCTATTGTTCACAAGGGTAGAGACTGTCCCATATTACCACCGCTCGACTGAACTCACAAGAATGGGTAGGATTTGGTATTATTACGCAAATGTTGTGGATATTAAGATAAATACAAATTAACACTTTAATATTGTGCTTTCTCTAGACATTTTCCCTTAATTTTATACCTTAAATGATGTATAAATTACATATAGTTTTTTCCGTCAGCGTATAAAATGTATTTGGAAACACGTGGAAATGAAATAAAATGTTTATAGTATAGTACAAATTAAGTAAGGAATCAACTCGTATTAATATGAGCATGCTTAAATTGTACAATTCTTAAATTGTAAACATTGAGCAATAAATGCTGTATATGATATACATTTAAATAATTGTCTGGATTTTATGGTAAAATAAATGCATTGAGAATATTCCTGATTTGATTTTGGTGAAGGACTCTTTCCCGTAAAAAGAATTTAGAAAGTAAATATTGGTTAGTTTCTTCGGCAATAAACAGGAAAAAGCTCACACTGTTTACGTTTGCGTTGACAGAGAAGCAAGCAACAGTGTCACATTCACTTTATTTCATGATTTCACACTGCTGATTTTAAATAACTAAATTGACATTGAAGTAGTACAGTTATTCCATAAACGGTCACCCATTGTTTTGAAAGTTACACATTTAAATCTACCTGTAGTTCGCAGAATATTAATACGTATAGCTTAAAAGTTTGCAAGAGAACATAATCCTAAGTATGGTATCCACTATTCTCAGAGTATTGATTTATGGAATTCGTCTGTAATTTGCAGACTATTAATTTCGTAGAGTACAACTGTATTTATAGCGGAAAGTATTTTTTTGTAAAATAGCTGAGACTTCCCCACTTCAGGTATCCCTCCCAAGAATACCTGAGCCAAATACGTTTGTTTAACATAGTTAAGGAAAAGTTTAGTTAGTTATTTACTTAAGTCAGTTTCAACTTTTTACCATAATTCGTACATTAACATAATTCATAATTATCAGTGTTATCTAGCCTATGTACTTAATTAATTTGGAAGGGGTTAGTTTGTGAACAGAACGCCCCATAGAGTTTTAAACAGATTTTGAAAATGTTAATGTAATTTGTAAAAAGTATACCCTGAAGTTGCACTAACAATAAAATCAGCTCAAAATATGGTAGGGGATTTTCCCCAGTGTTTTCTAGAGACCTGCTACAACGTTTCACATTTTTATAGCCCTCAAAATTTTGGTATATCGATATAGACTACACACATTCTACAAAAATTACATAACTTTCATGGCATAAACTTATAGGCCTACATACACAGATTTGATTTCAGACAAATCTTGATTTTACCCTAGGGTAGAAGTATTAGAGATGTATAGTTCAAATCTACAGATTTCCTGAATACGAAGATCAATTACGGTAGGAAAAAACAACATTTAAAATTGAAACAGTATGCGGGCAAACACCGACGATCAATAAAGTAACTACTTGTAACATAAAAACGTCAATGACAGTTTGGAACCAGCTGTTAGTTAAAACAGCACTGAAACGACTTTAAATTATTGGCGTCGGCTGCTAGACTAAAAAAATTAAACTTAAAAAAATGAAATCATGGCATTGATATTCCCTTCCTTTGAAAATTATATTTATTTCAACACAAAAATCACGAAAATAGCGAAAGTGGTTGATTCAGAATCCTGAAATGAAAAAAACTCTGTCACGTTTAAAAATATAATATATCACAATTAATTGCACACTCTAGTGGAAATCGATTAAACCCATCCATATGGATTCTTGCTTATCCGTTTACTTTTCCACTCTTTGCGTTTTTGTACATGCCAAGTCAAGTCTTAAAACATTATATTTAAAACAATTGTATTAAATCTTCCATAAATTACAAGAAACAGTGCACAATATTTGTGCACAATCTTGGCGACTTATGTTCAGTCTCCAGCATTTTGGAGGTGTTCGCAATTCAGACACACCCGTTCCCATAGTCCGATTATGCTGGTTCACGAACTCGTTCTAATAAACTTAGGCGTACACGTTTGTAACAAATCTCATCAAACTCGCAGCGTTGAGTTGCCCGAGTTACCGCGCTCACGGTCACATATACAGGGTGTTAAGTCCCGGCTTAATATTTTCAAAACGGCAATAGATAAATCAATAAGATTTGGTCCATAAACACCATACCTAAAAACGTTATTTTTTTATTAAAGCCATTTTTGATTTAGGAAACACGTTATTTTTCTTTTTGCTTTCTTTATTTGTTGTGCTCTTGGTCTTTAATGTTTACCAGGTTTATAATGATTTATTTGTTACTAATAACAATTTAAGAAAATATATTTAATTATTTACTTACATTATCTTTTACGTAGTTAAAATTACTAAGTATTTGATTTGATAATTTGAAATATTATCAACATATTTTTCAACCTTTTCCCATATAAGAAGGCGTCCAAACACTACCAAATCAAAACAAATAAAAACAATAACAATCAAATCAAAACAAATACATATACTAATTTGACAGTTACAATCAGGTGATCTTTTGTTTGTAATCCGAGTGACGTCAGAATATGTAGGAATAGCACACCTATGTTTTTCCTTCCACCATGACCTAGGTGGCGTCCCCATATCAATTGATATTGATATTGATATATGTTGAACTAATGTTATTTAAATAGGGAATAAATGTGATATTTACAGAGACATTTTAGCGTAAATCCAATCAGGCAAATTTAAATTCGCTTAGTCTGCAGGTTTGCTGTGGTAGCCGGCGGGGGTATTTTTAATTATAATTGGCACTTTGTGATACATTGATTGGAGTATATACGAATGTTACTATCGTTTAAGCGATGTAATACAAGTTTACAGCTCAACATTTAAAATTTTGATTATATATTAAACATTTGAACTCACGTATATATTCCCCTTAGTAAATATGAAACATAATTTTGCAAACTTCAGTAGCAAAAAGGTTTTCTAAACATATACATATTATAACAAAACTAATTTATTGGTATATCAACACTGATTGCAAGTCCTCTTCTCGATTTAAAGTTATTCTGATATTTTTATTATACTTTCATTATATTTTGGCTCTATTCCAGTGATATGAATCTAGCCTAGGCTGTTTCTGAATTAAGGTACTTTTTGGCATAACCTTTAGAATAGTATCATTTACATATTTGTAATTACTAACAATTAATTATTTCGTTAAATTTAAGGGATTAATACCCTAAAAGATATTATTATGTTTATTCTTATTTAATAATCTGTTTCTAGTTTTCAAATTATTAATTAAATCAGGGCCAAACCTAAAGCAATGCGATTCATTTTTAATACATTTAGCAATTATTCTATTTTTAACAAATGTGTTGCTTAACAATTACCATAGGGTGTAACGTAAGTTTACTGATGTTGATAAGTATAACTACTATTTAATGCAACAGAAAAAGTTTATACTTTACGCATTATCGTTGGTAGTTTTTTTATGAATTAAGTCTAAAAGAATCATTTTTAAAGTCAATCTTTAGTTGTCTTAGAAGTTCATACACATCTAAATCTACTGATAAATATTCCACCACAGGGTCTGCAATTTTATTCTGTGGAAAAGCTGTTGTCCAATCGACAATAATAGGCCTAATGAACGAGCGGCCGACCCTCGGGTTACCTCCCGCTATCTCCGCGTCCCGCTATCTCCGTGTACCGCTATCTCCGAATTTCAGAGTGACCCCTATAATCCTCGGTTACTTCCTGCGTTAAGACTTTCCGTTCAAACCTAACCTAACCTAACTTAACTTAACTTAACTTAACTTAACCTAACCTAACCTAACCTAACCTAACCCACGGGTTAAATTTTCATCAAATCTTCCATCCACGGGGCTTCGCAGCCGTGTATGCAATGACAGCTAACAACGCAGTCAGTGACTGGATTATAAGGGTCACTCAAGAATTCGGAGATATCGGGACAGATTTGGGTTCGGAGATAGCGGAACGCGGAGATAGTGGGAGCACACGCGACCCTCGGCCTCAGAACAATGGACTAGGGAGGACGGGCTGACGGGCAGCAGGTAGGCTGCCGAGCAGCCCAGCCCTACTAGGGGTAGCGTTTCAGGGGGGGACGATTCCGGGGTGTACATAGATTTCCGTTTCAACTTGTTTGAATTAAAATTAATAACATAATTAGTTCGTATCAACTAGACTTTGATAAATTACTTGTCAAGCCCTTGGGGGGGGTATGATTCCGGTCGCAGACATATATTTTATACCAGCTGGTTGTCTGGTATCGTGACGTCACGTTTAGCCTGGGGGGTGATGTTTCCGGGGGCGACCATTCCGGCGACCCGCGTCTGGCACTTGTCTTATCGTGTGTGGGGCTGTCTGCAGACCAATTTTCTCGGACCAGACTGTCTGCGTGTCTGATGGTTGAACCCTCAGACCACAGACGGTCTGAGGTTCCCCCACCACTATTTTTGTCTGGTCTGTGCGTGTGTAGCACTGTCTTGTCAGACGGCCGACCGTCGTGACAGTCTTTATCCATTTGTTGGAGTTCTCACCACGGTGTCTTAATTTCGGATATTGGAATGTCTGGTCTGGGAGTGTGTAGAGCCGTCCAAGACGGTCTGGTTGCAGCCAGACGGTCTGGTCTGGTAGTGTGTGGGAGGCTTAACGTTTCTGTTTGTCATGGTTTACTTTTACTTGTCATCTTGTATTATTGAGTAATAATGAGTACTAGGTGAAACCCGTCGAAATCGACGGTTACTTTCAAGGCGTACGCTAATTCATCTGCTGCAATAAATTGAGTGAAATTATACATATTTTGAGCATTTAGCATTGTTTAAAGATTAATAAGTGTAAAAACAATAATGATATTAATTGCGTTAGTTACCAAAATATGGTTTATCATTCAATGAATAAAATATTTCCCATTAGTCTTATCTGGTATCTCTTCCTTTGGAAGAACCTTTATAGGTAGGCTACCAGTATTAAAATCGTATTGGTGGATCTTTTGTAGTTAAACACTTCCGTGATTCCATCAGTGTAATGCAGATTAATCTAGGATTTTATTTGAAAAAAATATCTGTTTGTTGGGAAGACACGTTCTAACTTCAAACAGAGGTACTGTATATCCGTTACAGTGTAAGATTGAGTTTTCCTTCGTCACGTCGTGTCAGTCAGTTCATATCGTACTTCTGTGCCTACGAATCACACACAAAATTTGCCTATGCACATTTCTCTAGCAATGTTTTGAGAAATTGGTTGTGGGGTTACTGTTAAAGCTGGAATTCCTTGACATGGGAGATGTCAGTTAGTTGTCTCAGCCTTATCAATTACATAAAGTTGTCAATATAATCTCTCTACAGAATGTTAGGTGTAGTGGAATATACTTGAAGTAAAGTTGGATTTTATTCTTGAACTGTTAGGGGCCTCCTCAATTATATGGTCGTGCGGCTTCATTGGCAACAAATAATGCAAATGATATGATACAGAAGAAAATCAATTTTAAAATCAGAAAATAACATTGAAAATACTTCTTTTGGACAATTCTAACTCCCAATAAATGTGTGTTGTTTAAAATACAATATTAAAATTAACAGCTGTTTCATTAAAAATTATCCACATGGCCAAAATGTAAACAAATCTGTGGATGGGTCTTTAAAGGCTTCTGGGACAGAGCCCTAAGCGAATTTACTTCGTTTTTCTTTTGATAACTCATCTACAGACCAAAACCTTTCTTAGGACCCCTCTACCAAGTTTCTACGCCCAGCCGTTCTCTCAAATTAGTGGAGACAAAGTTTCCAATTAAATATTTAGATTCCCCCATGTTAATCTTATGGGAGAAAACCCAACTTTGATGGAAGATCCTGCCCAAACAAATAAAGATATCAAAAATCTAAAAACACTTTGCAAAACTACAGATTAGGTTCATTTGTTTGACACTTTAATCATCAAAATCGGTCCAAAAATGAGGGAGTTCTGTTTACAAAAATCGGCTTAGCGTATTATATATATAGATGTCTTCGTCTCCTTGTAGTCTTGATGAATAACTGTGTTTCTTTAAGATATTCTATTCCAAAGTTTTTATTAATTCATTGCAAACTTGCATCGTACACTTTAAGCGTAAGTACCTGTTTTATTAAATATATATTATCTCTATCTATCAATTACGAGATGTAAACCTAACTTTAACGTTTCTCTGTAATTTGCCAGCTAATTTGTTAGCTTAAGCTCCTCTTTACAACTGAACTAAGTTAGGCCTATTGTTTGTGGTTTGACATGTTAACCAAAATAACAATAATGGTATTAATTATAGGATGAATTAAATGATATTTATTTATAGATCGGATAACGACAGTGCTAATTTCTATAACAGGCCTACAAAATTATTGATGTTCTTAGATTGCATCATGCCTATTCTGCATAAATATATTATTGAAAGATACTCAAAATATCTTGTGTACACAGAGAACTTTGGATATATTATCGGTTGAATTATTAGTTCATTTATGTATTGTTTGCTATGAATATTTAGTCGATAAATATTGAATGTTTGTATCCTACTGATTAAATATTAATTTGTTTTAGGGTCTTTCCGTGCTTTCTCACTATGTTTAGTGGTGCGGCGGTTAGTTTAGGTTAACTTAAGTTTGTTAAGCTTAGGCCTACTTTATGATACTGACAAAGAAGGTAACTCAATATAGTACTGGTATATTTCATCACTAGGGCCTAAAATGACTCTTTTTGACCCGAGGTCAAGCTTTACGGTCGAGACGAAGCAGAGGTAAAAAAATGAGTGAGGGTTAAAACGTCACTTTTTACCTGTGTGGTGAACTATATATTTTGCCATATTGCATCATTAATTCATCTATATAATTAATACGCGAACACAAAGTTTGTCGGTTGACCTCCTCCGCCATTAACTAACGATTTTATCCATTGACGTCGCATTGGAAAGAGCGTGTCACGTAGATTTGCAAACTGGCCTTACATTTTTGAAACAGTCCCTTGGGCTCTGCCCCAGTGGCATTTAAAGTTCCTATGTTATCCTTATGAAAAACATAATTGTTTACATTTTGATCAGCTGTATAATTTAATTGCTGTTATTTATTTTTCAATTCAACAAAACGCATTGGGTACATTTACTGATTTTGTTGTAATTAGGTATTTATTATTTTAATTTACAAAACCAAATTCGGTTATTTTACAGGCCGTTACAGAATGTAAACAGTTCGGTACATTGATGGTTAAAATCGATAGTTGACCTATCGATGCACATCCCTAATTTGATGGTCCAGGTCTAGGCTGCCTACCGGATGTTTTATTTTTTTTGCTTGGATACTTTTATTTTTTTTTACCTTAAAAGAGTCAAAACTTCAAACTTAAGTAGGTTTTTAGGCCGAGGCGGTAATTGTTCATATTTATATATATATCTATTAATAATAGGTGCACATAATAAGGCCCTTAAAACTAAATACTAATTGCTTACCTGGTAAGTTTATTTATATTGGATCCATTGGCCTCGATGGTGCCACAGGCATTCACGTCTGTTTTAGCGAATTTCTCTTTAGGGAAGTAGCTATTACCGATTTACTTTTTCATTTTTATATCCCCGGAGGCCAAATACACTATTCAATCAAATGTTTATAAATGTAGGCTATATGATATCTATATATATATTGATAGTTCTGTTCACTTTTTAGGGCTACTTTTTCAATTAATAAGTTAAGCAAAATAATAAAAACCAGAGTACCATGAAATTCATTTTTTATTTAAACCAATTTTTACCCCTTAAAACCCCCCGTAAAACCCTGTTTCCATGGCCCGATAATGCTGGTTCGCGAACTCATTCAAGTTTATCCCGCCTTACACCTTCAAACCAAATTTCGTCAAAATCGGACAAAAATTACTCAAGTTATCGTGTTTACGGACACATATTTATATAAATCTATATATATATATATATATGCATATATAAAAATTTGAACGAATGGTGTTTTTGGCCTCTGGGGACATCAAAATGAAAAAGTAAATCGGTCCCGGGCCTAGGTCTAACCATGCCACCTACGGTAATAGCTACTTCCCTATAGGGAAATTCGCTAAAAAGGGCAATAAGAATCATGTTAAATCTGGATGATGAAGAATCGGCCAAAAACTATTTTACTAAATTAAATATTCTAACCGTTTACAGCTCATCTATATTGCACACTATTATGCATGTGAGGGCTTCTGAAGACAAGGTGCCACTGCTGGGGGACGATAATCATAGACATGATACTAGGCATAAAAATTACCCATCCGTAACACAACACAAACTGGAGTTTTATAACAAGAAGCCAACAGATGCAGGTATTAAGTTGTTGTATCATCTACTAAAATAAATATTTCATATAAAAACATTAGGTTAAAAAAAAACTTAAACTGTTTCTAATTGATAGAGCATTTCACTCATTTCAAGAGTCTTACAACATGAAATTACAGTAATTAATCTTTCCATTTTATTTAGTTAATTTTTGTAAGCAATTATTTCTTAATGAGTAATAAGCAGTTTTGACGCCATTCTGTATTTATGCATATGTTTCATGTACATATTGTATAAATATTGAATAAAGCTTTTCTGATTCTGATTCAGTAACAAGACTACAAGATTGACAGATCGTGCCACTCATCCTACACTCATCCATTTATACTTGGCTTAAAATACTTACATTCGTATGGTCGCCATTACAGATTAGTAAAGTAACCTAAAGCAAACCTAAGTAGGCCTACTTGCTAAACTTTTTTTTAAATAGGGGATAAATCTGATAGGTTTAGGAAATGCTGAGGTAAAAAATACAATAAATAGAGATTAGCTTAGTTTGCAGGTTTGTTGCAGCGGGAATATATAGATCTAACAAAAAACCACTAAGTGGTACACTTTCCCCGCCAAGTCAGCAATCCAAAAAAGATAATAAATCATTACTTTTTCCGCCAAGAAAAACAATGTAATGTATGTAAGTTTGGCAACTTGGCGGCAGACTTTTGCTCGATCACTTTAAAAATACCATAAAACTAGTTTCATTGAGCAAGTATCTCTCCCATTAGTACATTGCTAGGTGAGAGCTTATTTTACAAAACTTGACCTTATTTGTGCCACATTTCATAAAATCATAATAGTGATGGTTTTATATTTACTGATTACCTCGAAATTATTATACTTAGTTGGACTAATTAATTAGAGAAGTTGATTTGTGAAATTATCCACGAACGTAACTTAAATGAAAAAAAAAAACCAAGCAAAAGTCTGCCGCCAAGTTGCCAAACTTACATACATTACATTGTTTTTCTTTGCGGAAAAAGTAATGATTTATTATCTTTTTTGGATTGCTGACTTGGCGGGGAAAGTGTACCACTTAGTGGTTTTTTGTTAGATTTTATTTATTTTTGTAGAAAATTAACCGTTCAAATAAAAATACTCTTTTCTCTGAAAAAAAAAATAAAATAAATTTTATTTGTAACAAAGTAATAACTGCTGCTTCTACTGTTCTGTTAATAACAGCATGTACAAATTCTTTGAACCAATGGGCCATCTTTGATTTGATATTTGTTCATCATTGGCTGTTGTCCAACCTGAAGATGTCTTTATGGTACAAGTGTAATGCCCTCGTGATATTGAATCTCCGTGATGAAAAATTGCTGCTGTAGGTCTGTATGTTTTATTACCTATAGTCACTTCTGTGTGCAAAACCTCCTATTTCCCCATTTTTATTTGTCACGAATAAGTAGACATTTTAATACTAACTATGACGATTGCATTCATAAAATCTCAAAACATATTGTAGGCTACGGCAATATTGTCCTAAAAGCTGTTTACTGACTTTCTAAAGCCATATTTATGTATATAATTGTGTCCAACTAACTAACTTTCAATTGCGTAATATTGTTTTATTTGCTGTGCTATTGTCCACAAAGTTGATCTATGTGGAACTTAATACTACTCCTGCTATCGCTTATTAAGTTTAATAAAATATACATTGATGTGTGTTTAAGACATTGCGTGTTTTAAGGACGAAATGTACGTTTAAATTTATTTTTCCAGGGTCCAAGGAGGGGGGGCTTTAGCAGCTGTAGCCCCCCCCCCCTTGGAACCGTCACGGGGGGAATATCTCTGCTCTAAGTAATTTTATATAGTAAGTAGTTCAAATCATTCGGTATACCTGAAAAAAATACTTTATACAAGTTTTAAAATAATTATCAGCTGTTCCTATAAATTTCTCTAACATTTAAATTTATTGATATTTAATCGCAGCTGGTCCTTCTTTTTATTTTGATTTGTTTTGATTTTAATCCCATGTTATTTAAATGGGCCAAAATCGTCCTTTGAGGGCTTGCCAAGGGTTTATGGGTCAACGTACCGACTTTAGACCCTCAAAAGGCACATCTACACGCTAAGGGCTTTCACACAACATAAAGAACATTAAAATTGAGCCAGTGGTTTGGGCTGTAGGTCCGTCAACATTTAAGGAGAAGGAGAACACGGAAAATTTGTGAATTTTCAAACTAGTTTTTCTTTGCTCAAACACAACCGTTTTTTAAATTCTTTTTTTTATTTTGTTGAGAATGATTGCCCCTATCCAGTAGATGAACAATTATTTTAATAGCTTTTGTTTCTTCAGAGCTATAGACGAGTAAAAAAGCCACTTTGTCACGTCATGTATATATACACTGCAGCAGCTGTGTACCGCTGGGGGACTTGGCGGGGCGGAACGCTGCCGCGTTCCTTAATTTTATTTGATTCCAGTTGCTTCTATTCAGAGCATCCGGCCAACAAAAAAAAACCATGCATTGAACTCGGTTTCCATCATAATCGCTTCACCTCCTTCTTATATTTTTTGTTTTCTCTTTTCCTTCTTCAGGCTCAACTTAGCCTTCTCCTTAATTGCTAACTGACCTATTTCATTCTAATTAGTGATGGGATAACCGAATGGTTTCGATGACCGAACAATCAATAAAATATTTTTTGTGTCAATCGGTTATTTTTAGTTGAATGAATCACCGGATCAATTTTAGTCATTATTCACTGTCCCAAACCACAACTAATTTTTATCTTATCGGAAACTGAATAGCATTTAGTCATTTAGCGTCAATCGGTGATTTTTAGTCGAATAAATCGCCGAGTCAATTTTAGTTACTTGATGATGTGACAAACTTTTTGCTAAATCACCGAATCGCTCGGTAAGACTAATTTAACCGAATTAGGATAAAATAACCGAATTAGTCTGTTCAACATCAATAACCGATTGATTCGGTTATTTTCATTCGGTGATTCCCACCACTACCATTAATCATTTGTGATATCTTTAAGTTCAAAGAAACATGTCCAGCAGGTTTTAGTAAATTTATAAACAATTCCCTCAATCAAAATCACAGTATGATGAGTTGCAGTAATCAGAGCTTGGACTAATCGAGTTCCCACTCAACCAATAGACCAGAAAGTTTCTGAATGGTATGTTTTCTTAGTCATCAATGTTTGTTTGATTCCCCCCAAGCATTAATCTACATTAATTTCCATCCATTGCAAACTACTCAAATAAAATCCAAGCGTTCTCGTTAGTATTGGTTTCCATTGGTTTTGAAGGCTCTCTGTTGTAGATGGATGTGATTGTGGCTGATCTGGACGGAGGCTCTATCCTAGTGCCTGACGGAGTGTCACTACCGCTGCTGCCGGAGCCACTGTTGACCTCTGTGACCGAGGCTTTAGGTCTAGTGTTGCAACCGGACCTCATCTGGTGAGTGGAACAGTCAATCTAAACCTGTCCTCAGGTGAGAAAGTACTTAAAACCATTGACTTTTTGATGCTGAAGTAAACATCCATATGGACAAGCTGTAGCCACTTACAGTGTGTGCTCCAACACTGAGATAGTTGATGGGACAAAATAAGCTATAGCTTACAATAAGTCGTCCCATCAGTTTGAGTTGCTTAAAAAGTTTATTTGATAGGAATCAGTAAATTTACTTCAATGTACATTGTTAGTTGTTCCATTCAACTATGCACATTTTGATTCAAAACTGGCAACAACTTGCACAAGTGGATGGAATGTGTCTAGTTGTAGCAATTAATAGTCAAATTGAATTCCATGTTGATGGCCCCTGAATTACTGTAAGCCTATATGACTAATAATTATGGTACAATACCTCATCAAATAATACAAATTTTTATGTAATGTTAACAACCTACATGTTTTGCCGTGAATGCGGCATCGTCGAAGTTTCAAAGACATCAATGTCACACGCACACAATAAATAAACAAAAACAAACATTTCAATGGCTTATCTATCAATGTCAATTAAATGTTGACATCGATGTCTTATGTTTCGTAATCCCGACGATGCTGCATTTACGTTGTGAGGTACCAAATTTTAAGGGGGCAAAAACGTACCGCTACTCAACAAACACCATAGGTTACCAGTTTTGATCCATAATAGCCTACACTTAGGCCCATGTGTTGGCCATTGTTATGTTTTCAGGTTTTCTTAAATCAAAAACACAGTTAAACATTTTATTTTAAGTTTAGATTTATCAACATCAAAACCATTTGGACATTACTAGATTGAGAGTCACATTTTTACAATAGTCATTGAGGTTATCCCGGAAGTCAGAGCCAACCTTACAAATACAAATCACCAACAACCTTATCAGGAAGGTGTGTATATATAACAGCCATATCTTGGGCTATGGACCAAAGAATGTAGGCCTAGTTTTAATCACAGTGAAGTATAGGCCTATACACAAACTCATACGACATATTTATCAGTACGACATATAATAACCTCAAACCGGTGTTTGTTGGCAGACGACAGACGGAAATGTAGGCCGGCTCAACAATTTAATTTCTCGGCTCCTTCTGAGCACTCTAGGGAAGAAATTTGAGTGTGGCCTGTTCAAGAGTAGGCCTAGCCTGACTTTGGTGAATACCAGTATATTTCCCCCCTGGAATTTTACGTCACAACGGCAAAACATGTAGGTTGTTACCTGATATCAAAATTTTGGACTAGGCTACTTGATGAGGTATTGTACCATTAATTATTAGACAATAGTCAAAGTGAGTTAAAACCCAGCAATATTAACTCAGGAAAGCTGGAAAACAAAAAGAAACTATCACATATTACTGGATAACAGTCAAAACCAGAAATAACCCTTAAAAGAAAACCATAATTAAAAACATCAAATCAAATCAACATCATGTTTATTCCAGGAAGTAAAATACATTGTTACAATACTTTGTCAGTAAAAATTTTATAGTTATGCAATAGTTTATAGTTATGTAATAATATACTGATATAGTCATTAAATATGAAATGCCTCTCACATAGGCTACTGCCCGTGCGTGAGAGATTTTCGCTAGCATAATACTGTGTTATGTTATGCAAATGTTTGTCCCTACATACGGTACGTAAAAGTTTCAGGATCATTATTTTAACAGTCGAGTTTGATAAACAAAACTGACTCATTCAAACCCTCTCAGGGCTGGGTGGCCGAGTGGTTACGGTGCTGTGCTCTCCTACTAATTAGAAGGTCACCAATTTAATCCTGAATAAAGTCATTGGCATTTTGATGGTTCAAAACTGGACCCAGATATCCTCGATCATTGGGCTTGGTTAAAGGTTTTTGTTTTTACTAACAAAAAGTATCTCACGCAACCCAATTATAGACCTAGATAAGCCTTAGTTGTGTCAAGAGTCCCCATCTCATTATTGAGAAGTGGAATCTCCTACCTAATCTATTTATTTATTTATTGCCAACGGATTTCCCCAATTTACAATAAGAATTACAATAATAGTGAGATACTCATCATGACTAAATACTAAAACTAAGTAACAATGCAAAACTGATGAACAATACAATAGGGATACATGCAAAATCTAAGACAGAAAAAAAACTACTTATACCTAGGTAACTATTATACCTGTTTCTGATTTGCCTCTTCTAATTTTACAATTTCCTGCCCCAAACACCAGCGTGCCTATTGCCTAACTACAGTTACAATGTTGTGTTTTGTGTTTCAGTGCAGACCATGCGTTCCCCCCGTCACCCCCGCCACCGCTACCCCCACCTGTGGTTCTAGACAAGCAGATCAGAGCTGTGTTCATGCGGACGTTCGCTCAACTACTGCAAGGCTATCGTAGCTTCCTCACCATTATCAGAATCCACCCAAAGCCCGTCATCACTTTCCATAAGGTAAACACTTTTACTTTCTTCCCCCTATAAACTCACATAGTATGTAGAGAACGTATTTATTTCATCAACATTTTTGAGTTAGAGTTTTGAGGTAAAACATCCGTTTTGGGTCCCTTTGAACAAAAAGTGCTTTTTAAAATGATTGTTAGTGTTTCTGTGTCTGTGTTAACAGAGCTACAGACTACCTTTAGTCCAATTGTTATGCAATTTGGTATTTGAGTACTAGGCCCCAATAATGGAAATTTTTCATTTAAAACAATTAAAATTGTTAGTGATAATTTTTTTTAACACCCATTAAATAACAAGTGTAATTTTTATAAAAACTGCTTTAACGATTTTGATAAATAGCTCAAAAATAATACTTTCCCCTCATACAATGCAAGTTTGTAGGCGATAGCCTAGACATTTATTTAACCTTGAATGAAATTGTGTACGTTTTGCTGGTCAAAGTTATGGTTTTTTTTGTAATTTTCCCATAAAAGCTCATTGTTCACTTATCCTAACATTCATTTAAAAGTAGTAGGATATTAAATCTTAATTGGAGAAAGCTTGTGTCGGTTTGGTGACAGCCTACCGTTAATTTTGTACTGCATAGGTATTTCAAATGCGTTATATTAGTTATTTGAGATAGTAGTACGTAAAGAGTTTTTTGTTTATCTATAAAATTACTCGTCAGGAGACTGGGAATAGGCAAGTCAGTAGAAAAAAAAAAAAAACAGAATTTAATCATGCCAACCCAACAAAAAGTATTATGGGAAAATTAGGAGGATAGCCAACAACTTCAACTTTACGTCTATGCTTAATACAAGTCAATCCGTTGATTATAGGCTTGAATGTATGTAATAGTGGAACGGTCATTTTTTGACTGATGGGTTGGGACAAAGGCCCTGACCGATCATACAATGACCTATTGGCAGTTCTAGAGTAAATTTTTCTTGACAATTTAGATGATAGACAATATACTTTATTTACATAGATGCGTATATGCGGCCCCATACAGTTTGAATTTGGCTGCGCTAACTACGACTGCAGGAGGAAGAATAATATGCTGGGTTTGTCACCATTCTATTTGGGGAAAAATGCTGATTCTCGTTAGGCCCCTTTTAGACGAGGTAGCCTGGCGACGTCGCCAGTGACCAAACTGGCTACTCAGCTTGTCAATGGTCATTGATTCTTATGGATGTTATTACACGAGGGTAGCCAGCGACGCAGCCACACTTTGGCGACCGACTGGCTACCGAGCCCCGTCGCCACTGCGGTAGCCACTGGCTACCCATATTGGCGACGCTGCGTTGTAGCATATGGAGCTTATTACACTAGGTCGCCACTCGGTCAGTTCATATCACGGGGGTACTTGCACACTGTTGTGTTGCGTTGTGTTGTGTTGTGAGTGGGTGAATTGTTCACTTCAGTTAAAAAAATGTCTACATCTGATTCAGTCGAAGGGATACGCGAAGATATGAAGAAAAAAGAAGAACCTCCGAAAGGCGAACAAAAGAATATTTTTCTCTTCCTTTGAATTTCTTCAGAAGTAACAGAAGGAGAATATACTTATAATCACTAATTATTCACTGTAAACATACCGCCCATAACAAGTTCAAGTACAAGCACTCACAACAAAATGAGTAACGGCGGTAAAATTCTAGCTACTCAACTGGCTACTAGGTTTGGTGGCCAGTGCGTCGCCAGCTACTGTCGCTGGCGATGTCGCCAGGCTACCTCGTCTAATAGGGCCCTTATATATATTGTTTTGCGCTAGCTTGACATGCATCACTGCACCGATGTTTAGAAGTTAGAACTCAGCTGACATTTTTTTTTTTTTTCAATTCAATTTATTTATTTGGAAAATCTCAAAAATATTACAACATTTCATAAACAAAGCTTGCTGCAAAAGCCAGGAAAAATTGGCTTGTCTGCAGCTCATAGAGATAAACTTGTTCTAGATAACAATGTACTTTGTCCCTTGGTCAGTCTTCTCCATATTACACTCTGGTTTTCCTTGTTTCTTGTCAAGATCTGCTATTTGTTGTTTTAACTTATTCTCTACCTTTCTATATAAGACTAGCTTGCTTTAAAAAGAACTTGAAACAATTATCTTAAATAAATAAAATATATAACAATAAATAACATGCATTAAATACTTCTCAACTTTAACAATAATATAATGAAATAATTTTTTTAACAATACAACAATACATAACTAAATAAATAATTAAATAATTTATAATAACAACAATATTAAACCAGTTTTAATGGATTCCTTGAGATGACAATACTAAAATAAATAACGTGCATTAAATGATTTTAACTTTAACAATAATATAAAAAGAAAGTAATGTAATAAACAATGTTTAAATGGATTTATTGAGATAACAATGCTTAAGCCTAGATTTCAAGACTCTAAAACTAGTTATATTTTCTATTTCAGTTGGCAATCTATTAAAAAAAAAAGTTGTGTGTGCAATTACGTATTTTGCTAGTTTGTTTGAAAACAAAGAAAAATTGTGCCGAAACGTTGCGCTCTCTTTAAGATAATGAAATTAGTGAATACTTATATGATGACAGGTTGAGTGATAAATCGGAAGTGAATTATTACGAAAATTTTATGACAATATTAGTGTTCAGTGTGGTGATGGTGATGAAGGGTTAGGCCTAACAGTGGATGATGTTTTTAGACCTCAATAGATTCCCCGGTAAGTGGTGATTATATTTCACATGATGACACAATAAATATTGATAGTAGGCCTACATGTATTTTATGTAGGGAAATAAATTCTCTACAAAATGTATATAATAATGAGTAAAAGTTTTATTTGAATAAAATAATTTTTATGACAGTTTACTTGGAAAAACTTAATAAAATTGTACAAATTAGATTTTTTTTTTATTCAACATTTTAGAAATTTATTATTTTACTAGCAGTACCCGCGGGCTTTGCCCCGTTTTACTTCATAAGTGAGCTCGTTCGCATGGCTCAATCACGTCCTGGTTGAAGTTCGTTCGCTACGCTCACTCTGGAGCTCGTTCGCTGCGCTCACTTGCTTTCAGGTTAGCTTGTTCGCTACGCTAACTCGCCTCCAGGTTGAAGTTCGTTCGCTACGCTCACTCACCTTTTGGTTGCAAATTAGCTGTTGTCATAAATAAAAAAAAATAATAGTGCTGCACCCTGTTGATAATCCTTGTAAGTTTTTAATGCTTTTGCATATCATAGAACCAACTTTTTAGTTGAAACAGCTAACTAAATTCTTTAATTCCCTTTTAATATGAATACTCATAAGGTTAACATGGGGAACTATAGAGCCACTGGGGCGGAGCCCGAAAGATAACTGTTAAAAATGTTAGTTTATAATTTTTTACAATTTAAAAAAGTCTGAAAATTTGCAAAAAATACCCAGGCTGGGGAAAGTAGCATGACCTAGCTTACTGAGATTCAAGAAGTTAAATATGATAGTTTTCACTGCATATTTTCACTATTTATATTTTTTTTTGTATTTGGATTTTTCCATCACATTACTAAAATTGACTTCTTATAACTCTTTGTCATCCAAATTTCATATTCAAACCTTTAAACCGGTAACAGCCAGTTGGTCACAAGGAAATCCCTGTTTTTGGTTGTCACATTATTCAAGAGACTTACACACTAAAGATCATTAGACTTTGTTGTGCTGGTTAAGAATCAGTTCTTTGAATCTCAATCCAGCCTTGTCTAACTTGTCGTAACTAGCTAGTTGCTGACAGCATGAACAAAAGTGTAAAAAAGTGTATGCATGGCTTTACCTGGGCAAAAATGCATAAGAGAGACACTAAGTAGTACTGATTGGAACAGGTGTTCACTAACCTGGATCTCATAGTAGGCTGCAGATGTAGTCTTAGTCCTCAGGGATTACCCTTGTCATATCTTCAACATAGCCCTCAGACTTACAATCTTAAACTTCTACTCTCGGTTAAAATAAAATGCTCCTTACTTTAATATTAATAAAATAAAAATATCTTCCTTTCAACAAACAAAAATAAACGTAATAATTTTGATATTGATATTTTTATATTGAGCAATTACCATTTGATGTGATCACTTGGACGAATTGGTAATACCTTTGACTGGCAATACTCAATGGACCACATCACATGTTTAGTTGTTGATTGTTTTATTTCTTCCGTTCAAACTTCATTTATGTAGAATCTATCCATATTTGAAATATGTATTTAACTTAATCAAATTATTCATCCAGGCTTAGGAGTTTACTATACTCAATAAATATTTTGTTATATTGTACTAGTTGTTACCCAGGGGGATTCATCCCGTTTGACTTCATAAGTATTAATAAAACTATTGATTGCTTAAGTTAAGCTGAAATAAACAAAACAGAATACAGTAGTAAAAACAATCACACCTGATTTTAATGAGGTAATAAATTGAAAGAATAACATACAATAGTTGAAAGTTCCCTTTGGAAAGCAATTACGACCTTAAAGGGCAATTTATGAAATAATGGATAGTTTTGCACAAAGTTTCTTGTCATGACGAACATTCCAAGTATATGGTTGATGGGGGTGTGACTTGTAGTTTTCTCAAAAGTTCATGGATACTTTGGGCTTTATATATGGATGTGTAACGGTAAAATGTAACACATGTGAAAAGATTCTTCATTCTCTATCCAACATAACAATGTCCTATCCTTTCTCACACCTATTCAACATAACAATGTGATTTCTGTGGTAAGAATTTTGTTAATAGTACACGGCAATCCATTTCCTTAATAGGAAAACTAAAAATTGGCCATGTTTTGTGGATGAAAAATGTTTGTAGTTCCATTTTCTCTGCCAATCCCTCCACGGTAAACACAATAATTCCAAAGAACTATAAAGCAATATATTGTTTTTTGGTAATTTGTAGAGGTAACTAATGTAACTATCTTTTTAGGTTTGGAGACTTGTAACAACATCAATTTCATCTTCAACTTGATCTTCACGTATCGTTGTTGAGAACGCTGCAGAATGTTTGAGGAGGGCCTTTCCGAGGTAAGACAACTGATTTTATTTTCATGTTTCTATTTGGAAATGTATACATGATTGTACCCTTGCATTGTGTCATGTAGTAAGAGCAATAATTGTTTAAATTATAAACAAACCTAGGGGTGGTTTTTGGTACCAAGCCTTGTCCCCCTTTTGTACCAAAGTCAGAACATCAAAGTTTATAATTTATAAAAATTCATTAAATTAAAAATAAATTCAATAAAAATTCAATTCATAAAAAAATAAATAAACCTATAAAAATTCGGAAGTTCTAAAAGATTATATAATAAATTTATTATTATATTCTTTTGATGAGTTTTCCACCTCCCAGAAATAGATATAGTATTTTTTTTTTGTTTTTGACACTATTCACTGTACCACCTATGTACATTAGGTATGATTAATAAAGGTGTTTGAATATGAGCAGTAATATAAAAAAAAAACTTTTCATTTAGGTCTACCAAAGAAGTTTTTAATATTTTACTAAAAAACAAACCATATAATTTAAAAAGAAAGTGGATGCCAAACTACGAATGGGAGACATTCAGGAAAATTGTTTTCCAAAATCTTTTTATGTAGAAAGATTTTAAACTGAAACATGTTAAACGATCTTCAGATCATCACATCTCTTGTTTATGTTAAACATCAAAATTAAGCACAGTAATTATTTTCTACAAGTTGTCACCATTTACAAATTTATTAGGTAAAATTCATATACTTTGCATAGCAATTTGTAGCTTTTGACAAATTTGCCAGGAGTTATACACCTTTGACTTCAATAGTTAAAGGTTATACTTATTTTGCATCCTTCACTAACTTGTTGTTCCTTGGCCAAGCATTTTTTTCATAATATGCTCGGGAATCACCTTCTTCGGGATCCTTATTTCAATGTGAGTTTTAAATCATGACATTTTATTCTGTAGTTGTATTAACCTAACTTCAATTGCAATGCTAAGGCTCTGTTTTGGACAGCCTATGGTGAATCAAGGTCTGGGTTTTGTCCCAAACCAGTAATCTTTCACCTTTACAGAGGTCGGTCCTTTATTACTGTTGCATGACTATATTCACAAGAGAACTAAACCGCCCCTAGCAACAAGTAGCTTAATTTTCTTAAACAATACGAATACACAGATGGCTGCGCTTTACCTGAACAGTAGTGTGGGCCATTGGTGGGATCATTCCGGGGGGTTTGGGGGTCATGGAATTTTGAAAATAGGTTTAAATATACATAAATTAGACTGGGTTTTTATCATCTGAAGCACCTGATTAGAAGTTGGGTTAGTTAAAAATGGTACGTTATTTCCTACTAATAATAATTTGTTATTATTGAAATAATGGCAAGAACTCCATTTTTAAATATTAACTCACAATTAATTCTGAAGATTGCAGTACCGTTGAAGTAGGCCTAACCCCATTTGAACCAGGAACATAAACACACTTCACAATAACATCACCGCCTTTAAATTTATGATCACTTAATCCGTAATATGGCTACTGTAATAAATCTGTACAAATAATATTACAAAACTAACTAAAGGTGTTAACATTATTTCATAAAATATTACAACTACAACTCATTTGCCAGTTGGTGTACAACATACACGGCGGGATGTAAACAGGGCCGTCCCTGGGGTTAGCGGCGCCCGGGACAAATGTGGTCGTGGTGCCCCCCCCCTCCCCCCCCCAGTAATAGTCGCATTCGCATATTTTAATACTATGTTAATACGGGATGGACAGGATTGAATTTTTAGTTCGGGGTGGGATTTTTTCCTGTGCATAAACGACAGTCTTGAGTATTGCAGTTACCAAAAAAGACAAACAAAATTAATTTTTAGGCCTATAGAAACTTGTGACTCGCGGTCGAAATGTCTCGCGGTCACAGCGTGATCGTCGGTATGACTCGCGGTCACGGCGTTATCGTTGGTATGACTCGCGGTCACGGCGGAATCGTCGGTATGACTCGCGGTCACGGCGGAATCGTCGGAATGACTAGCGGTCACGGCGTTATCGTCGGTATGACTCTCGGTCTCGGCGGAATCGTCGGTATGACTCGCGGTCACGGTGGAATCGTCGATATGACTAGCGGTCACGGCGCGATTGTCTGTATGACTCCGCGGTCACGATGCGATCGTCGGTATGACTCCGCGATCACGGTGCGATCGTCGAAATGACTTCGCCTCCTGCGTTAGTGGAATTACCGTGAACATCACTCGCGATAGCGGCGTCATCGTTACTCGCGAAGCGGCAAAATCGCCGATGATCGGATCAAATCTCGTCCCAAAATAATCCCGAATAAAATGTAATCAATAATCATTTCCTGATAATCGGGATTTTTCCCGAAAATTTCCCGAAATTTCGGGTTAATACCAATAGCCGTTGCACGGCGCCCCCTCAGCCGCGGCGCCCGGGGCAACTTGCCCCGGTTGCCCCCCCCTTCGGACGGCTCTGGATGTAAACCAAGCTACACCAACGCTCAGCACTCCCAGGGAGAAAATTTAGAATCAACGTCCAGTGGGCCAGCTCAAATCTGCCCACCATGCTCCATATTACAATGCATTATTCCCTGATAGTCAAGCGCCGCCGGCTGGAGTTGCCTTGTCCATTACGTTCTTATGGTGGCTAGAAGGGCTCAAAATCCGTGGCCAATGTGTTACGAGATGATTGCATTTTTTTATTTCAACAAAAGTTATGACCCGTTGAAAGTTCGCAATTAATTTATATCGCAGTTTATTGAATAATATCAACCAAATAACCTATCAAGTAATTACAAATATAATTTACTGTTTATTTCGGGTGGACCCGGCCCACTAGGCCCTTATGGAAGCGCCGCCACTGTGAATACAACTAAACCAATTTGATATTGTTGTAGTTCTTAAAAATTTTGTCAGTTCCTTACAAAATTTCATGTAAATCGGTCATCGGTCATCGGCCACACATTTTATACATTTTTACACGTCTGATGGTAATTTAAATATCTAGTGCACTGTGCGATTAGAAATTGTCTTTGTAGTTTTGTAATTGTTTTCCAAGGGAGTCCATGGAGTCTGACGGCCATCTTGGATTTGCCCGCCATAAGAGCACTGTTAACCCTTTGAGGGCCAACGTCCGGGGAACCGGACGTTTTTAAAACGAGCCAAAAGTGCCGACGTCCGGCCGACCGGACGTTTTTAGAACGAGCCAAAAGTGCCAACGTCCGGCTGACCGGACGTTTCGTAATGATCGAACAGTTGTCATAACAACCGAATGGATACTCGGATTCTTTTAACCCATATATTAACATTGAGTCGAAAGTTACTAGATGCGATACATCGATTTTCGTTGGCCGAAATATCAAAAATTCGATTTTTACGAAATTTTAACCTAAAAATCGCCAGATCGCGCTCGGCATTTTTAGCGCGACCTTCGGGAAAAATCATCGGCATTTTTTTAGCGTTACTTTTATTTCTCGCCTGGCACTCTAAGGGTTAATTTTGTTAATTTCAAACAGACGAAAATACCAAAGGGATTGTAATTGGAATATCTAGTGCACTGTGTGATTACAAGTTGTCTTCCTACTGTTGTAATTGTTTTATGAGTTATACCGTCTAGGCTCCAAAGACTCTTAACCCTTTCATCTATCATTTTAGGGCTCCTCCACCATGCCCTAGGTTTAATTTATTATGCAGAACATTAAGCCTACCTGTATTTTAACTCCAAATTATAGCTTCCTAATGATAACAATAATAATTTATAAATAAAAAAAGCTTTTTAAAATACCATATTTTTTTAACGAACTAAAAAGTAGGAAATAATGTATAAATATGTAGAGAGGAAACAATACTGCAAGATATAAAACAAAAAACCTGGGGTGCATGCAATAGCTAATTCACTATTATCATCTACAGTAATTCATTGCATGGCCCCACGTTTTTTCTTTTAAATCTTACAGTATTTTTTCTCTCTACATATTTATAAATTATTTTCTACTTTTTAGTTTTTAATGTGTAAATATATTAAATCTATTTTATATAGCCTGTTAATACATAACCAACCCTTTTTAACTGTAATCAGTTGTTGTTGCTACTATTCTCATAATCCTAAAACTTTTGAACCTCTCGGGAGCAGAACCTGTACCTGTTAATCTCTGCTCTTTAAACAAGCTGTCGTAGGTAAAAGTATTTACAGCTGACTTCAATTGATATTTTTACATTATTCCAAAATGTAAACATTGAAAATGTGGAAGCCCGTGGGGCGTAGCCCAAGGGAAATCTATATAAATAAAATTAGAGTTTTGTCTGTACATTGCTTAGAATAATGAACTTTTTGGTTATTTTTACATTGGTCAGAGAAACCGAATCAAACCTTATCTCAATTTCTGTCTGTCTGTCTGTCTGTCTGTCTGTCTGTCTATCTGTCATTCTCTTGGTAACGCTAAAATACGCACTTTATTACAACTACTCCTCAATAACTATAGCACTGTCCCGCCTGAAACTTATTTTCCAAATACTATACATATATGAGATGGTTTTAGACGTATTTCATCGAATATGAGACAGTTAGATATTTAACAGTAAACCCTTGAAAATCAAGTTTTTGTCGATTTTTGACGTGGAATTTCTGGAAGCCCATGTTAACCTTATGAGAAATGAAATTATTGAATCTTAACAGCTGTTTCAATTAAACAAGTTGGTTCTGTTCTGTGATGTTCAATAGCATTAAAGTTACAAGGATTACCAACAGGGTGCAGCACTAGCACTATTATTTCTTTTACATTTATGACAACAGCTAATTTGCAACCTGGAGGCGAGTGAGCGTAGCGAACGAGCTAACCTGAAGGCAAGTGAGCGTAGCGAACGAGCTAACCTGAAGGAAAGTGAGCGCAGCGAACGAGCTCCAACATACAGGTGAGTGAGCGTAGCGAACGAACTTCAACCAGGACGTGATTGAGCCATGCAAACGAGATCAGATAGTAAAAATAAAAGTAAGCCTACCGTTATAGGATCGACCGGCAGACACAGAGGTAATTTAACCTTTTATTGATTGTCATACCGATCCGGAACAACAAAAAACAACATAAAATGAAGCTATGTATAATAGTTTGGCCAGCATATCTTAAAATATGCAAACCAACTGCTGTTCGTTATATAAGAAGGTTTCAACTGAATATTATAAGATCCCCGTGCGTAGAACGGGTACACAGCTAGTATGAAAATAAAATGATATAATATTGCATTGTTATCCATTTGTGAGCTATGTTTCAAGTATCAAGTCTGTAGCTCATTGGGAAGTTAGTTTAAAATTGATTGCAAAATTTGTACGGAACAGACAAGAAAGCGAGCTAATAAAAACGTAAAAAAAAAATGTAATTTGTTTTAGCTGTAATGTGTAACGGTTGCAAAACGGCCAATGACTGGAGAGTCAAAAGGATTAAGAGTCTAGCATTGAAGATGTTCTATAATACATCCAGGGCCGATTTACCGAATAGGCACGGTAGGCACGTGCCTAGGGCGCGAGGCAATTGGCTTTATTGGGGGGCGCCAAAAATTTGGAAAATGAAAAAAATTAGGTTATAGGCCTATATTTGCATGCGATCGCGGTAAACTTCCGATAACATCTCACGGCCGTGTAGACATCGTAATCGTCTCCCACGTTTGTGGCAAGTTTCTAACTATTTTCCGCGGTTGGGTCGTTTAGACATAATTATCGTCTTCCACGATCGAGGCCATAATATATGAACATATCTCGCGGTCGTGAGGAAATTAACATCCTCTACCGCGAATGAGGCAAAATTCTACTTTTCCTGCGATCGTGTGGCCATTATGATCGTCTTGCGCTATTGCAATAATCACCCCTCGCAGCCGTGAACACATAATTATATCCCCCGCTGTCGTTTGGGCATAGTAATCGCCTACCGCGATAGCGGCAAAATGGTAATCATCTCCGGCGGACATATGGAGTTAATCGTCTTCCGCGAATCAGGCAAAATTCTGTTCTTTTCCCGCGGTCATGTGGACATTACCATCGTCTTGAGCGATCGCGGCATAATTGTGATCATCCCTTGCGGTCGTGTAGAAATCATTATTGAATCTCCCGCGGTCCTATGCAGACATCACAATCGTGTCCCGCGGTCATGAATACATGGTAATCGACTCCCGCATTTGCTGCAAAATGTTGATGTCCCGCAGTAGTGTAGAGATCGTCTTCGTCTTCCGCAATCGCGGCAAATTTCTTACTGTTTCCCGTGGACGTGTGGACATTATCATCCTATTCCGTGATCGTGGCAATATTCTGATCATCCCTCGCGGCTCCGTAGATATCATCATTGTGTTCTGCGATCGTGAAAAATTCTTATCATCCATTGCGGCCGTGTGTAGACATATTATCGTCTACCGCGGTCACGTAAACGTCACTGTTGTCATGCGCAATCACGGTAAATTGAATACTCTAGGTAGAAATACAAAATTCACACATAATTCCCGGTTCAAAAACTCCCGCTTTGATTCCCGAATTTCTCGGTCGGTGGACACCCTGTTATATAAATTGCAAAGGGGCGCTACTATTAGTTGTGCCTAGGGCGCTGATAGGGTCAAAAACGGGCCTGAATACATCCTCTTTTTTTAGTAACTGTTACGAGTTATGTTTAAAATAAATTTAACTGTGTTTGTGTAGTAGATATTTTTAAACTAAGGTGTATCACCATGACCACCCAAAAAAAACCATTATGATATTTGTACCAATTGACAAACTATAGGCCTACATGGGCTTTACACAAACATTAGTAAGCGACACATGATTATTACCGGTATTAAATGTTTAAATAAAATTATTTGTATCACTACCTCTCAAACATTCGTAGAGAGAGCATATAAAATGGTGCAAAATTACGCTTTTCTCATCTTTTCAGCATGATTCTGAGAAGTTGGCAGACAAAAATGTTAGATTTTACAATTTTAAAAAACTTGTATTAGGTAATTAATTGTAGTAATTGTATTAGGTGTATTATTTTACATGTCAAGAGTAAAATTTGTATTTTCTCAGACTTTATGGAGTGCATCAGTACCTACACAATATTCCTTGAAAACTGGGGTACAGATAAATAGTCTGTTTTTATTTGACATTGCATTAATTAAATCTTGTGTCAAGCTCCAGTTTTTGGGCACTATGACATAGCGAGTATTCCTAAAGTATGAAGGACTAAGTTTCTCAATGCATTGTGCAACTGCTCAACATGGTTTCTATGCACTGTGAGATCGGTTTATCATAAACAAACACAAAAATTGGAAGGCAAGCTGCAGACAAAAGTTAAAAGTTTGCAATCTTTTTTGCAGTGTGTATAGTCAGCCACACAACCATAAGATAACTTCCGAGTTCCTACTATTTCAACAATTAACTCTCTAGGATATAATCTTGAAAACTTCAAAGTATCAGTATAGATATTAGAATATTTAACTGAGAGCTGAGTAGGGTTGATATGTAGAGCCATTCAGCGTGTATTGTGCAACTCTAGCTGTGATTTTTGTATGTCCAGGCTCCGTAACTGCCCTGGGTGTGGCTGGGATTCTCAGTTCTGCTGGACCTCATGGAGAGTAAGTTGTCCAGGATTGTACGGCTTTGCTACCACTCCCCACCACAACGGAGGATAAGACTTCCCTGATCTTGTGAGTAGCACTTTTATTCTATTAGCACTATTATTATTAATGTGTGTTGAAGTTAAAATGAATGTATTTCATAATCAGTCTAAGACTATTTTTGGACTGAATGTAAACTGTAATTGACTCACTCATGTGGGATAAAGTGGTAACTGGGTAGAGCAGTGTAGGGTCCAGTGGCTATTGGATAGAGTAGCATGATACAGGATACAGGTAGCATAGAAATGCTGAAAAATTACACCTCTTTAATCTTTTCTTTTCAGCATAGTTATGAGATGTGAGTAGGATATTTACCTAAATAATGAGTTGGATTTTACTGTTTTCGGAAACTTAAAGCAAATGGAATTTTAAAAATTAATTTTATGTAGGCCTATCAATTTTTTTTTTTTTTTTTAGACTACAGGGTGTATCAGTATACATAATATTCCTTAGAGCAGTATTATTTAAGCCCTGCACCCTAAGTTTTAGCCGAAGCGAATCCCGCCAAAATCAGCAGTCAGCTGTGACATAGCCTTTTAAGTCAAGTGTGTACAATACTACCTTACTGGCAAATTTAAACTAACTCTCCTGTATTTAACTTAAAATAACCTCATCCACGATTAGGTTTAGTCAGAAAAACTGTTTAGGTTAATATCATATTTTATTTACACCAGTGTTATACAATTGATAATTTAGTGTGACCACACGGTTGCAAGACAATTAAAAGTAAATCATATAAGCACTCATCATATAAGTAATTATATAAGTTGGGTGTATAAGTTGTAGGATCATATATGGAGATGACAAATCATGAAGTTCTCAGTTGGGTGAATCCTGGATGTTGTTAAGTAATCCAACTGCTCCGATGTTTGTCCAAGTTTCCCTTTCAGTGTCTCACAGAGCTCCGACCAGAGAGCAGACACCATTTCTCTCACTCGCTCCCCATTGGTGTGGTTCTGTAACATTTTCCTGGTAACCGGAATAGCATCTACGGAAGCCAAGGAAAAAGAGGTGTCATCGTCCATAGCCTGAAACAGTACAGGAGGTATTTAACAGTTAGCTAAGTAGGCATGATATGTAGTGCAATTCAGCGTGTATTGTACAACTACAGCTGTGATGTATGTCCAGGGTTTCTCCAGGGTAGCTTTTGCCTACCCCGAATGCTGCTGGGATTCTCAGTTCTGCTGGACAACATCTGGATTGTAGGACTTTGTTACTACTTCTTAGAGGATGTCTTTCTCCACCAGAATGGAGGATTTACAATGCTCAAGACTCCTAAGATCATGTGAGTGGCCCTTATAATCACAGTCATTAATTAATGTGTGTTAATATGGTTTGGAGGGTACAGAGTCTACGGGGTAGAGTAGGGTAGGGTATGCGTACGTTATGAGGTAAGGGAAGCACATGGTACAGAGATTTTGGGTAAGGTAGGATAGGGTACAGAGTTTATGGGTTAAGGTAGCATAGGGTACAGCGGTTACAAGGTAGGGTAGCATAGGGTACAGAGTTTATGGGTATCATAGGGAACAGCGGTTATGAGGTAGGGTAGCATAGGGTACAGAGTTTATGGGTATCATAGGGTACAGCGGTTATGAGGTAGGGTAGCATAGGGTAAAGAATTTATGGGGTAGGGTAACATAGGGTACAGAGTTTACTGGATAGGGTAGCATGGTGTACAGAGTTTATGGGTATCATAGGGTACAGCGGTTACGAGGTAGGGTAGCATAGTGTACAGACTTTATGGGTATCATAGGGTACAGCGGTTATGAGGTAGGGTAGCATAGTGTACAGACTTTATGGGTATCATAGGGTACAGCGGTTACGAGGTAGGGTAGCATAGTGTACAGACTTTATGGGTATCATAGTGTACTGCGGTTATGAGGTAGGGTAGCATAGGGTAAAGAATTTATGGGGTAGGGTAGCATAGGGTACAGAGTTTACTGGATAGGGGAGCATAGTGTACAGAGGTAGTATAGTTACAGGGTAGGGTAGCATAGGGGGTGCACGACTACTGGCAGGTAAGTTTGGAGTGCAGGGCCTCTGTCAGGCTAGGTTGGGGTGCACGGCTACTGGCAGGGCAGTGTTGTGCACGGTGAAGGGCTACTGGTAGGACTGTGTTGGGTGCAGGGCTACTGGTAGGGTAGTGTCGAGTGCAGGGTAGTGTTGGGTGTAGCACTACTGGCAGGGTAGTGTAGAGTGAAGGGCTACTGGTAGGGCAGTATTAGGTGCAGGATTACTGGCAGAGTAGTATAGGGAGCACTCCAATGGGAGGAGTGTACGGTGCAGAGCTACTGGTAGGACTGTGTTTGGTGCAGGGCTACTGGCAGGGCAGTGTTGAGTGCAGGTCTACTTGCATGGTAGTGTTGAGTGCAGGTCTACTTGCATGGTAGGATTGAGTGCAGGCTTGCATGGTAGGGTTGAGTGCAGGTCTACTTGCATGGTAGGGTCTAGTGCAGGTCTACTTGCATGGTAGTGTAGGGTAACGGAGCTTATAAAGGGGTAGCGTTGTGTTCGGAGGCTAGGAGTTAGTGCAGTTCAGGGTGTAGGGCTACTGGGAGGACAGTGCTGGGTACAAGGGCTACTGGTGGGACAGTAAGAAGGCTTATAGCTGGGGCTGGCTTTACAGTTGGAGTAGGGTAATAGTTTAGTAAAGTGGCTATCGGTAGGGCAGTGTAGGTTTATGGTAGGGAAGATGGAGTGCAAGAGCTGCTGGTTGGTATGTTATATTTTTATTTGTTATTTTATGCTGGGTGTAGGGGCTACAGGGTAGGGTAATTTAAAGCCCCATTAGACCCTGCACCGTATCTAGCGGGGTAGCGTAGGGTACTAGAGCAGGGAGGTAAATCATATAATCTTAGGATACTGGTGTGCAGGGTAGGATATTGTAGGGCAGCGTAGGTTACTAAGGCTGGTTAAGACAATGATAAGGGAGGTACTGAACTGAGAAGGTTAGCTTAGGGCAGCATGGTAGGGCACTGCACAACCACACCTGGAACACAAGTATAGTCGAATCTAGTGCACGTCTGCTAATGTGTAATAAAAAAATATATACAGTAGCAAAGCATAGGGTACTGGGGCTGCAGGGTACAGTAGCATAGGGTACAGGGGCTGTAGTGGTAATGAAGCATTGGGGCTGTAGGGTAGTAAAGCATAGGGTACAGGGGCTGTAGGGAAATAAAGGATAGGGTGCAAGCTGCAGGATATGGTAGCATACTGGGGCTGAAGGGTACTGGGGCTGCAGGTTAAAGTAGATAAGTAGTTAAAGTAGTGAAGCATAGAGGGGCTGCATGGTACGGTAGCATAGGGTACAGGGGCTGTAGGGTAGTAAAGCATAGGGTACTGGGGCTGTAGGGTAGTTAAGCATAGGGTACTGGGGCTCTAGGGTAGTGAAGCATAGGGTACAGGGGGGGGGAGTAGTAATGCCTAGGGTACAGGGGCTGCAGGGTACGGTAGCATAGGGTAGTGAAGCATAGGATACAGGGGCTGCTGGGTACGGTAGCATAGGGTCATGGGGATGCATGGTAAGGTAGCATTGGGTACAGGGGCTGTAGGGTAGTAAAGCATAGGGTACTGGGACTGTAGGGTAGTTAAGCATAGGGTAGTGGGGCTGTAGGGTAGTTAAGCATAGGGTACTGGGGCTCAAGGGTAGTGAAGCATAGGGTACAGGAGGGAAGAGTAGTGAAGCCTAGGGTACAGGGGCTGCAGGGTACGGTAGAATAGGGTACTAGGGTAGTGAAGCATAGGATACAGGGGCTGCTGGGTACGGTAGCATAGGGTCATGGGGATGCATGGTAAGGTAGCATTGGGTACTGGGGCTGCAGGATACGGTAGCATAGGGTACAGGGGCTCTAGCGTAGTGAAGCATAGGTTAAAGGGGCTACAAGGTAGTGAAGCATAGGTTACAGGGGCTACAAGGTAGTGAAGTATAGGGTACTGGAGCTGCAGGGTACGGTAGCATAGGGTACAATACGGTAGCATTGGATACAGGGGCTGTAGGGTAGTGAAGCATAGGGTACTGGGGCTCTAGGGTAGTGAAGCATAGGTTGCAGGGGCTGCAGGGTAGTGAAGCATAGGGTACAGGGACTGAAGGGTACGGTAGCATAAGGTACTGGGACTGCAGGGTACAGTAGCTGCAGGGTAGTGAAGCATAGGGAACTGGGGCTGCAGGGTACGGTAGCATAGGGTACTGGGGCTGCAGGGTACGGTAGCATAGGGTACTGGGGCTGCAGGGTACGGTAGCATAGGGTACAGGGACTGCAGGGTACAGTAGCTGCAGGGTAGTAAAGCATAGGGTACAGGGACTGCAGGGTACAGTAGCTGAAGGGTAGTGAAGCATAGGGTACAGGGGCTGTAGGGTAGTGAAGTATAGGGTACTGGAGCTGCAGGGTTTGGTAGCATAGGGTACAATACGGTAGCATTGGATACAGGGGCTGTAGGGTAGTGAAGCATAGGGTACAGGAGGGAAGAGTAGTGAAGCCTAGGGTACAGGGGCTGCAGGGTACGGTAGCATAGGGTAGTGAAGCATAGGATACAGGGGCTGCTGGGTACGGTAGCATAGGGTCATGGGGATGCATGGTAAGGTAGCATTGGGTACTGGGGCTGCAGGATACGGTAGCATAGGGTACAGGGGCTCTAGCGTAGTGAAGCATAGGTTAAAAGGGCTACAAGGTAGTGAAGCATAGGTTACAGGGGCTACAAGGTAGTGAAGTATAGAGAACTGGAGCTGCAGGGTACGATAGCATAGGGTACAGTTCGGTAGCATTGGATACAGGGGCTGTAGGGTAGTGAAGCATAGGGTACTGGGGCTCTAGGGTAGTGAAGCATAGGTTGCAGGGGCTGCAGGGTAGTGAAGCATATGGTACTGGAACTGCAGGGTACGGTAGCATAGGGTACAGGGACTGCAGGGTACAGTAGCTGCAGGGTAGTAAAGCATAGGGTACAGGGACTGCAGGGTACAGTAGCTGAAGGGTAGTGAAGCATAGGGTACAGGGGCTGTAGGGTACAGTAGCATAGGATACTGGGGATGTAGGGTAGTGAAGCATAGGGTACAGGGTCTGCAGGGAACGGTAGCATAGGGTCCTGGGGATGCAGGGTAAGGTAGCATAGGGTAATGGGGCTGAAAGGTACGGTAGCATAGGGTACTGGGGATTTAGGTTAGTGAAGCAAAGGGTACAGGGGCTGCAGGATAAGGCAGCATAGGGTACAGGGGCTGCAGGGTAGTAAAGCATTGGGTACTGGGGATGTAGGGTAGTGAAGCATAGGGTTCAGGGGCTGGGTAATGTAGCATAGGGTACTGGGGATTTAGGGTAGTGAAGCAAAGGGTACAGGGGCTGTAGGATAGGATTTAGGGTAGTGAAGCAAAAGGTACAGGGGCTGCAGGATAAGGTAGCATAGGGTACAGGGGCTGCAGGGTAGTGAAGCGTCTAGGGTAGTGAAGCATAGGTTACAGGGGCTACAAGGTAGTGAAGCATAGGGAACTGGGCCTGCAGGGTACGGTAGCATAGGGTACTGGGGATAGGGTACTGGGGCTGCAGGGTACGGTAGCATAGGGTACAGGGGCTCTAGGGTAGTGAAGCATAGGGTACAATACGTAGCGTCCTGGGGCTCTAGGGTGGTGAAGCATAGGGTACAACGGCTGCAGGGTAGTGAAGCATAGGGTACGGGGGCTGCAGGGTACAGTAGCATAGGGTACTAAGGCTGTAGTGTAGTGAAGAATATGGACAATACGGTAGCATAGGGTACTGGAAATGCAGGGTATGATAGCATAGGGTACTGAGGATGTAGCAGGGTATGATAGCATAGGGTACTGAGGATGTAGCAGGGTATGATAGCATAGGGTACTGAGGATGTAGCAGGGTATGATAGCATAGGGTACAGTACGGTAGCATAGAGTTCTGGGGATGCAGGGTAAGGTAACATAGGGTACTGGGGCAGCAGGGTAGTGAAGCATTGGGTACTGGGGATGTAGGGTAGTGAAGCATAGGGTACAGGGGCTGATGGGTACGGTAGCATAAGTTCCTGGGGATGCAGGGTAATGTAGCATAGGGTACTAGGGCTGCAGGATACTGTAGCGAAGCATAGGTTACAGGGGCTACAAGGTAGTGAAGCATAGGTTACAGGGGCTACAAGGTACGGTAGCATAGGGTACAATACATAAGCATAGGGTACAATACATAGCGTCCTGGGGCTGTAGGGTGGTGAAGCATAGGGTACAAGGGCTGCAGGGTACAGTAGCATAGGGTACTGAGGCTGTAGTGAAGTGAAGAATATGGACAATACGGTAGCATAGGGTCCTGGAAATGCAGAGTAAGGTAGCATAGGGTACAAGCTTCAGGGTACAGTAGCATAGGGTACTGGGAATGTAATAGTGAAGTATAGGGTACTGGGGCTGCAGGGCAAAGTAGCGTAGAGCAGTACTGGGAATGTAATAGTGAAGTATAGGGTACTGGGGCTGCAGGGTAAAGTAACGAGTACTGAGGCTACAGGGTAGTTAAGCATGAATACAGGGGCTGAAGGCACAGTAGCGTAGGGTACTGGGGCTGGAGGGTACAGTAGCGTAGGGTACTGAGGCTGCAGCGCACAGTAGCATAGGGTACTGGGGCTGCAGGGTTCGGTAGCATGGAGTACAGGGGCTATAGGGTAGTAGTAGTAGTAGTAGTAGTAGTAGTAGTAGTAGTAGTAGCAGTAGTAGCAGTAGTAGCAGTAGTAGTAGTAGTAGTAGTAGTAGTAGTAGTAGTAGTAGTAGTAGCAGTAGTAGCAGTAGTAGTAGTAGTAGTAGTAGTAGCAGTAGTAGCAGTAGTAGTAGTAGTAGTAGTAGTAGTAGTAGTAGCAGTAGTACCAGTAGTAGTAGCAGTAGCAGTAGCAGCAGCAGCAGCAGCAGCAGCAGCAGCAGCAGCAGCAGCAGCAGCAGCAGCAGCAGCAGCAGCAGCAGCAGCAGCAGCAGCAGCAGCAGCAGCAGCAGCAGCAGCAGCAGCAGCAGCAGCAGCAGCAGCAGCAGCAGCAGCAGCAGCAGCAGCAGCAGCAGCAGCAGCAGGAGTAGTAGTAGTAGTAGCAGTAGTAGTAGCAGTAGCAGTATAGCCCCAGCACCCTATGCTACTGTAGTATAGGGTACTGGGGTTGCAGGGTAGTGAAGCATAGGGTACTGGGGCTGCAGGGTACAGTAGCGAAGGGTACAGGGGCTGCAGGGTACGGTAGCTTAGGGTACAGAGGCTGCAGGGTAGTGAAGCATAGGGTACTGGGGCTGACGGGCAAACTAGCATAGGGTATTGGTGCTGCAGGGTAAGTGCAGGGTAGGTTCAGTAAAACTTTTAGTCATAACTACATAAAATGCTAGGCCTATTTGTTTTTCTTTTAACAAGTTCCATAGCATAACCAAAGTTTTTTTTTACAGTTCATGATACCTACTGGGAAATCATAAGGTTGCGGAAGGAGATGGTTGTTCTAGCAAGGCTTGGACTTCCACTGAGCATTACAACATTATTGTAAATGTAGACTATGTATATAATGACAAATACTAAAACACATATTGTTACCATGGTTATGTAATAAACTTTGGATATTATCATTGACTATTAGATATTATCCTCCCAATATTTTCAGTCTCTAATAGCACATAGACCAAAAATGAGATGGTATGACCGAGTTAAGAGAGATGTGAGTCAGTGTGGAGGGACAGTGGAGATGGCAGCGGACAGAGAAGCGTGGAAGAGGCTGATCTATGAGGCAAAGAATCGACTGCGATTTGTAGCGCCCCAGCAGTAAGTAAGTAAGTAAGTAATAGCACATAACTGGTTTTATTATATTTGTAAAAATCAAGGAAAGATCTGAATATCAACCTTATTATTTGTAATGGTATTGTAACCCATTTTCCTGACAAATTTAAATTGTTTTACATGTTTTAATGTCAATGACTTTGTTTTAGCGAATATCCCGGGAATAAGCTGTTACCGATGGGAACTGATTTACTTTTTCTGAAAAACACCATTCGCTCAAATTCATACATATATGTATATATATATATATATATATATATATATATATATATATATTGTCCATTAGCACAATAAATCGAACAAAAATGTTTTGATTTCAATGAAATTTGTTACAAATGTAAACCTACAAACCAGCATGATCGAACCATTGGCACGGGGGTTTTATGGTGGGGATTTATTGGGTAAAAATTGGTCATTTCTCTTTTTGACCCTCAAAACATAAAATTTCCTAATTTATCTCTAGACCAATCTAAGAAATCAAATAGTTTAATATATTGAAGTGTTTTTGGTTATTGGTTACGGAGAAAATTGTAAATTGAAAATGCCCATGTTATTCTTATGTAGAATAAGTGAACTGTTGCTTGTTTATGCATATACTTTGATAAAACTTGGTAAATCTATTTATTTTAAGCTATTAATTTGTACTAAGCTATTAATGTTTTACTATAAAACACACTTCATTACCCTACCTGTAGGCAGCAAACCTGAGTACTCGTTAAACCTAATGTTATTGAAATAGATTTAATGGAATATCAAATTGGGCAAATGGAAGTTCGCTTATTCTGCAGGTTTGCTGCGGTAGGGGTACTTGTTAATTGAATAGTCAAAAGTAATAATGTACAAGACAGAAAATTATAAATCAAATCTTTTAGTTAGAATGTGTTTTATAATAGTAAAATACCCCACCGCAGCAAATCAAGCAAATTTTCATTAACATTGGATTATTACTTATAGTCCTCACCACCCTAACTTGAGGCAGCCCAAGGCCACACTAGATATATAGCGTGCAGCCTTGGGCTGCCTCAAGTCACAAAAAACATACTACTATAACAAAGAATGCCAACCGCATGTTAAAAAGCGTTAAGTACTTTGAGAGAGCTTTGCCTGTCAATTCATAGGCAGCGCCACCAGCGTGTTGCTATACTGAGTGCATTGCAACGCTGGTGGCGCTGCCTACAAACTGATAGGCAAAGCTCTCTCAAAGTACTTAACGCTTTTTAACATGCGGTTGGCATTCTGAGTTATGGTAGTCTGTGCTCAAGTTAGGGTGGCGAGGACTATAAATATTTTTTCAAACCTGTCAATGTCAAATGTTTTCTCTATTTAGACCATTACGTTTAACGAGGACTTAGGTTCTCTGACACGGGAAAGGTAATGTAGAGTGTTTTTTTTTTTGCAAAATGATAATAGCTAAGGATGAAATAAACCAATTTTTCACAATGTGTTCAAAATGTATCCATAAAAAGCAAACTACAACATTTTACTTATTCTTAACTAGCTGTTGTACCCGTGCTTTGCAACGGGAAGAGAACACAAAATACCCCCGCCGCAGCAAACCTGCCGACTAAGCGAATTTCCATTTGTCTGAATTGATTTTCAGTTAAATATATTTTAATAACATTAGGTTTAACGAGTACCTAGGTTTGCTGCTACAAGGAAACTAATAATGTGTGTTTTTGAGTAAAATATTGATAGCTTAGTACAAAATAAATAAATTTGCCAAGTTTGATCAAAATCTATCCATAAACAAGCAAACTACAACATTTGACAATATTCTCCATAAGAATAACATGGGAATTTTAAATTTACAATTTTTTTAATTTTCTCCGTTACTAATAATCAAACAAAAATACTTATATATACTAAATTATTTGTTTTTTTAAGCTCTTTAAAAAGGTCTAAAGAGAAATCGGGAAATTTTGTGTTTTGAGGGTCAAAAGTGAGAAAAACCAATTTTTACCCCATAAAACCCCCCGTAAAGCCCCATTCCCATGGTCCGATCGTGCTGGTTCGCAAACTCATTCAAGTTTATCCCACTTTACACCTTTAAACCAAATTTCATCAAAATCGGACAAAAATTACTCAAGTTATCGCGTTCACGGACGTATATATATATATATATAAGTCTATATATATATATAACGATGTACGGAGGGATAATGCTACTTGATATTTAGATTCAGTGATATCGCTACCGGCCGTCCCCCCTCCGCGCCACTTCCGGCGTTCGAGGCCGGGTAGCAGTATCCCTCACTCCGTATTTACTCGAGCCTTACGTCGATTCTACTCCAGTTGATACGGAATACAGGATAATACTACCTAAAATACGTGCTGCCAACTGTTGAATTAAACCCCACCGTCATCTCACATCTTCTTTATTTACTGTTATTTTATTCTTTAAATTTTCGTATTACCTAAATTATAGACTTACGTTTTGTGAAGTTTTATGTCCATTTATACAATTTCCATTATGTACGGACTTTGTCTCGTTATTATATCTCGCATATGACCTTTGACTATTAATACAATAGTTCTTCTGTATCCCATAGTGAATGATATAACATACGATTTCCCAAAACTTATTATTATTAACCAATCGTTTCAATTGTTATAATTTAAAATTCTCATAATGCAACTGGATGAAATATAAAATTCCAAAGTGCAAATGATAAAAGCCACGTAATTTACCAAATAAAACTAATCTTAGTTTTACATTGCCGTTATTAACTCCGTTTAGTGATTAATTTCAAATTAATGTAGGATAAGTAAATACCCCCGCCGCAGCTAACCTGCTGTCTAAGCGAATTTCCATTTGGCTGAATTGCTTTTCAATTGATCTATTTAAATAAAATTAGGTTTAACGAGTACCTAGGTTTGCTGTTACAAGGAAACTAATAAAGTGTGTGTTTTAAGTAAAATAATTATTGCTTAGTATAAAATGAATATATTTGCCAAGTTTGATCAAAAGATATCCATAAACAAGCAAACTACAACATTTTACAATATTCTCCATAAGAATAACATGGGGATTTTAAATTTAATTTTTTTTTTAGTTTTCTCCGTAACCAATAACCGTACAAAAACACTTTGATATACTGAATTGTTTGTTTTTTAAGCTCTTAAGGAAGGTTTAGAGAAAAATTGGGAAATTTTGTGTTTTGAGGGTCAAAAGTGAGAAAACCCAATTTTTACCCGTTTCATCGTAGGTGAATGCATTGCTTAGAATCTGTTTTAAATTACACAAGAAGTGACAATATGTATACATGTACTAGTGGATGATCTGCTAAAATTTCGACTGGTTACGTAACACTAAACATTAACGTCAAGTTATTTATAGGCCTACTTTGAATATATATTTATTCTGTGATTTAACTTTCGGTTTTTGGACAACTTTTAACTCGATGTACAAAAAGTATATGTAACATAGTTACTACTCGGTGTAACATATTATGTTTTCTGAGGTAAATATATTCTTCAATAATTACTAACGATTACAAATGATAAAATTGTAAGTAGAAACTTTGTTTTAGTAGGGTGATCCTTAATCCGCGTAGTTTTTGCGTGGAGTAAATAAGGATCGATATACGGTTTACTGTTAGTTTTTTATATGTCAAAGAGTCGTTTTCACCAAAACTGTTACTGTTAACACGCATAGATTTTTTACTAAACTCTGTACTACATTAAAATTTCACTTCATGACGGTTACCCCTATTGTAATAAAAATACTGAACGGTCCAATCCACTGTCACCTTTCGTATGTTGTATAATACCGATAATACACGTATAAATTGTTGTTTAGCAAAATTATACAAACAAAATTCTTAAATAAATTTCATACTTTACCACAGTGGCGTAGGTACAACACCATCTTGAACATATAGGAGGTGAAAAATCCTTCCTGAAATTTGTTTTAAAAGTAGGTTACTTTTTTATTATATTTTAAGTGTTGACGGCCTCTTGTATCCTTGCATTTGCACGGAGCAAAGCAAGGAGTGAGCCGGTACAGTACAAACCACCCGGCTTATATACTGTACCACCACCATTATACACATGTTTTGAAAGAAAATATTTTATCTTTTTTTACTTCTATTATAATTAAGCTTGTTTATTGTAAGTATACTATTTTGTTTATCGATAACTGGCACCACAAAAAATTCTATACCAGTGGCAGTAGCCAAAGTTCCTATGCGCGACTAAATCTGGTTGGGTTATAGGTGAAGGGGTTGACCAGGGCACTTTTGTGAAACCATTTGTGTATTGCTCCTAACCCTCACTCACATATCCCCAGCACTGCCAATAACCGGTACCCGTAAGCTATTTGCGCGCCAAACGCACTCGAGTCACCGAACAGTCAACAGCTTATAAACCACTCCTTCTACCCCCCTCACTCGCACTACGCTTGGTCCGGTCTTCAAGTAGTGTCATTCGTCTGGTGTTAGTAGCGCGTTCGTGTTTGTTACTTTGCTACAAATAAACTTTCATTAAATGTAATAATTTAGCCTAGGGTTTTACGGTTTCATTCAACTTTTTATACTGCTATGACATTTTTTAAGAATCACTAAGATAATACGGAGTTAGCTCTTTTTTTAATATTCAACTGAAATAGTTACGAAAATAACACACAAAACATAAAATACACAAAAAAATAAAAAGCATAAAAATGCATTTTAGATAAATATTTTAGGGGATTAGGTTGAAGCAGCGACTACAAAACTTTAAGAATGTTCCGATATTTGGACTGTTTATAATTTTTCAC